AAGTAATCAACAGCTAACGAAGAGGGAGTTGATGATGAACCAGTTGAATACGTTGTCTGATTCGAAGGGAACGAACCATTTCCGTCGCCCAAAAATATACCAATCGTATTCGAGAGAGAATTGACAGTAGCTAGATCTAAGTGTCCATCATGATTGAAGTCACCAGTCGCAATAGCGTTTGGAGATGACGATGGACCAGTCGAATAGGTTGTTTGATTTGCAAACGAGTAATTACCATAACCAAGAAACACACCAATATGATTATAATCTGCGTTAGCAATGATTATATCCTTGTAGTTATCATGATTAAAATCCTCAATAACGAATGATGGTGACTGTGAAGTATTCCCAATTGATAGTGCTGTTTCTCTAATGAAAATAAGATCGGAATGGCCAAACCAAACAGTGACGGTGCTACCACCTGAGTTCGCCACCACAATGTCAAGTTTGGCATCGTTGTTTAAATCACTAGCAGCGATAGATATTGGAGCAGAACCTGTTTGTTGTGTAAGTTGAGGGATAAATTCTCCATCACCATATCCTAAGAGAATACTGAGAGAATTGCTGCCAAGATTCACGACAACTATATCTGGATATCCGTCATTATTAAAATCACCAATAACGACAGATTGTGGAAGAATACCCGCTGAATATCGCATTACATTTCGGAATGATGCATTTCCGTTTCCTAGCAAAACTGACACTGAACGATAGCCTAGAGTAGCTGCAACAATGTCGAGTCGACCATCATTATTTAGATCTCCTACTGCTAATGAAACTGGGCCCACATCTACCAAATACGTAACTTGCGGCATGAATGATCCATTTCCATAACCCAGAAAGATTCCCACGTTGTTGACAGCATAGTTAGCAACAGCAATATCCGATCGAGTATCGTTGTTGAAATCAGTTATAAGTATGTCGGACGGGTAGGAAAAATTTAAATAAATAATTTGAGATGTAAATGAGCCGTCACCATTGCCTCGTAGCACAACGAGTAATTTACTATCTGATCCAATAACTATGTCGAGGTTTGTATCATTGTCCAAGTTGCCCACTGCTGCAGTTCTTGAAGTGTAGCCAATTGTAATGGCTTTCGAGTCTTCAAAGGATCCATTACCTAATCCTAGATATAGAATAATGTCGTTAGTACCGCCACTGGTAACAACTAGGTCCAGTCGATCGTCGTTATTAAAGTCGCCAACAACGACAGACATTGCAAGGCTTTTAACCGAATAGGTTGATGAATACCGAAAGCTACCGTTTCCCGTTCCTAAGAAGACACTGAGGGTGTCAGAATCATAATTAACAACTATCATATCAGCATAAGAATCGTAATTTATGTCTTCTAGAACTACACATCGTGGACTTAAGTCGACTGCATACGTCTGTGGATTCGTGAACGATCCAGAATTGAATATAGTTAATATATCAATAACACCACTGTAAGCATATCCAGCAACAATTTCCGATTGTTCATCATTGTTAAAATCTCCAGAGGAAATAACGACCGGAGGAGATTCAGAAGGAAACTGGTAGGTATTTTGAAGGCTGAAAGATCCTCGATCATCTCCAAGTAACATTCCAACTTGTTGAAAGCCAGAAAGGGCTACTGCAATATCTAATTGAGAATCATTATTGAAATAACCAGTAGTGATTGATATCGGCGCAGAATTCAATCCCATTGTAATCGTAAGTCGATTGCGAAAAGTTGTATTATTAGATCCAAACAGAATTCCAATATCATCAGTACCATAGTTCGCAACAATCATGTCTAATCGGCTATCATTATTCAGATCACGAGTAATCATCGATTGTAGTTTAGAACCACTACCAGATGCGTATTTCAAATCATTAACAAGATCACCTGTATTTGATTGAACTAATATAGCTATATAAACACTATAAGAGTCTGTTACAACCATGTCCAATCGTTTATCATTGTTTAGATCTGCAACTGCTACACTATACGATCGTGAACTGGTGTAATATGACACTGCCGTATCGAACGAGCAATTACCGTGCCCATATAAAATGTATACATTCAGCACATTAGCGCAACTGACAATAAGATCCAACCGTGTGTCGTTATTAATGTCATCGATAACTACCCATGCTGGAAAAGTACCCACTCCATATGTAATCTGCGTTGCAAAGGTACCGTTCGTACTTCCTAACAGAACGCTCACAGTACTGCTTACAGAGTTGGCCACAACAATATCCACTCGGCCATCATTGTTCAAATCTGCGGCTGTTACAAAGTAGGGATTCGTGCCTGTTCGGTATACTGTTGCGTTTCCAAAACTTCCATTATTATAGCCGAAAAGAATGGTCACACTTCTGTTATTCAAATTGGCAAGTACTAAATCAGCTTGATTATCATTATTAAAATCGTTAATAGCTACACAAATCGGTTTGCTACCACTTGAATATCTCGTTTCATTTGTAAATCTACCGTTGCCATCTCCTAAGAAAACACTGACACTGTTATTGCCAAAATTGGCAACAACAATATCCAATCGATCGTCATTATTAAAATCACCAAGGGCTACAAATGCTGGTTTAGAGCCAGTTGAATAGTACAATGGAGTTCCTAGGGTGCCATCGCCATTGCCAAGATAGATACAGATATCATCGCTATCATAATTAGCAACAACCACGTCTATGTTTGTATCGTTATTGACATCACCTAAGGCTAACGAATATGGATTGCTACTCGTTGAATAAAATGTTGAACTTTGGAATGATCCATTGCCGTATCCAAGGGAAATCATCATCATATTACTTGCACGAGAGAGAACTATCATATCTAGTATGCCATCACGATTGAAATCATTGACAGCTACAGTCGAGGACTGGTATTTAACGGTTTGTTTTGCGTATGATGGAAAACCTGCGAAATATCCTTTGAGAAGTTCAATTCTTCCAGTGTCATTACTAACGACGATTGAATCCAACCGATTATCTTTATTATAATCACATAAGACAAACGAGATGGATGAAGTAGATCCAGTTGTATCCATTATAACATTGGAAAAACTGCCATCGCCCAAACCCAGAAGTAAAGCAGTGTTGTTCAGTCCGATATTAACAGTAAATATATCCAATCGATCATCTCCATTGAGATCTCCGACGCCGATCGAGTATGGCGAAGAAGAATCGATCGAATACAATGTTCGCTCCAAAAAGTTTCCACGTCCATCATTTAAAAGTACATAGATCATATTCGTACCATAGTTACTAACAGCAATATCAACGAATCCGTCCGAATTGAAATCTGCAACAACAACTGACGATGGTTGAGAATCGACACCAGTTGAAATGATAAGTGATTGTTGAATCGTATTACTACTATTAAAAAACACTAAATGTATATCGTTCGTTCCAAAATTTGCAATAACAATATCTAAGCGATTATCATTATTTAGATCTCCTGTAGTCAATGCATATGGAAACGAATCATATCCAGTTGAATAAGTAAATAGATTGACAAAATTTCCCTTTCTATCACCATAGAATATACTAATACTGTTCGTTCCATGATTAATAACAATAATATCAACAAATGTGTCATTATTGAAATCAACTAGATGAAGTGATAGTGGTCGTGAGATTCCTGTTGATATTTCGATTTGTTCTCGAAACGATCCATTACCGAATCCATAGAATATTCCGATGCTATGAGTATTATAATTTGTAACTGCAATGTCTAAATACGAATCGTTATTGAGATCATCGACCACAGCCATTGTTGGACTGGAATTGATACCAGTTGAATACTCGTATTCTTTGACAAAAGTTCCCTTCGCATTTCCAAAATAAACTCCAATTCGACTAACAATCGAATTGACAATGACCATATCGATCCAAGTATCCAGATTAAAGTCACCGATGGCAACAGATACTGGCCCATAATTATATTCGATGGGATTTGTTCTCGTTCGCACGAAATTCAATCCGCATGTTGATACTAAAACAGAATGTCATTTCGAATTCCAATACGTGAATAATCTACCTTTTGGTTTTGGTGCAGTTAAACAAACGATGATAATTCCAATAGCCGTCATGATGCATAAGATCATAGAAAATAGAAAAGTACGAACAGTTTCCCTCCGTGTTGCATAAACAAAACGTTTTCTGAAACACAAAATACTTATGAAATCTTAGGTAAAACAAACGGAAATGTACAATTCTTGCAGAAATTTCAGGATTGTTAATCGATTATCTTGCTTCGTTTTATACAGAACCTTTGCCAATGGTGCACTAGAAGATAACTTTGAATTGTCATCCATTAGAATGTCAGCAGCAGTCCTATGTTCATTCAAACCAATGTGTCGATCAAAAGTATCTAATACCATCTAAATTTAACGAACGAATATATCTAATACAATCGCATAATGAATAGTGTTTCATACTTGATTCATAGTGTATGGTTCGATAAATAAATATAAATAAGAGGAGGAAGGAAAAACAACGTTCTTTTTCGTCGGTAATGAATAGGAATAAATATTCTGTGTGAATATTTCGACTTCACCTATGGAATGATAATAAGGTAGATGAAAAATAAATATACGTATTGACAGATTCATTTTGTGAATTAGCTGTCAATGACACGTGCACATTTCACCTGTTTTTCGTTTGAATAAGAGGGCGGAGAAATCAAAAGTAATTAGAATTGTGATTTGGGCTTGTTTCTTGATGAATTAAAATTCAGCATGTGACTGTCCTCTGTGTTACAAGAGAACAGAATAAAGAAGAATTTCTGGCGTTAAATTTTCATCACGTCGTGAGTGTGTTCACCAATCAGAAAATAACTCTCAAACACTGTGTATGTACTTATTATTCCCCGAAACTCAAAGGATATTTTATGATATCTTTTCGTTAGAAAAACCTCTAGTTGTGTTATTCTCGCGCTGGTGTATTTCATAAAGAGATTAAAATTATGAGTATATAAATAGTTCTGTTCTTTACAGCTGTTTGAGCAGCATCGGAACTGGTGTTTAATACAGACCACCAAAGAACGTGAATTCACATCCCCAGACTTGATTTGTTTCCCAAGGATTGATCATAAGGAGGAGTTGATTAGTTGCCAATGGATTGTTTGTAATATTAAATAAGCTAGGAGATAATGTGAGGTAATATGTACCGTTGTTAATCGCTGGATAAGTAAATAATTGACCTAAGTACATAGCATTTTCATCCAAATACACGTAAATCGTTTTCGGATCATGCCATGCATCACCGTAGATTGTCAACTGAAACGAGCTCAATAAATATTTATCGTCGAATGTGATCCAAAGATAGGCAGGAACGAGATAACTATGAGGATTCCAAATAGTATAAATGTTGTTGTCGAAAGCGCGCCACCATTCATCTCCGGTTGTATTTAGTTCGATGCCTAGATTAGAGAATTGTGCTGGTAAAGTTCCACCGATAACAGGTATTCGAACAACTGACATGGCTATAGAAAAAAAAAAGAGTCTTTCAGCAGTTTCGATAAGCTTACAACATACGTGTACATGTCTTATTTTCTCGTGAACAAACTAGACCCAGGTCATTGCGACACTGTTTACTACTGTTACATGGTGCTCCTGTGAAAGATTGTGATTGGCATGTTTGGTTAGTCCAATAAGTCTGTACTGGACATTGACATGTACCGTTTCGACAAACCAAATATCGATCTTGAGCACAATGATCACAGGACTGATTATATTTCGAAGTTAAATCTATGTTATCATAGATAATCGAGCCAACTATGGTATCGTGTGATGCTGAACTAACAAGGGAACCAGTTTGAGGAGAACTTTCATAAAGTCGACAAGATGGTAAGTCAGAAACAAACGTGTGACATCGTGCATCTTTATGACATAACACTGCACATTGTACAAGAGACAAAACTGACGAATGTATACAGATGAGTTCGACAGGATCAGTCGGAATATAATTAACCCCACTGTCATATACATGGATGTATGACATAAAATCAGTTGATATCATGTCCATATTTAGTAGAAACAAAACGCAGCTGCAATACGTGATCATTATGCCACGAGATGATCGAACGCACTAAAAAATCTTTGTTCGTAATGAAAATGTCCACATATATCGTCACGATATCCTTTTTATAGAGCAGCAGGGAAAATAATCAAATCATAAGTGTATTCAAGACGTTGAAACAATTTTCTGTAGAGGGTCTGCTTGAAGGTCGATCTTGACTAAATATAGACAGATGTTGATTGAAAAATTACTCGTAAGAAATCTTTATACTTCATATGAAGCACTTGTTAAGTATCATTAAACAGAAAAACTCCATTAGAATGACAACTCTAAATCATTAACATTATTCGCACTGAGTGGCACCAGAGAAGAATAAAAAGTTCATATAATTTTCCTAAAGATGCAAGAGACATCGACTATGTTAATTTTATTCGAATTCAGAAAGATCGATTAGTAAAGAGAACGGTAGTATTAATGAGAAACGAATACTACTAAAAACTTCAATGTTGATATGCCAATAGTGGATGAATTTCTGGTAGATTAAATAAATGGCAACACTTTGTGCAGTAAATAACCATTGGTAAAGCGTGGACGGTGTTCTAATCGTCGAAATCGAACCTGATGCTATTGGTACTGTCGTTGTAGCTAAACAAGAAATGTGTGCAATTATTGTTCAGGTAATACGCATTCGTTGTTTACCAACAGTAGTTGTGTCCATAGCATTCATTGAAGCGCCAGGCATAAGGACGTTAACTGTCCAAAAAGACAAACGGGTAATAGGTTCAGATTCGGGACCTGAAATAAGTTTATATTAATCGTTCTAATTGACCATCATCGATGTATAAACACTTACCACAACCTTCGAGGCCAATAGCAATACCTAGAATCAAAATATAACGGTGATGATCGAACCTGAATATATAACTTCTGATGTTGGCCATTATGAGTGTGAATGGCAATGTAATTACAAGGTCTTGAGGTTAGAGTAGCATCAGGAACAGCATTACAAACAACGCCGCATTCGTCGTAGGAATTGATGTTACTTGACGCTGTAGATCATCGATATCTTAGTATATCAGTTCTGTCGAAATCGGCCATTTGAACGTTGTGAGTATAGGCAACATTAACTTGTTTATAAGTAATAGGAAGACTGACAGTGATTGAACTAGAATTTATATAACCATCTGGTCGAACTACGGTATTAATATGGCTGACAACAGACCAGCAGGTACTACTTCCGACAACAAGACTGTTGAATCAAGTTGATGAAATGTTTGCATGTTCGACTTTTCACCCGAACTAACATCAAGAGCAGGACTGAAATTAGTACAGATTGACGATGTACTGATACTGACTGAACCGTTGTCGATATCCTTAACACACACCATCTAAGTATTGCCGTCAATAACGCCTCTTGAGGATATCCTTGAACTATCCCAGAAGCAGCCAGGATAACTTTGACACCATGACCAACGATGACGTTCTTGCATATTATTGGATGGACGTTTATAGAATCTCGAGATTGTTAGAAAGAAGAAAGAAAATGTTCGATTAGCTCACCAGACGATTGATCCGCCATAGAAATGTGTTGTATCGATGATCAATGCTTGTAAATAAAGGACTGATGAGAAAGCCAGTAAATATCATTTCTGAACATTATTTCACGTATGAAACAGTAGAGTGCTATAACAAGCGTCTATGTGGAAGATTTGCAAGTGAGAAGACATCGAAAGTATGAAACAGTCTCAAGAGTAAATATTATTGTTTAACTGTAGAATGTATTTGTCTAATTGAGAAAAATCGAAGATCTGATTTCACCTACGCAATTCGCTCTTTGTTTGCAGCTATTTTGTGCATTGAATTTTGACTGAGATATACAACCCACTGTGCTCGCTATTTTTTATTTTAAAAACTATCGAATAACATACACTTCTGAATTCGCTTCCGCACGAGTGTGTTCACAAAAAATCAATACGCATATTGAATTTGTAGGACAAGAAAAAAAAACGAGTGTCAAATTGATCAGTCGCTGTGGTCCGACAGAACCGAAAGTGATGCTTCAGTCTCAAAACTTTTGAAATGTGTTAGCAACCGATCGCGGCTCGTCTTTTATGTTTCTCATCGAAAATATATTTCAGTTGTGTCGAGTTGTAGGTTGTGCAATCCTTCATTTCTCCTTTTCTCTGTTACGCAATTTATTTTGAGGATGGTGCAATTCGATTCATTCGTGTGTCATCCTAAGAGACTCGAAATGGTTTATTATTGAGAGAGATTTTTCAGAGAAAGAAATAGATGAGAATCTGTTCACGATGATTTCAAAACATTGGTGACATATTCGCCTTGAACATTGCCTGGTGGGTAGTAGTTTGCAACAGTGTAGAGAGTAGCGTTGTCACTTGTTAATGCTCTACCGATACCAAGACGTTGTGTACCTTTCCAAACTACTTGTGTAAAGTGTCCTGTGTATGCACCAAAGCCCGGATTGGAAAAGTCATACTCTTTGATTTCGTTGTACCAACTTGTAGATGCATCTGAGCCTATTGATATATAGAAGTGAATTCAATTGAGACAACTAGAGAACGGTGTTGCTCATTTACCTTTTGCATACATTGGCTGACTTAACCCTGTGATTTCGTAAATATTTTCTCCAATAGCGTTTCCGTTCAATGTGTTGCCGCTATGTTCGAATACTCGTGTTTGAGCTAATTTCTCGGCGTATTTCTGTGCGATATCATTCAAGTCAGAATCTAACACTAAGTTTGATGCACCATGCGCACTTCGGAAGGAATTATGCGTGTCTAATGCTTGTTGTCTGTATGCATCGAGAGTAATTGCTGGATATGGACTTTGTTTTTCTGAAAAATCGTGAATCGTTAAATCTATCGGTTTATCAACATGACTTACTAATGCAAGAGCCGCCCATATATTTTGAGTCAGAAATCTTTCCATAGACCGTAGTTTGAGGCCAGCAGAATTTTGATTGACTTGAATACGACCATCCCATGCACGTGGAGTCGGCATCACATTTTTTCATGCAATCTCCAATCGTGGCAACATTGGTTATTGCTGAACCACTATCACCGAGATAATACATGTTCGGTAGATTTTCTGTGCAGGTCACCTTTGCATCGGATCCTGTGAAAACAAATTTTTAACACTGAATACATCTATATCCTTGATTTTTACCAATACAATATCCACCAGCATATGATGAATCATCATACAGTATGCCGATTGATGTTTGAAGCCAGCAACTGCTAGAGGAACCTTGATATTGATATCCATAACAAGCCTTATCATTTTCACATAAGGCTTGACAATCACTAGATGACTTGATATTGTCATTTCGTGAACCAGTGCTACCATCAAAATATTGACCTGTTTTTATTACCGAACATTTCTTTGTTGGAGCCGTTGATACTACAAAATTACAAATGATAATGAATAATCAATCGAATATTTGTTCAAACCGTAAGTAAGGATGTTGATTCCCAACAACACAATCAGAACTTTGGAAATGCTATTTGTTTTTGCCATTGCTGAATGCCACTTGCAACCACAGATTGAAAAAATAACATACGGAAACACGAGTATTTAAAGCTGTTTGTCAATGTATGAAAACAAAGATCGTTGCGCTTGAATGAAAGTACAATACACTTTGCAACATCTGCATTTACAAAAGCGTTAGTCTGCAATTGACTTGTCTATATAGAAACATTTTTTGATTGTAACAGTCGATTAGCTTCCTAGTTTGGCACAGTCAACATACTCTTTTCTTCTATTTATGTGCATCATATGTGCAGTCACATTCACCGCACGAAGTTCGTTGAACCGTAATAAAGGAAAAAGTACGATTTTCATTAAATAGGTCGTTTTCTTTGTATAAGATCGAGTAGTGCCGTAAAAAGTTACGAGTCTAAGAAAATATATTCACCAGCTGGTGTAATTCATATTACTGATGTACACACCCACATAATTATAGTAGAACGAAACTTTTTTGCAAATAAAGTCAATTGCCGAATAAAAATATCGTTTGATACATATTATTGCAATAAAACTTTCAAAGTATACGTTTCCATGCAACGTTAATTTAGTAGTACTTCATCATTTGGGCGATGGTGTCGGTATGACCTATGTATTTAAGTTTAATAAAGATGACATTTTGCTTTTTTACTAATACGCCAAATGAAAGAATCATACTTGCCGCTTTTTTCACCTTCAACTTAATGATAAATAACAAATAGTAGCTAGAAGGTTAATCACGAACTATACTATACCTCAGGATTTAGTATGAAATCTGTCACATTTGCTTGTGTTGTGTAACAGGAACTGAAAAGTTAGTCTGTAGAAAAAAATGTGTCCTGGATAGGTGAAGTAAGTCCACTAGAAAATCCCTATCAGAGATTAAATAATAGGAGCAGTTCAAGACGCTACGTCAGCATCAAGTCATACAATGGTTTTTTAATATTACAGATTTCTCTCAGAACAAAAATGCAAATAACTTCTTCTTTTTTTCTCTACCTCAGACTATTAGTATAAAAACTTGTACGATTGAACGTACCCGTGCAAATTTAACTAACTAATTACGCTTCATAGTATAATGACTTTCTAAAATAGAGTATTTGAAACAGAAAACACATTTGAAGTCACTTTCTCGGTGCAATTTCATTATTACAGACATCCATCGAAACGACTGAAGTTGCTCATGAAAGACCTAGTTCTTTCTTTCATATTACACTTTTCATAAAAGACGCTTATTAACGGCTTATACACTTGTTTGCTTGCTTATTATACCACATATCGACGAGTTGTTTAGAACGTTAATTATTACAATATTTTCGTCAGTTTGAACTGGTTGATCTCCGTTGAAAAGGAACATTGACGTAAGTCTGCTCGTTTCAACCTACGTTTTTCACGAATCATATAGCGTCATCGTCCTTCAGTAATCTTCTGTTTATATTATGCACGAACATTGTTCATTATACTTCAGTCGACAATAGATCCTTCCCAATAGTTAACAAAGTGTATACCTGTTTTCGGCAAAGCCGACCATGACATATATTTTACGTGAAAATAAGATCGATTTTTAGCTTCCCATATGTGAAAAATCTCTCATAATAGAGATTGTCTCTACTGTTCTTCTCTATGAAAGTCCATTTGATCATCACAACGTAGGAAGCTGCCGGATCTGAAAGCTTGCATATAATCATAGAGGTTGAAATTTTTATTACACGTCAGATGTCTGAGTAAAGCTACAACAGAAACATTGTCGCATATACCCAATGAAGTGCGACAACCGTTTATGTCTTCTATCCTTTCAGATAAAAACACTCAAAATGTAGACATAACGTTCACTTTGTTTTATTTAGTTCTTATATTATTCTCTTTAACAACGCTTGTCAGCCATGTCGTGGCAAATCATCGCGTGACTGACACCCTTCGGCAGATCTCCAAGCAAGAGCAAAACAGAAATTTCCATCGGTGGCTTTTCCACTCACATCGGCGTATGATGGCGTCAACGGCAATTCAAGCATTCGCTTCGCAGTATTCGTTGTACTCAAATTTCATCATAAGCATTGTCGGAATTATAAGTAATGTTATCAATCTATTGGTTTTTGTTCAATTGAAACCATTCCGCGAGAATCGCTGTGGGTTTTATTTAATAGTTGAATCTGTATCTGATTTAGTCGATGTTACGTTCATCTTAATAATCACAATCGTTTCTCTCGTATACGGTGATGAATCTCTTAACTATTCGCTCCTTTGGTGCCGAATACGATATATTACCTTCCAAACAGGAACATTAACAACATTTTCTATGATATGTTTTGCTGCTATAGATCAATATTGTTCGACAAATTATCGACTGAGCTTGAGGCAATTTTGCAATTTGAAATTAGCTCGATATCTCGTCTTGACGAGTGTATGTCTTTGGTTTGTTCATAGTCTCATATTCGGTCTTTTTGCAGACGTTAATCCGACAGTAGGATGTTATATATCAAATTCTGTGTGGATAAGATATGGAACATACTTTTTCTATCCAATTCTTTATGGTTTTCTACCGATTGCATTGGCGTCTTTGTTTAGCATATTGGCTTACCGAAATGTTCGTCGTATTATTCGCCGACAAATTCCGATTGAACGTCGGCGATTCGATCGTCAGATAACTGCGATGGTTTTGATTCGTGTTGGATGGTTTGTGACAGTTTCAATCCCTTATACAAGCTATCGAGTGTATTCGATAAATGTCAGCACGAAACAAGTCGATGCACTCCGATCTGCAATCGAACGATTGATTCAAGTAATTTTCTATTCGATTATCAATACGAACTACGCGGTAATTTGTTTCCTATTGATTTTGTTCAACTGAATGAATAGAATTTGTTTTGTAGCTGAATTTTTATATTTTTCTGATCTCGTCATCACGGTATCGTCGACAAGTGAAATATATTTTCAAGAAAAAATATTGGCGACAAATCAAATGTCTCTGTTGTTTGGGTGATAATCAAGTTCGTCCGGAAAACACAATGATGTCGGATGCAAATATTGATCTTGATTGAGAAATTTCTTATTTTCGATGGTTCAACCGAGAAAATAAATATTCCAACCAAACATCAAACTATTTCTACAGATTAATGTCAAATGACACTGTCATGCATGATATAATATACTCTTTCATACTCATGAAAAACCTGACTTTATAAATGGCTAACAGTAGATTGTTATTTATTCAGCTTGCGGTTATCAGGGAAAAGCCTGCTGAGTTTGAAAGTATCTATGATTAGACATCTATTGCTATATTATGAACGTATATAAATAAACGTGAGACAAGAATACAATTTTTTTTATTGTCAATCATAATTATCACATGGCGCGCGTATTAGTATGCGTGGTTGTTCCAGGTTCCACCCGCCTACGTCTTAACTGTGGTAAAACACATAGTATCTTGCTGAATAGATGCTTTCTGACTTCATCCGTGTGTGCCAGATTCAGTAACATCCATATAGCGTATCCAAATGAAAGAAAGATGAAACTAAGTCGTTGCGCGTAGGGTAACCGCTCGGCATTTGAGAAAATTTGAGCACGAAGAAAGAAGAGTATATATGGACAACTCATAAAGCCGATGACCATAGCGACAATCAGAAGTCGACGAACGAATCGAAGTTCACGACGTTGTCGACGTTCGTCCGCTATTCGAGTTGGAGCATTGACTGAAAAAGGACGATGTTTCGCGAAATACACGATTCGAGTATAAATCGAAAGAATGAAAGTGACTGGACCGAAATAAATGAAAATCGACAGGTATAAGAAAATAACCAGGTCGTTCAGTGACGCCTAAAATAAAAATCGAACCGAATAGTTTGATTTCTTCATTGATGTTTTTTACCATACCTGACAGATATGACTACCTGCCTGATAAACAATTCTACCTATCACCAGAGCGGGAATTGCAAACATGATCGAAATCAACCATTGAACAATCGTGATAGAAGCAATTATTGGCTTTGATTGCAGAGAGCGTTGTGCTGAGAACACAACAACAAACAGACTTCGAAGTGCTTGAACACATAACGTATGATATAGAAGACCAGTTGCTGCATGAAGAAGAAAGCCCCGAAATGAACAGAGTTGGTCGTTGCCATCAGATATGATTTGGTAGATTGCTTGACATCCGCAAGTGACATTGATGATAAAACCAGCAACAGCTGAGTTGAAGGCGAGCATGATGGTGACTGTTTGAAGTGAACGGTAAGTAACAACGATGAGAATGAAAGTCAGCGAACAAATCAAACCAACGAGACTGCAAGAAACCATAACCAACGATGATAAGAGATCGAAAGCGCTGTTCATATTAACGCTAGGAAATTCGTTCGTATGAAAATAACAAAAGATTCTAAATATATTCAAAACAGTTTTTAAAATGTTCGAAAAGGACAAGGTAATGATAATTGTCATCGCTATTTCAATATCTCAGCGCTTATGACACGAGAAAGTGAAACGAAATACATCGTCTAAATCGAAGACCGTTGCATTTAAAATCGAACAAAAAATTAGCTAATGTTTATGATAAAATATGCTAATTACCACAGCGTCTGTTTAGATGGATACATCTTATCAATAGAGTTGAATACTTTGTAATGAGGAGCTACTTTCAATTATGAAACATGCACATCCTCTTTTATGTCATAATGCAGTCAATGAATAATAATGAAAGTTTCCTTTCCCGCTCACGTCATAGAAAATTCTCCGAGGGTCACTAATATTCTAAGTGAATTTACTTATACAGAGGCAAAGTGTAATAAAACACAATTTAATATTATTACATTGACGTCATACTCAGTGAAAAGTTTGAGATTATTCAGATCATAATCGGATTTTTTTGCAAAAAAATCAAGATTAAAATCGATTGAAATTTCCAAAGAAAATCATAGTTTGATTTTTAATCAAATATAATTTCCGGAAGTCGGTATATATTTCTTTTTATTCAAATTATTTATTACCGCGATTTATAAACCATATATTTCCGATTTTATATGATTTTAGTAAAAAAAAGATAATAATTTCGAGAAATTATTTTTAATTAAATAAATTATTATCTTTTTTGAAAATTTTAATCAATTATAACCTCGATTTTATGGCAGAAAAATCCGATTATAATATGTCCTAATCTAGCAATTTTTTTACTAGGATAACGACCTTACAAAACACATATTCGAGTTGCAAAATCTCACAACCCGTTTTCTTACACTCACGCCTTTTGAACAACTTTCTATTAACATTCTTATTACAAACAATATTCAATCAAAAGCGAATTGAGATACGCACATGTTATCTTTAAAAAAATTGAAGAGAATAGAATGAACGATGCTATCATTTGTCTACTAAAATTAGCTCATCTATTATTTTACATGAAATCGTTCAATAGCGCAATAGCATTTGCTTGATACAATATCAATCGATGAGTTTGTTCAATTCTTTCTTCAAATGTATTATTGCTTTCACAAAACCGATTTTTCTTGTAGAATCAATACCATTGACGATCTTAGTCTTTGCCGGATACGACCAATGTTCATATACAGCAAATTATCCTATAGCCTACAAAGAAGAAATCGTCTGTTGTATAAATTATTGATTGCATTCGTGAAGTTGGTCGATGTTTTGTTTTAACAATGAATCTTTGTTTACTAGAACTTGTTCACTCACATACAACTTATTTGATTATGATCAAATTCACTATTCTTTATTTTATATTACTCTTACATAATCTGTACCTTTTGAATGTTTAGAACAGCTTGAGTTTATATTCGAATACTGACTGGGTCTTCCGTCATAATTTATTCAGTTTTACTCTCGTGGGCCGCCTTTGTGTTTCAATTATGATTACATCTACTGTGCTTTCTCGTTCTATAATTTCAGGTCGAAACGAGAACAGCATCGAGATTGTTAGCGTTGTCAGCAAGGTCTTTCAGTAAATTAATCGCGCAGTACTCAAGAGAATCAAGTCTTTTATCCTTTTCATGCATCTTTACATCTGCTTACAGTTGTCGTCTTTCATTCTCACTCTCAAATACATTTAACAAACCATGCTGCTCTGCCATGATTGTTTACACGTTTAAAAAGTAAATGCAATGTAATCTCAAGGCTACTAACAAAACATTTTGTGTTTCTGTTGTTACTATTGTTCACATGTCACATTTTTTTTCGTTTGTTTCTCACGACAAATCATTATGGAGTTTTATCGTCGTCCACTGTTTACCTATTCTATCATTCTTCTTCTCTTAGCTGTTCAACCGTTAATTCATCTATACTACCAAAGCAATTCGAAATGCTTTCATTATGCATTGACTACACTAGCATATGAAGCACTCGTTAATCATACAGATATTGTTAATCTAAATACACGCATTTTGTGTTGGATTCCAACGACACTCAAACGACTCGATCGAGCATTGATTGCATACGAGTTAGTGCATGAGAGTTTTAATGTCAATTTCTTTTTATTCTTCGTTATTTCAGAACATGGGCTCATCGGTGCGATCATCCGCTGTTTATCATTGCTGGCTCACCACCATCATCTCCAGTGAATCGTTCTGTGTATCCATTTCCTATTGCTTTCATTGCTGATGATAGTATTGAGAAATACAATCAATTATCCGAGAAAGTTCTTCTCTCCTTGACTTACATTTACAAAGAATATCACGAGAAATACGACTGGTTTTTCAAAGGCGACGATGATACGTTCGTTATTGTTGAAAACCTTCGTTATTTCCTTCGACGCAATCCTTCGAATGTGTCCGCATACTATGGGTATGTGGGACGAACTCCCGATCGATTCTATGCTTTGGGTGGCGCTGGATATGTGTTGAGTCAAGAGGCACTGCGTCGTTTTGGTAAGGAAGTTCTCAGCAGACCCAATCAACGAAACTTATGTCGTACAGATGTGGCAGAGGATATTAATCTCGCTGCTTGTCTGTCACGGGTTGGCATTACTGTGCTTAGTCTTCGTGATCAGGAAAAACTCGAAACGTTCCATTCGATGACATTCGAATCACATTTTGTGGGCAATTCTACTCGCTGGAATGAAGGAAAAAGAAAACTTGTTATTGAGAATGGTGACAAGTGTTGTTCACCATGGTCGATTTCGTTTCATAGTCTGTCGCCAGACCAAATGCGAATGATGCACTTTTTATTGTATCGATTGCAGAGAGCACCAGTCTGAATAAGAAATGTTTCGCGATGTATTGAGACCATTTCAGCACGAAAGCCAAGCCCAGTAATTTTTCACACTAAGAATTTTCAAAAATTTCGTTTTCATCTGTTGATGTCACTGGACCGAAATAAATGAACATCGACAGGTATAAGAAAATAATCAGCTCGTTCAGTGACGCCTAAAGTCGGAATCAAAACGAATAGTTTGATCTCTTCATTGATGTTTCCTGCCATACCTGCCTGATAAACAATTCTACCTATTTCCAGAGCGGGAATCGCAAACGTGATAGAAGCAATCATTGATTTACATTGCAGAGAGCGTTGCGTCGAGAACACATAACGTATAATATAGAAGACCAGTTGCTGCATGAAGAAGAAAGCCCCGAAATGAACAGAGTTGATCGTTGCCATCAGATATGATTTGGTAGATTGCTTGACATCTGCAAGTGACGTTGATCATGATGGTGACTGTTTGAAGTGGACGGTGAGTAACAACGATGAGAATGAAAGTCAGCGAACAAATCAAACCAACGACGATGAGAGATCGAAAACATCATGCATTTCAGTTGTGTAAGTCCTGTGAGGCGAGAAGGAAAAAAAGAAAAATGTTTAAAGAGCTTAGATCAGAGTATAAAATGTCAAATATTATCGGCGGTAAGTACCCAGGATACCACATAAATGCTTCGCGCCCTTCGCATCTTTCGTTTGATAAACCTTATTACCACCATTGGCATTGCCATATTTACAATTGAAAGGCGAGATAAGATACATATGTCTGTATGTTACAGTATGATGAGTGGAGAAACGCGGCACTTTTTGTGTCAACGTATAGTTTTCTGTAAGTACATCTGATTTGAAAAACGAAATGTCATGTAATGATGAACTATTTCTACATTAACAACAAGGCCCTTTCGTTAATGAGAGAATGCACAGTGAAAAAATAATTAGAAGTCATTTGTTAATATAAATAGAGTTTGATGCATTATTTATGTTTCAATGATAAAGATCCAAGTCGTCCCGTTTCAGATCAAACACACATGATATACTTCTCATTATACCCGCTACAAAAGGGGTCAATCTGAACAAAATAGGCGTAAGATCATCGTCTTTCGAGACGAATATACACAGCATCAGGTTGAATGAGAAACGTCTCACGATGTTGAAATCCTTTTTCGATGTCTTCACCAGGTAACACTGTATATCGGCGTAGTAGTTGAGATAGAGCCATTTTCAGTTCCATAAAAGCGAATCGAATACCTAGACAACCTCGAGGACCAGCACCGAATGACATATACGCCATCAAATGTCGTTTCGCGTAATGACGCTCAGGGACGAACTCATACGGATCTTCTGGTCCCCATAGATTATGATCATAATGAATGCTGAGGATATCCGGTTGAATCAGAGCACCTATTTAGATAGAAGTATATGTGAGGAAGACTGCGTACGGATGAAAGGAATAGAAACCTTTTTGAATTTCATGTCCACAGATGGTAGTTGTTGTGTTGCATTCTCTTTTTGTAGCTGTTGTAGCAATTGGATACATTCGAAGAACTTCTCGAATGAACATATCCATGTAATTCATGTTCGTAACAACGTCATAACTTAATTGACCATCTTCATTCCATTCTTGTTCATCAACTTCTGCTTGAAGTTTCCTTTGAACATTACTATTCGTTGCTAAGACATACGTGCATGACGCTAATGCTGTCGAGATAGAATCATAACCAGCAATCATGAACAAGAGGATATTAGCACCTACTTCCTCTCTATAAAGCGTTTTTGAATCTAAGAGTGTATTATTCGAAGCAGAATGTTCGATAGAATTGCTTTTGGCTTTATTTCGCATCGTTGCATCGAGCATTAGCTGAAGTAGATCGATTTGATGTTGTTTTCCGTTGTCACTCGCTTGCTTTCTAGCATTGATAATAGTTTCAACTTGATTGAGTATCCATAATGCTGGAACACCTTCGATTTCGGGCGAGAATCGTTTAGGTAATATTATACGAAAAAGTTTACCGAGTAACATTTGCCCCATCATGATATAGAGTAGAACTGGAATAAGAAACGGCATAAGATTACCAAGTTTAGTCAAAGGTAACCGTTCGGGATTATCATGAACGGCGAGTTTACATTTCTGCAGAAAAGCATTGTCAATATCATTTTGCATATCTGTATCCATACCGAAAGCACAATGACAAATAACATCCATTGTCAATCGTCTGTACAATTCATAGATGTTAAATTGTTCTCGTTTTTCTTGGATGACTTCCAGTTTATTTACTAACGATTGAATACAGCGATAGATGGCAGATGACATCAGTTTGAGTTTTGCTGCAGAAAATGTCGGATTGATCACATGCCGTTGTCGACGCCAAGTTGATCCACTTGCACCAAACATATGAACCTGATGACCGCGCACAGTTTTCATTAGAAAAGGAACCGAACGTTCGTTGAATAAAGCAAATTGATTGATATACACTTCATGAAGAAACTCAACGTCAGAAACTACGTACATTGGACGTGTTCCTTCGAATAGTCCATAGATCGAACCATATTGTTGAGTCCACCGTCGGTATTGTTCGCTCAAGTTAGGAAGAGACCAAAGGATGCGATAATGACCAAAGAAGAAGGTTGGAAGCGGGCCAGGTAAACCACGTTGTTTGAAATAATCGTAGCAAGATTTTAGATTCCATATATAAACAAGAATTAGAGCAACTATGATTGTCAGGAGACCGTAAGTGAGTACCATCATAATCGACTGACTATGAAGTAACACAGTCAACGAATCAAGATATTCTGAAAACGTTTTTCGTTCTGTAGGCCTGACTTCTATACGTTGTATTTGAAGTTGTAATTATCTTGTTGATCTATTCATTCTCATATGAGTCATTAGTACCTTCTAGTACGAGTAAATACAGAGTTTAACGACCATATACAGCATTCATTCACCATTAAAATGTCATGCCTTTACACAAAAGAATCGTACTCAATGGAAAAATGATTATGAATCATTTACATCACTCCAAGACGTGACATTCAGTATTCTTTTATTCGTCATCAAAATGAATTAGTATGCATCTTTTAAAAAAAAAATATTTTCAAATCAAATGAAACTGTTATTTTTTTATCTTCCTTTAACAACCTTTGAAACAACACCAAGCAGCACCAGCCATTGCAGAATAACTACATCCACCTCCTGCATTACAATAACCAGTTTGAAAACTGGCGTTACAACCGTACGGATATTGACCTTTACATCTACCGTCACATGAAGCTGCTGCAGTGGTAGTTACGACAGTTGTGGTAGTCGTCACAGATGGTTGCTGATTACAACCTTTGAAACAACACCAATTCAGATCGTTTGTAGCAGCATAGGTACATCCACCTCCCGCATTGCAATACCCAGTCTGAAAACCTGCATTACAGCCGTATGGATACTGGCCCATACATCTACCATCACAGCTATTAATTGTTGGTGGTGATGTAACAGGAGCAGCTGTACTTGAGTTTATTACAGCTGAACATTTGATTCCTGATGTAATACCAGGTCGATGATTTCGTTGTGTTCCAGATTTCAAAAAGCAAATAGTAGCTAGTACCCATGAATTACACGCCGGATTTGCATGGCATGCAGCGCAACAAGCTTTTGCATCTGATGTTTGTACAACTGCAAGATTTCCACCAGAGATATCACTGTCTATGTAGTAATTGCATCCATTTAGACAGGTAGGTTCCAGTTCTGGAGGCGGAGGTGGTGGTGATGTTGTATCACATCGATCACCGTACCAGCCTTCCACACAGACGCACGGTTTATTGGTCACCTGTAGATCACCGCCAAGATATCGAGCAGCGCAGTTACCATTGACACATTTAGCAGCAGCACAAGTATCAATCATGCAATTTACACCGGAGAATCCCGGATTACATAAACATTCACCTGTAGCACAGTCACAGTATCCGTTTGTACAGCCATTCGAACATTTACCGGGACATTCCTCGACATTGCTTAGTTTCGGTTGGGATCGACAATTAACAGGAGCCATGTCGGGAAAAGACGTACATGCTCCTCTTCCTTTCACTTGAAGATAATTATCTCCCGACCATATGTACCTAAAATAAGAAATTTACTAGGTAAAAGAAGATACTCTAGAATAAAGAAGCCACCTTCGATCGTGTTGAGAATGAACTGGATAATGGCAACTTCTTCCGACAACAGTAAGATCGATTTCATCTCGCTTCCAACGGTTTCCAAAAACAGGATCAGAAAATTCAATAATCCAATCAGGAGAGACATTTCCTCCATCTGCCATTGACAAACGATATTTATGACCTAGACCAGGAATGACCGTGGCACTGTAGCCCTGTTTTCTATCGCCAATTTGAAAATACTTCAAAGTCACAGAACTAATCAGATCACCATGTTGCCAAAGTTCCAATCGCATATCTCGATTATTTCCAGCGTTTTGATTGAATGAGAATATCTAAGAAAAAAATCAACGTAGAGATTGATTAAACTCTCGGCGGATCTTACTTCAAGTCGACGAACTGGTTTTTTGCAGAAAATAGCACCTAATGTATCAATCAACAAAATAACACTTCTGTAAACATATTCGAACTTCTTCTTCAAACATACCACCGTCATATCTTTTTGCGAATTTAGCTGGATCGTGACCTAGAAGATTAGCAACACCATCGGAATTCAGACATGATGCGCCGTTGTCCAATGCTAATAGATATGTCCTGAAATAGCAATCGTTTGAATACTACCAGCGAAGGAAAAATCTCTACCAGTATGGATTAACTATCGAACAGAATCCCGCTGGAAATAATTTGTTTCCTGACAAATTCTTTTCATCATCGGGCCCAAGTGTAAACATAGCACCATTGTTCGGTCCCCATTTCAACATAGAAAAGTCATCCGAAACAGTGCCAGTCCATTTCATATTAACGAATACGTATGTCGGCATGCATAGAACTGAAAAATTAGTGAGTTTGATTCATAAAACTAGATTACAGAGATGAACAAAACTAACTTCCGGTAACTCCAACATTACAGTGATGGCTTGATTCGAAATGAACTCGATTGTTAAAGATCATGTTTTCTAAAATAAATGCTCCATGACCACCTGGCAAAGCCAAGTTACCTGCTTCATAAAATGAGTCCGCTATATGCGCTGAGCATCCATCTTGAAAGTTTTTCGTTTCTTTCCAATAAATCAGATTCTGATTATGCACACTTGTATGAAATCGATACTGTACATCACCTGCATTGTACTGACCAACGAAAACATTGTCATAGTCGATATTATGCATAAATGTAGCTGGTAAACCATTATCTTCACCAGTCGCCGTCCATTCTTTACATGTCGCTAATGTGGGTAGACCATTTTTCTCAATCGAGCGATCAGTTTTCTTCGGAAAAACACCGCCCGGTACGTTTGTGCCGNCATTTTGTAGAGAATCAAATTCTGCATCGAATGACATGTAAAAGAACATGTTTTAAGGAGATTTTTTGCTGAGACCACCCAAAATACGATTATGAAAAAGCTTGAAAAATATTTTCTTAGAGAAAAAAGTCGACTACGAACAAAATAAACGTCAGATTCGTAATCAGCGCTAAAAACTACATCTGAAACAGTATTTAGAAACGCTGTTATTGAAAAAAAAATTTTTCAAAACCTGATCAGTGAAGTGTCACTTTACGTGGACATGCCCTATACAGGCAAAGCGTAATAAAACATAATTTGACATTAACGTCATACTCATTAAAAAATGTCAGATTAATATTCAGATTGTAATCGGATTTTTGGCAGCAAAATCAACACTAACACTTTCTTGCCCGTGGCTAAGCTTTAATCTGCGAGACTGGAATTCATGCAATAATGTGAACACTGTAACCTCTAATATGCGCAAAACAAGCTTGCATCACGTCACTGAAATACTAGTTTGGTCGATGTATTAATACTTCTTTACGGCACGACTATCGTACGCGCCATAACACAACAGATTGTTTGTATAATAAGTTAAAGTTTTCTGAAGAATTTGATGTTTAGAATATAGGTAGAAAATAAGCTGCTCTATGCCTGATATCACAAAAGAACGAAATTTTTTGAAAAAATGGTACTTATAGGTGCCATGCGATAAGAAAGGGTTAAAATCGATCAAAATTTCCAATAAAAGAATATCATTAGACTTTTAATCAAACATGATTTCCTGAAATCGATATAGTTTTCTGTCAAAATCACATGTATTATCGATTTATAAATTGTATATTTCTGATTTTATATGATTTTAATAAAAAAAATTAATTTCAAGAAAGAATTTTTAATTAAATCAAATTATTGTCTTTTTGAAAATTTTAATTAAGTAAAATCTTTACTTCGCTGGGGGGAAATCCGATTATAATACGCCCTAATCTAGTAAAATCTAGCAATTTTTTTACTAGGATAATGACCTTACTGAACACACGTTTGAGTTGCAAAGTTGCACAACCCGTTTTTTTTACGCCTACGTCTCTCGAGCAACTTTCTATTAGCATTCTTGTTGCAGACAATATTCAATCAAAAGCGAATTGAGATACGCACATCTTATCCGTAAACAATTTGAAGAGAGCGGAACGAACGATGTTATCATTTTTCTACTGAAATTAGCTCATCTATTATGCTACATGTAGTCGTTCAACAATACAATAGCATTTGTTCGATACAATATCAATCGATGAGTTCGTTCAATTCTTTCGTCGAATATGTTATTGCTTTCACAAAACCGATTTGTCTTGTGAAATCAATACCAATGGCGATCTTAGTCCTGGTCGGATACGACCAATGTTCATATGCAACAAATTATCCTATAGCGCACACAGAATAAATCGTCTGTTGCATAAATTACCGATTGTATTCGTGAAGTTAATTGATGTATTGTTTCAACAACGAATTTTTGTTTACGAGAACTCGTTGACTCACATACAACTTATTCGATCGTGATCAAAGTCGCTATTCTTTATTTTATACTACTCTTAAATAATGTGTAGCTTTTGAACATTTAGAACAACTTGAGTTTATACTCGAATACTGACTGGTCGTTCCGTCATTATTTATTCAGTTTTACTCTCGTGGGCCATTTTTACGTTTTGATTATGATAACATCTACTGTGCTTATACGCGATCGATATTTACGATGCGAACTTTTCGACAGGAACTTCTTTGAAAGGAACGACGCATTCAAAAAATGAATGAATATTTTCATGGATAAGAAATTGAATAATTTCATCCATCCTCATACCTGTTTATAGTTGTCGTCTTTCATGCTCGCTCTCAATACATTTAACAAATCATGCTGTTCTGCCATGATTGTTTACACGTTTAAAAAATAAATGCAATGTAATCTCAAGGTTACTAACAAAACATTTTGTATTTCTGTTGTTACTATTGTTCACATGTCACATTTTTTTTCGTTTGTTTCTCGCGATAAATCATTATGGAGTTTTATCGTCGTCCACTGTTTACCTATTCTATCATTCTTCTTCTCTTAGCTGTTCAACCGTTAATTCATCTATACTACCAAAGCAATCCGAAATGCTTCCACTATGCATTGACTACACTAGCATATGAGGCAGTCGTTAATCATACTGATATTGTTAATCTAAATACACGCATTTTGTGTTGGATTCCAACGACACTCAAACGACTCGATCGAGCATTGATTGCATACGAGTTAGGGAATGAAAGTTTTAATGTCAATTTGTTCTTATTCTTCTTTAATTCAGAACATGGGCTCGCCGGTGCGATTATCCGCTGTTTATCATTGCTGGCTCACCGCCATCATCTCCAGTTAATCGTTCTGCGTATCCATTTCCTATTGCTTTCATTGCTAATGATAGTATTGAGAAATACAATCAATTGTCCGAGAAAGTTCTTCTCTCCTTGGCTCACATTTACAAAGAATATCACGAGCAATACGACTGGTTTTTCAAAGGCGACGATGACACGTTCGTTATTATTGAAAACCTTCGTTATTTCCTTCGACGCAATCCTTCGAATGTGTCCGCATACTACGGTTATGTGGGACGAACTCCCGATCGATTCTATGCATTGGGTGGCGCTGGATATGTGTTGAGTCAAGAGGCGCTGCGTCGTTTTGGTAAGGAAGTTCTCAGCAGGCCCAATCAACGAAACTTATGTCGTACAGACGTGGCAGAAGATATCAATCTCGCTGCTTGTCTATCACGGGTTGGCATCACTGTGCTTAGTCTGCGTGATCAGGAAAAACTCGAAACGTTCCATTCGATGACATTCGAATCACATTTTGTGGGCAATTCTACTCGTTGGAATGAAGGACAAAGAAAACTTGTTATTGAGAATGGTGAAAAGTGCTGTTCGCCATGGTCGATCTCCTTTCATAGTCTGTCGCCAGATCAAATGCGAATGATGCATTTTTTATTGTATCGATTGCGGAGAGCGCCAATCTGAATAAGAAATGTTTCGCGATGTGTTGCGACCATTTCAGTACGAAAACCAAGCTCAGCAATTTTTCACACAAAGAATTTTCAAATTTCATTTTTTTTTATAGATGTCACTGGACCGAAATAAATGAAAATCGACAGGTATAAGAAAATAACCAGGTCGTTCAGTGACGCCTAAAGTCAAAATCGAACCGAATGGTTTGATCTCTTCATTGATGCTTTTTACCACGCCTCACAGATATGATTACCTGCCCCGTAAACAATTCTACCAATCACCAGAGCAGGGATTGCAGAGAGCGTTGCGCTGAGAACACCACAACAATCAGACTTCGAAGTGCTTGAACACATAACGTATGATATAGAAGACCAGTTGCCGCATGAAGGAGAAAGCCGCGAAATGAACAGAATTGGTCATTGCCATCAGATATGATTTGGTAGATTGCTTGACATCCGCAAGTGACATTGATCATGATAGTAACAACGATGAGAATGAAAGTCAGCGAACAAACTAAGGCAACGAGACTGCGGGAAGTCATAACCAATGACGATAAGAGACCGAAAACATCATCCATTTCAGTTGTGTAAGTCCTGTAATGCGAGAAAGAAAAAACGAGAAATTTTTAAAGCGCTCAGATCAGAGTATAAAATTTCAAATATGATCGGCGGTGGATGCGACATAAATGCTTCTCGCTCTTCGCATCTTTCATTTAATAAACGTTATTACAACCGTTGGTATTGTCATATTTGCAATTGAAAGGCGAGATAAGATACATACGTATGTCTGTATGTCACAGTATGATGAGTGGAGAAACGCGACACTTTTCGTGTCAACGTATATATTTCTATAAGTACATCTGATTCGAAAAGCGAAATGCCATGTAATGATGAATTATTTCCACATTAACAACAAGGCATTTTGTTACCGAGAGAATGTTCAGTGAAAAAATAATTAGCAAGTCATTTATTAATAAAAACAGGGTTTCACGTATTACTCGTGCTTCAGTGATAAAGATCCAAGTCGTTCCGTCAGATCGAATGCGCGTGATATATTTCTCATTATACCGGTTACAGAAAGCGTCAATCTGAACAAAATAGGCACAAGATCATCGTCTTTCGAGGCGAATATACACAGCATCAGGTTGAATGAGAAACGTCTCGCGGTGTTGAAATCCTTTTTCGATGTCTTCACCAGGTAGCACTGTATATTGGTGTAGTAGTTGAGATAGAACCATTTTCAGTTCCATAAAAGCAAACCGGATACCTAGACAACCTCGAGAACCAGCACCGAATGACATATATGCCATCAAATGTCGTTTCGCATAATGGCGCTCAGGGACGAACTCATACGGATCTTCTGGTCCCCATAGATTCTGATCATAATGAATGCTGAGGATGTCCGGTTGAATCAGAGCACCTATTTAGATAGAAATATATATATGAGGAAGACTAGTACGGATGAAAGAAATAGAAACCTTTTTGAATTTCATGACCGCATATGGTAGTTGTTGTGTTGCATTCTCTTTTTGTAGCTGTTGTAGCAATCGGATACATTCGAAGAACTTCTCGAATGAACATATCCATGTAGTTCATGTCCATAACAGCGTCATAACTTAATTGGCCATCTTCGTTCCATTCTTGTTCATCAACTTCTGCTTGAAGTTTCCTTTGAACATTACTATTCGTCGCTATGACATACGTGCACGAAGCTAATGCAGTCGAGATAGAATCATAACCAGCAATCATGAACAAGAGGATATTAGCACCTACTTCCTCTCTATGAAGCGTTTTTGAATCTAAGCGTGCATTGTTCGGAGCAGAATGTTCAACAGAATTGACTTTGGCTTTATCTCGCATCGTTGCATCAAGCATCAGCTGAAGTAGATCGATTTGATGCTGTTTTCCGTTGTCACTCGCTTGCTTTCTAGCATTGATAATAGTTTCAACTTGATTGAGTATCCATAATGCTGGAACACTTTCGATTTCAGGCGAGAGTCGTTTGGGTAATATTGCGCGAAAAAGTTTACCAAGTAGCATTTGCCCCATCATGATATAGAGTAGAACTGGAATGAGAAACGGCATGAGATTACCAAGTTTAGTCAAAGGTAAGCGTTCGGGATTATCATGAACGGCGAGTTTACATTTATGGAGAAAAGCATTGTCAATATCATTTTGCATATCTGTATCCATTCCGAAAGCACAATGACAAATAACATCCATTGTTAATCGTCTGTACAATTCATAGATGTTGAATTGTTCTCGTTTTTCTTGGATGGCTTCCAGTTTATTTACTAACGATTGAATACAGCGATAGATGGCAGATGACATTAGTTTGAGTTTTGCTGCAGAAAATGTTGGATTGATCACATGTCGTTGCCGACGCCAAGTTGATCCACTTGCACCAAACATATGGACCTGATGGCCGCGCACAGTTTTCATCAGAAAAGGAACCGAACGTTCGTTGAATAAAGCAAATTGATTGATATACACTTCATGAAGAAACTCAACGTCAGAAACTACGTACATCGGACGTGTTCCTTCGAATAGTCCATAGATCGAACCATATCGTTGAGTCCACCGTCGGTATTGTTCGCTCAAGTCAGGAAGAGACCAAAGGATGCGATAATGACCAAAGAAGAAGGCTGGAAGTGGGCCCGGTAAACCACGTTGTTTGAAATAATCGTAGCAAGATTTTAGACTCCATATATAAACAAGAATTAGAGCAACTATAATTGTCAAGAGACCGTAAGTGAGTACCATCATAGTCGATTAACTATGAAATAACATAGTCAACGAATCAAGATATTCTGAAAACTTTTTCCGTTCTGCAGGCCTGACTTTTATACGTTGTATTTGAAGTTGTAATTATCTTGTTGTTCTATTCACTCTCATATGAGTCATTAGTACCTTCTAATACGAGTAAATACAACATTCGTTCACCATTAAAAAAAATGCAAAAAATATCATGCCTTTACACAAAAGAATCCTACTCAATGGAAAAATGATTATGAATCATTTACATCACTCCGAGACGTAGCATTCGGTATTCTTTTAATCGTCATCAAAATGAATTAGTATGAGTCCCTTTCAAAAAAATATTTTCAAATCAAACGAAACTATTTTTATCCTCCTTTAACAACCCTTGAAACAACACCAAGCAGCACCAGCCATTGCAGAATAACTACATCCACCTCCTGCATTACAATAGCCAGTTTGAAAACTGGCGTTACAACCGTACGGATATTGACCTTTACATCTACCATCACAGCTATTAGTTATTGATGGTGGTGTAACAGGAGCAGCTGTACTTGAGTCCGTTACGGCTGAACATTTGATTCCTGATATAATACCAGGTCGATGATTTCGTTGTGTTCCAGATTTCAAGAAGCAAATAGTAGCTAGTACCCATGAATTACACGCCGGATTTGCATGGCATGCAGCACAACAAGCTTTTGCATTTGATGTTTGTACAACTGCAAGATTTCCACCAGAGATATCACTGTCTGTGTAGTAATTGCATCCGTTTAGACACGTAGGTTCCAGTTCTGGAGGCGGAGGTGGTGCTGATGTTGTATCACATCGATCGCCGTACCAGCCTTCCATACAGACGCACGGTTTATTGGTCACCTGTAGATCACCGCCAAGATATCGAGCAGCGCAGTTACCATTGACACATTTAGCAGCAGCACAAGTATCAATCATGCAATTTACACCGGAGAATCCCGGATTACATAAGCATTCACCTGTAGCACAATCACAGTATCCATTTGTACAGCCATTCGGACATTTGTCGGGACATTCCTCGACATTGCTTAGTTTCGGTTGAGATCGACAATTAACAGGAGCCATGTCGGGAAAAGAAGTACATGCTCCTCTTCCTTTCACTTGAAGATAATTATCTCCCGACCATATGTATCTAAAATAAGAAACTTACTAAGTGAAAGAAGATACTTTAGAGTAAAGAAGTCACCTTCGATCATGCTGAGAATGAACTGGATAATGGCAGCTTCTTCCGACAACAGTAAGATCGATTTCATCTCGCTTCCAACGATTTCCAAAAATAGGATCAGAAAATTCAATAATCCAATCAGGAGAGACATTTCCTCCATCTGCCATTGACAAACGATATTTATGGCCTAGGCCAGGAATGACTGTGGCACTGTAACCCTGTTTTCTGTCGCCAATTTGAAAATACTTCAAAGTCACAGAACTAATCAGATCACCATGTTGCCAAAGTTCCAATCGCATATCTCGATTATTTCCAGCGTTTTGATTGAAAGAGAATATCTAAGAAACAAATCAACGTAGAAATTTATTTAACTCTCAGCGATTCTTACCTCAAGTCGACGAACTGGTTTTTTGCAGAAAATAGCACCTAATGTATCAATCAACAAAATAACGCTTCTGAAAACGTATTCGGACTTCTTCTTCAAACATACCACCGTCATATTTTTTTGCAAATTTAGCTGGATCTTGACCTAGAAGATTAGCGACACCATTGGAGTTCAGACATGCTGCGCCGTTGTCCAATGCTAATAGATATGTCCTGAAATAGCAATCGTTTGAACACTATCAGCGAGGCAAAAATCTCTACCAGTATGGATTAACTATAGAACAGAATCCAGCTGGAAATAATTTGTTTCCTGATAGATTCTTTTCATCATCGGGCCCAAGTGTAAACATAGCACCATTGTTCGGTCCCCATTTCAACATGGAAAAGTCATCCGAGAACGTGCCTGTCCATTTCATATTGACGAATACGTATGTCGGCATGCATAGAACTACAAAAATAGTAAGTTCGGTGCATAAAACTAGATTACAAAGATGAACAAAACTAACTTCCAGTAACTCCAACATTACAGTGATGGCTTGATTCAAAATGAACTCGATTGTTAAAGATCATGTTTTCTAAAATAAATGCTCCATGACCACCCGGCAAAGCCAAGTTACCTGCTTCATAAAATGAGTCCGCTATATGCGCTGAGCATCCATCTTGAAAGTTTTTCGTTTCTTTCCAATAAATCAGATTCTGATTATGCACACTTGTGTGAAATCGATACTGTAAATCACCTGCATTGTACTGACCAACGAAAACATTGTCATAATCGATATTATGCATAAATGTAGCTGGTAAACCATTATCTTCACCAGTTGCCGTCCATTCCTTACATGTCGCTAATGTGGGTAGACCATTTTTCTCAATTGATCGATCAGTTTTCTTCGGAAAAACACTGGCCAGTACGTATGTACCGAATCTTCCGCAGCCATGAAACGTATTTCCTTCCAATCTGCCCAAATGTTGAAAACTAGGACATTCCAATCCATCGACATGACCACGTCCGTTCGGAAAACCTTGCTCTTGGTAGAGCATGCCATTATAATTATTGGCAAAACGATTTCCGATCACATAATTGGTAAAACCCAAGCCCCATATACCTGCTTGATTCAGCGTTGTGTCAGCTTGACCATTGTCCGTACCTTTCAATATGAAAAATCATCAAATTACAGGTTCGAGAGAAAAGCCATTACGTTACCTGGTACAGCACATCCTTTCTTTTCTCCCGGTTTTGCCCATGGACATATTCCCACATTATAAAGAATTCGATTATACATTTCATTTCCATCTTCAACATATATCGTTGCGCCTCGGATATCATTGTAGACATTATTTTCAACAGTTGCTAGATGTGTTCCATGAATAGCCGTGCCTCGCTGTTGACCATATTCAAAAGCATTACCGATGATTTTGCATTCGGGACAGCTCTTTAGCAGATGTAAATGTACGCAATATTTTCCCAGGATACCACGTTGACCACATTTTTCAATTCGTGTGTGTTGTAGAGATAATACGGAACCGGATCCAAGTGCAGCCGTATGTAAGCCGACAGTACATTGAGTTCGTCTGATGCTATTCCAACACGAACAATGATCGGCTTGGATATGATCAGGCGGTTTACCATTGGCGACGTCGTTTACACAATTAACATGCTGAAAATCGTCGCCAGTAATGATAATATTTCGAGCTAGATTGATCACTTCTGCTTGCATGAGTGCCGACATATTTTCACCAGTATATAATGTTTTCGATTGAAAAAATGACGATATAATTCCTGTAGCCGTTTCATCTCTATTCATTAATTTTATGGTATTGCCAGTTTCGAATCCTCCAATAGTATATTCTTCTGCGTCACCTTTGGAACCTTCTGTTGTCGGAGCGATCACAATTCGATCGCCAATTTTCCAACCCTAGATTGCAAAGGATTCTGATGATGACTAGAAACAATAGTTCATACTAACCATATCTTCGGGTTTGTGTAGGAGACGAATGTAAGTCATACCGTATACAGCTTTCTCAGAAAGTAAAGACCAAGTCCGAGCAAGTGGACGACCGCTGACATGTATTTTTCCCGCGTTGAAAGCACCGAAAGCCCGCGTTTGAATTGTCGAATGTTTCAGACCATTATTTTTCATATAAATATAACCTTGTTTAGCTGTTAGATTCATATTAAATTGGCCTCCATTCACCTATTCAAATGAAAATGCAATACATGTCTCTAACTATATATCACAATTATATTTACAGCAATATAGCCAGCACATAACCATTGGTCATTTGAAGATTGGCTCATATCATTCCAAACAAGCGAACCATTTATGACAAGAGCAGCAAGATTCAAATTACTATTCATGGTGACTGTAAAACCAGCTGGTATGGTGCATATGCTATCTGTGCCGCAGAAGACTTGAAGATCAGATGAGAACATAGAATTTGTAATGGATTTCACAGTCGAGACGCCCGCTTGATATTGACTTTTACATGTCGTTGTCAAATCTCGAGGAAGCGGTGCCGAATAAGAATCTTTTATGAGTGTCGCGAAATTGTTTATATAATCTGCTTCATCTTCTTGAGCAAAGGCATTGGCCACGTGATATCTTTGTGTTGAACATTGTATAACCAGAAAGATCTTGAAAGCGGTGGATATTAACATCGTATGTCAACTAGTGGAAAGTGATGGGCTCTACCTTTTTCTGATAGTATCTCTCTGGCTTCAATATCGCTTCGATCAGTCATTTATATTTTCATATTAGCATCCAAAGATCAAATTTCATCATTAAGAGAGGACTAACTATATGATAACGTTTTTTTTGTCTAAATCCGAATATAATTTTAATTAGACAAACAATGTTCGGCTTATAGTCCTTTGTCAAAAAAATTCAAATCACACAATTCGATGATTAGTTTTCAGAAAAATAAAATCGACAAATATGTATCTATCTCAACACATATATTCTCCCTCTGAAAGTAATGAATAAAGATTGTTTTTAGTTCATAACTATATTTGTGAAGCTAAGAAAAAAGTACATGAATACAACAGTGAGAAAAACTTATGAAGTCTAATCATTGCAGATCGCTTTGTTTATAGACTTACAAAGCTCATGGTTCCTGGACCTTCGGTAAGTATATTAAATGATCCGATTACATTTTTATAGTATGTTGCTATAACTACAGTATAATTTATTCCAGAATTTAGCATTGCTATAAGCATGAACTGTCTGTTGCCACCATCATCGTCATTTGAGTCGATCAAGTTTTCCTTTGGATTTGTAGAATTGAAAGTAGTATTGTAGAGGTACCCTAGTGTATCCATGCTACTATTTGATGCAATACTATAACCGCCTGATATGTTCACGCTGATCAGAATTGCTTGGTAATAAGATATGCCCGTTGACTCAGTAATTGCAGAATGGTTAAACTTTGGACTCAGTAATGTTAAGGCTGATGCATATTGTGACTGTATTTTGGTTACATTTGCTAAATAAAAGACGTACAAGAAATCAACGTTTAGAATTGAATTTTCATTACTGACTCATATGCATGTCTAAAGTAGCTATATGCTTTTGTGCATACTAAATCTTGGTGAATGATAATAACAACAATCAGTTTCCTACGAAATTATCTATGCTCAAACTGATGATGATATTACGCATCAACTACCACTGCTGAAATAAATCTTTTTTTCCTTGGTGAGACTTCCTTACTCGATGAAATACTAGTCGTCCATGGGCCGTAAATGGTAATTGAAAATTCTCCTGTGGTCCTTGCCCAGTATGTCGACACAACCAGAGTATAGCTGTTCATCGAACTGAGCATCACGTTAAGCATGAATTGTCCGTCACCGGCAGCATCGTTGTCCTCCGTAAGTAAATTCACGTCGGGAAACGACGAATTGAAAGTATTATTGTACAAATAACCTTCCATATCGATGGTGCTGTTTGATAATATGGTGTAGATGCCTGTCATCGTCACTCTTAACTGAATGGCTTCGTAGAAAAAGAACAGGCCATCCCAAGGATTGTCAGGACGACTATACAGTTGGCTTGCCATAGACAAAGCTGATGAATAGTAGGATTGAGTGTATGATGGAGGTGGTACTAAAGTTAGTCAGAATGAAACATGAGTTTCAGTGTGAGGAATGATATAGAATGGTCCTTGTCCGTCAGGGTGTTAATATCACTATGTTTACTTACTTAGTGAAAAAGCAATCGCTGATGGACCACTAGCAACTATTGAAAATTCTCCTGTGGTCCTTGCCCAGTATGTCGACACAACCAGAGTATAGTTGTTCATCGAACTGAGCATCACATTGAGCATGAATTGTCCGTCACCGACAGCATTGCTGTCTTCCGCAATTAAATTCACGTCGGGAAACGACGAATTGAAAGTATTATTGTACAAATAACCTTCCATATCGATGGTGCTGTTTGATAATATGGTGTAGATGCCTGTCATCGTCACTCTTAACTGAATGGCTTCGTAGAAAAAGAACAGGCCATCCCAAGGATTGTCAGGACGACTATACAGTTGGCTTGCCATAGACAAAGCTGATGAATAGTAGGATTGAGTGTATGATGGAGGTGGTACTAAAGTTAGTCAGAATGAAACATGAGTTTCAGTGTGAGGAATGATATAGAATGGTCCTTGTCCGTCAGGGTGTTAATATCACTATGTTTACTTACTTAGTGAAAAAGCAATCGCTGATGGACCACTAGCAACTATTGAAAATTCTCCTGTGGTCCTTGCCCAGTATGTCGACACAACCAGAGTATAGTTGTTCATCGAACTGAGCATCACATTGAGCATGAATTGTCCGTCACCGACAGCATTGCTGTCTTCCGCAATTAAATTCACGTCGGGAAACGACGAGTTGAAAGTATTATTGTACAAATAACCTTCCATATCGATGGTGCTGTTTGATAATATGGTGTAGATGCCTGTCATCGTCACTCTTAACTGAATGGCTTCGTAGAAAAAGAAAAGTCCATCCCAAGGATTGTCAGGACGACTGTACAGTGGGCTTACAATCGTTAAAGCTGATGAATAATTGGATTGTACTGCTGTTATAATAACTAGAGAAAAGAGAGAAAAAAGGAACTTTTATTGTTTAATCATTAACGATTTTCTGCACTGTTGACTTCTTAAGGAAAGTGGATATGTATAAAGAATGAGAATGTGGATGTGAGAGTAACTCATTATAGGATAGCATCTTTTCAAAAGGACACACTATGAATTAAGAAATTATCGTCATCGTTTACCTGTACTGGTAGAACTAAAAATTGTTCTGCTGGTCACTGGAGTTGTTCGACTGATCATTGTAGTTGTTTGATAACCTAAAGAGGTCACCATGTGTGATATGAGAGCGTTGGAATTGAACAACATACTTGTTTGACTGTCTTGATTGTTTTCTTTTCTTCTAGAGAAAATGTATGAACAAATGATCGCTCCTATAAGTAGTAACACGAGCGTTGATACCACAATAACTGGTGTAGCAAGCTTCATAGTTGAATTGAAACCTGTACAAACGAAAAGAATGTAGGCCATGGCTTGGTTAAAACTTCAGCTGTTAAAAATATCAATTTGTATTTATAGGACAAAAAAAAAGCACGAAAAAGTTTGAAAAGCAAAGATATGCAGACTAGATTGGAATGATGCTTACAACTTGATGTTGTAGCAAAATGTCTTCGTGTGAGCGTTACTGATCGATTCAATACTCAAGCTACAGATATATTTCTTTTCTCTTTCGAGAAGAAATTTACATTTCCTAATATAGTTCTCTGAATCTTTTCTGTAAAGTGCATTCATTTTCTTTCAATGAATATATACAGGATGCAAATTGAAATTAAATCTTCAAGATACCAAACATAATTCAAGTTAAACACACATTCTTTTCATATAAAGGAAAAAGTAATTATAAGAAAAACACACGAAACATCCGATTATATCATTGAGATGCATGTACGTTATTAACAATTGGTTGCATGCAACTTTCCAAACAAACTTTGTGTTGTCCTTAAAAGATACAGTGAAAAACAAAATGACTTTAGATATTATGTAGCAACGTTGTGCGCGTTCAAATTATTCTACTCGGCTTTTTACTGAATACTATTTTAGAGAACTAGGACAAGTTTTGATTATGTACTTTTTGAAGTTCTCGTTAATAAAATCATTTGGATATTGTGACTTTTATTCTAATTTATTTCAATATTTGCCCTCAAAATGATTAAAGACTTGAATAATTTGATTTGTTTTTCAAATGTTGTTTTCAAGATGATCGATGTAGACGAAATGTTTTATGAGTTTTATTTTTCAATTTATAAATTCATCATAATGGCAGTATATAGTGTAGTTAAATAAAATGTACGTAAATTATGAAGTTATACTTGATACATTTCGAGATTATCGCCGCGAACGATTACAACAGACGATGACCCAAACATGAGTGCAACTTTTACTTTATCGTAGCTATACTCCTCTTTGGCTTCATATTCTGTTTTAAATTCGCGATCAAGAGAAATCTGCATAATATTGTTGTTGTAATCATCGCACACCATAAGCCATTCGCCAGTCGATGCAATTCGATTTATTTTACAACCAGATGATGGTAAGGACGTCATGCCAGCTTCAAATGGTTTTTTTGTCATATTTACCACATATAAATAATGTTTGTATTCAATCTTCATAATCACGGCGAGTCTTCCTCTGTTAGCACGTATAGTGGATATTTCACGTCTATCTGTTTTAAGTTTGCTGGCATTCTTATTACTAAGCTTGTCTCCTGTTAACGACAGTTTAGCTTCTATCAGGTCTGAAACAGTATACTGTCGGAAGAAGGTAAAATCTGGTAGATTGTATTGGTCAACGTGGAAGGGGTAGCCGTCGTTGACTGTACTTATAAAAAGTGCGTTACCCGTGCATGTACAAGAGATGAATTTCTTTTCATCCCGTTCCAGTTGGACATTTTCAACGCAAGATAGCTTGCAAGTCTTTGGATCGAATATATAAACATTTTTCTCTGTAACGGCAATGAATCGGCAAAGCAGTGATGACCAAGCTATGTCCAAAATTTTGAGCGATGAAAGGATATTATCTTTTAATGTACTGACAGTTTTGAGGTTGTCGTCTAGCAGAAAAAATTGTTTATCACCATAAAGGAGTAAAATTTCGTCATTGGCGCTTATAATTTCTAGCTCGTTATAACCCCAGAAGTCGCGCAACGATCGAAATTTCCATGGTTTATTTCGAACTGATGACAAATCCAAAGAACGATGCAATGGAAAATCAAGCTCTAGCAAATATTATTTTAGTGATTATGTTTGATGCATCTACATGTTCGAACTTACCCTTGTAGCTTAATGGCTGAGCCTTGTTCGAATTATCAGATCGAATCTGGTTACCAGCCGCAGCACTAAAAGAATAACATGTTATATTTCGCAAATATTGCGATGAGAGGTAATATCACTGATTCGATGCTTGTCCAGATTTGCCTGATTTTTCTTCCAAGTGAACAATAAAGAGACGCTCTTCAAAACTGAGTGGTTTGCTTTTGATGAGCAGAGCGCTCCCTGGCAAAAGAACGACTTCGTGTTCTTCTTTGAAAGCTGAATAGTTGGAAATATCTTTTCCGTTCACTACAGCAATGGCGAACACTGTACCAGTCTTGCCTAAATATAATTCAACAACGTTTAGATCTGTTGAACATGAATTAACACTCCACCAAGTCTCCGTCGAACCGTCGACAAAATCGGAACCGATGTCACCGGATACCCCGCGCCAAACAACGGTGTTTACGTAGGGTAATTTCTCTAGAGCCGTTATGAACAGTTTCAAGTATCCAAACCATGGTTTCAATGCATCTCGATTTTTGTTTCGAAGTGTAGCATTTAGCGTTGAAAAGAATGGTATTGGCATAGAATAGAGATAAATTGCTGCTGATTCATCGTGTGTCAGTAGTGATGAACTTCGATTGCAGTCTTCTTTCGCTTTTTTCACATAGGTCATCAAACCAGGAACCCATCGATCAAGTCCTTCGACAGCTTCCTCTAATCTTCGAACACGTAGATGCTGATAGCTATAGATTGGATTCAGATTCATTTGTTTCAGATCCGATGACTTCGTACTTACGAAACGCTCGCTTCTCAGCTGCAACATTTCTTTGCTATGATTGTGTCCCATTGTTGTTCAAAAAACCTAACAATGCATACGGATGAAAGGAATTATAACAAAATATCGACACCCCACAGTTACTTCTCCCATACAATGGACATCCCTAGCAACCTAAAGACATGCTACTATCGTTGTTAGTTCAGACTGATCGAAACCTCTCGAACTTCTGGTATAAAAAGGGTGTTTAGATCGACCAGTATGAGCGCAAATATTTTTATTTACTTGTAATATAGTGATGCTGACAAGCGAAATATTCCAAGAATACGTTTAGAGGGAATGAAAATGGTATTCGATGTACATAATTCCTGTGGTATTTTTATTTTCACCAACTTACGCACTTTTTCCAACTATCGTAGTAGACGGCAGAAAAGAAAAACATATCCCCGGCAACGGTAGAAGTGATTTTTTCGTTTCTTTGAAAGAAAATAAAAATCGTGTACTGGCAACCTATAATAACATTATCCTATTTTCGCTTATATTTGTTTTTCATTAAAATTTCATCAGTGGATGCATAAAAACTTACTTCACCATAATGACTAAAATAGAAAAAACAAGTTCACAAGAAAAGACTATGTTTTTACACAATAAGTTTACTGAAAACTTTCCATCAAGAACAACATGCATGAATTTATACCCTACTATCGACTGAGTCAGTGGTATACATTTTCCATTTACAGTGAAACTTTATAACCATATGATATTTTAAGTTTCCAATGTCACAACTTTTTAGACGGACGTATGTGAAGTACAAGGGAGATTGTTTCTAGTATACACTTATTTATCGTCATTCTTATTCACCGAGACTTTCGTCTGAATACCTTGTAGTTTTCTTATCTACCCAACAAAATACACAGATTAGAATAATTCATCGCATTTTGGACGTTCATTTTATACATGTCGCAGTTGGTTAGAGAATTTAGTTGAGAATGGAATGTACATAAGCATCAAAATAATATCTAAATCTATATTTTTTTACGTTTGAAAGAGAAATAAATAGAATCTATACTTGTGTACGAAAATATTTTGAAATTTCGAGGGTGTGAGGGTGTGGGGTGAGGGTGTGGGTGTGGTGGCTGGATGCACGATTTCCACTAATATTCCTCAGCTTTCCAGGATACACTTCCATTTGGATATCGTGCTGGATACATCGACTTAGCTGCATATGGTAACGTAGTGAATTCTCTGCTGTTGGATGAATACCGGGTGTAACGGGATTATGACATCACTCGATCTGACGGTAGCATCTGTTGTCCGAGTTGAAGTTCGCATTCGAAATAGGAAATAGTACTCGCGTAATCATCCAATTTAAAATGTACTTTCCCGCTTTTATTGTAGGATTTAGCCACACCACGATGATTAGGAGAAAATGGTTGTAGTTGAATTCCGTAGCCATGTCAGGATGATTCGAACTGAGGGTGAGGGTGTGGGTGGGTGTATATCGTTCTAGTCGTGAGAAGAGATCGGCAACTGTGCTACTGGAGTCTAACGTATATCTGTGTTGGTGTTTATCATCAAATCTTCTTTTTGATTGGCAGTAGACTCATCATCGCAAAAAAGCTATAAATAGATGTGCAAATATAGTTTTGCATTTCTCATTCTTTTTGTTGTCGATGAAATATCATATTGCGAATATCTCTCATATCTCCACGGACCATCTATCAGTTTTCAGAGAATCATTTTTAGAACCCTGTCAACGACTTATTTAACATTTTTAGAACATTACACTTTGAAGCTTATCTTATTTATTATCGGTCTAGTGGTTTCGTATTATTTTTATCACGTCCAACGGTCGATTCTACTTCCAAAATGAAATTAAAAGAGTCATACCAAGCAGCATTGGTCATGTAATTAATATCCGTTCTTGTCTTTTTAACAGATGTTTGTCATTACATTTCGAACCACATATCTTATTCATGAAAATAACAAATCATACGATGTATAAAGCACAGAGGTACTTTGTTTCTTTCTTTTGTGACCGGTTACTTTTTAATTTTTTTCACATCTGCGCACGTTCCGACAAAACATGAGTACAAGTTTAACTGACACAAAATTACAAAGAACGCTTTATATCAAAGAGACGTTATATAACTTTGTTCTGAAGTTCATTATTCTTTATGACAGTTCTTCCACTTCTATGGTCTCATTCTCGAAACTTTGGGGTACAATACCATTGCTTTTCGTACGAAAACATTGTTTACAACCATGCCAACATTTCTTGAATAACAAATATTTGACTTGACGACGAAACCGTGATGATGAAATTATATACGCATAGAAACTCACCTGCAAACACAATAAACAACATCACNTCCAATCTGCCCAAATGTTGAAAACTAGGACATTCCAATCCATCGACATGACCACGTCCGTTCGGAAAACCTTGCTCTTGGTAGAGCATGCCATTATAATTATTGGCAAAACGATTTCCGATCACATAATTGGTAAAACCCAAGCCCCATATACCTGCTTGATTCAGCGTTGTGTCAGCTTGACCATTGTCCGTACCTTTCAACAGGAAAAATCATCAAATTACAGGCTCGAGAGAAAAGCCATTACGTTACCTGGTACAGCACATCCTTTCTTTTCGCCCGGCTTTGCCCACGGACATATTCCCACATTATAAAGAATTCGATTATACATTTCATTTCCATCTTCAACATATATCGTTGCGCCTCGGATATCATTGTAGACATTGTTTTCAACAGTTGCTAGATGTGTTCCATGAATAGCCGTACCTCGCTGTTGACCATATTCAAAAGCATTGCCGATGATTTTGCATTCGGGACAGCTCTTCAGCAGATGTAAATGTACGCAATATTTTCCCAGGATACCACGTTGGCCACATTTTTCAATTCGTGTGTGTTGTAGAGATAATACTGAACCGGATCCAAGTGCAGCCGTATGTAAGCCGACAGTACATTGAGTTCGTCTAATACTATCCCAACACGAACAATGATCGGCTTGAATATGATCAGGTGGTTTACCGTTGGCAACGTCGTTTACACAATTAACATGCTGAAAATCGTCGCCAGTAATAATAATATTTCGAGCTAGATTGATCACTTCTGCTTGCATGAGTGCCGACATATTTTCGCCGGTATATAACGTTTTCGATTGAAAAAATGACGATATAATTCCTGTAGCCGTTCCATCTCTATCCATTAATTTTATGGTATTGCCAGTTTGGAATCCTCCAATAGTATATTCTTCTGCGTCACCTTTGGAACCGTCTGTTGTCGGAGCAATCACAATTCGATCGCCAATTCTCCAACCCTATATTGCGAAGGATTCTGATGATCAATAGAAACAATAGTTCATACTAACCATATCTTCGGGTTTGTGTAAGAGACGGATGTAAGTCATACCGTATACAGCTTTCTCCGAAAGTAAAGACCAAGTCCGAGCAAGCGGACGACCACTGACATGTATTTTTCCCGCGTTGAAAGCACCGAAAGCACGCGTTTGAATTGTCGAATGTTTCAGACCATTATTTTTCATATAAATATAGCCTTGCTTAGTTGTTAGATTCATATTGAATTGACCTCCATCTACCTGTTTAGAAGAAAATACAATACATGTCTCTAACTATATATCACAATTATATTTACAGCAATATAACCAGCACATAACCATTGGTCACTTGAAGATTGGCTCATGTCATTCCAAACGAGCGAACCATGTATAACAAGAGCAGCAAGACTCAAATTACTATTCATGGTGACTGTAAAACCAGTTGGTATGGTACATATGCTATCTGTGCCACAGAAGACTTGAAGATCAGATGAGAACATAGAATTTGTAATGGATTTCACAGTGGAGACGCCCGCTTGATATTGACTTTTACATGTCGATTTCAAATCACGAGGAAGCGGTGCCGAATAAGAATCTTTTATGAGTGTCGCGAAATTATTTATATAATCTGCTTCATCTTCTTGAGCAAAAGCATCGGCCACATGGTATCTTTGTATTGAACATTGTATAACCAAAAAGATCTTGAAAGCGGTGGATATTAACATCGTATATCAACCAGTGGAAAGTGATGGGCTCTACCTTTTTCGATAATATCTTTCTGGCTTCAATTCAATATCGCTTCGATCAGTAGTCTATGTTTTCATATTAGCATCCAAAGATCAAATTTCATCATTAAGAGAGGACTAACTATATGATAACGTTTTTTTTTCTACCTGAATCCGAATATACTTTTAATTAGGCAAACAATGTTGGGCTTATAGTCCTTTTTCAAGAAAAATTCAAATCACACAATTCGATTATTAGTTTTCAGAACAATAAAATCGACAAATATGTATCTATCTCAACACATATATTCTGACTCTGAAAGTAATGAGCAAAGATTGTTTTTAGTTGATAAGTATATTTGTGAAGCTAATGAAGAAGTACATGAATACAAGAATGAGAGAAACTTATGAAGTCTAGTCAATGCAGATCGCTTCGTCTATAGACTTATAAAACTCATGGTTCCTGGACCTTCAGCAAGTATATCATATGATCCGATTACATCTTCAGAGTATGTTGCTATAACTACAGTATAATTTATTCCAGAATGTAGCATTACTATAAACATGAACTGTCTGTTGCCACCATCATCGTCATTTGAGTCAATCAAGTTTTCCTTTGGTTTTGTAGAATTGAACGTAGTATTGTAGAGGTACCCTAGTGTATCCATGCTACTATTTGATGCAATACTATAACCGCCTGATATGTCCACGCTGATCAGAATTGCTTGGTAATAAGATATGCCCGTTGACTCAGTAATTGTAGAATGGTTAAACTTTGGGCTCAGTAATGTTAAGGCCGACGCATATTGTGACTGTATTTTGGTTGAGTTTGCTAAATAAAAGACGTACAAGAAATCAACGTTTACAATTGAATTTTCATTACTATTCATATGTATGTCTAAAGCAGCTATAGACTTTTGTGCATACTAAATCTTTGTGAATAATAATAGCAAAAATCAGTTCGCTACGAAATTATCTGTGCTCAAACTGATGATGACATTACGCATCAACTTCCACTGCTGAAATAAATCTTTTTTCCTTGGTGAGACTTCCTTACTCGATGAAATACTAGTCGTCTGTGGACCGTAGATGGTAATTGAAAATTCTCCTGTGGTCCATGCCCAGTATGTCGACACAACCAGAGTATAGTTCTTTATCGAACTGAGCATCACGCTGAGCATGAATTGTCCGTCACCGGCAGCATCGTTGTCTTCCGCTAGTAAATTCGCATAGGGAAACGACCAGTTGAAAGTATTATTGTACAAATAACCTTCCATATTGATGGCGCTGTTTGATAATATGATGTAGACGCCTGTCATTGTCACTCTTAGCTGAATGACTTCGTAGAAAAAGACAGAGCCATCCCAAGGATTATCAGGACGACTGTATAGTGGGCTTGCCATTGTTAAAGCTGATGAATAATTGGATTGAGTGTATGGTAGAGGTGGTACTAAAGTTATTCAGAATGAAACATGAGTTTTAGTGTAAGGAATGATATATAATGGTCTTTGTTCGTCAGGGTGTTGATATCACTATGTTTACTTACTTAGTGAAAAAGCAACCGCTGATGGACCACTAGCAATTATTGAGAATGCTCCTGTCGTCCTTGCCCAGTACGTCGACACAGCCAGAGTATAGTTTTTCATCGAACTGAGCATCACGCTGAGCATGAATTGTCCGTCACCGGCAGCATTGCCGTCTTTCGCAAGTATATTCGCATAGGGAAACGACCAGTTGAAAGTATTATTGTACAAATAACCTTCCATATCGATGGTGCTGTTTGATAATATGATGTAGACGCCTGTCATTGTCACTCTTAGCTGGATGACTTCGTAGAAAAAGACAGAGCCATCCCAAGGATTGTCAGGACGACTGTACAGTGGGCTTGCCATTGTTAAAGCTGATGAATAATTGGATTGTACTGCTGGTATAATAACTAGGCAAGCGAAAGAGAGAGAAAATGAACCTTTACTATTTAATCATTAATGGTTTTTTGCACTGTTGATTTCTCAAGGGGTGTGGGTGTGAGGATAGCTCATTATAAGATAGCATCTTTTCAAAAGGATACACTACGAATTAAGAAACTATCGTCATCGTTTACCTGTACTGGTAGAACTAGCAAGCGCAGTGTTAGTGGAATTAAAAATTTTTATACTGGTCACTGGAGTTGTCGGACTGATCATCGTAGTTGTTTGACTACCTAAAGAGTTCACCGTGTACGATATGCGAGCGCCAAAATTGGAAGACATACTCGTTTGAATATCTTGGTTGTTTTCTTTTCTTTTAGAGAAAAAGTATGAAAAAATGATTCCTCCTATAAGCAGCAACACGAGCGTTGATACCACAATAACTTGTATAGCAAACTTCATAATTGAACTGAAACCTGTACAAACGAAAAGAATGTGGGTCATGGCCTGGTCAAAACTTCAGCTGTTAAAAATATTAATTTGCATTTATAAGATACAAAAAAGGATGAAAATAGTTTGAAAAGCAAAGATACAGACTAGATAGGGACGATACTTACAACTTGATGTTATAGCAAAATGTTTGTGAGCGTTACTAGTCGACTCAACACTCAGACTACATATATATTTCTTTTCTCTTTGGAGAAGAAATTTAATTTCCTAATATAGTTTGCTGAATCTTTTTTGTAAAGTGCATTCATTTTCTTCCAATGAATATATACAGGATGCGAATTGAAATTAAATCTTCAACATATCAAACACAATTCACGTTAAACACACATTCTTTTCAAATTAAGGGAAAAGTAATTATAAGAAAAACACACGAAATATCCGATTATATCATTGAGATGCATGCACATTATTAGCAATTGGTTGCACGCAACTTTTCAAACAAACTTTGTGTTGTTCTTAAAAAACACACTGAAGAGCAAAACGACTCTGGATATCATGTGGCAACGTTGAGCGCGTTCAAATTACTTCACTCGGCTTTTTACTAAATACTAATTTAGAGAACTAGGACAAGTTTTGATTATATACTTTTTGAAGTTCTCTTTAACAAAATCATTTGGATATTGTGACTTTTATTCTAATTTATATCAATATTTGCACTCGAAATGATTAAAGACTTGAATGATTTGATTTGCTTGTCAAATGTTGTTTTTCAAGATGATTGATATAGAAGAAATTGTTTATGAATTTTATTTTTCAACTTATAAACTCATCATAATGGCAATATATGGTGGAGTTAAACAAAATGTAAGCAAATTATGAAGTTATACTTGATACATTTCGAGATTATCGCCGCAAACGATTACAACAGACGATGGTCCAAACATGAGTGCAAATTTTACTTTATCGTAGTTATACTTCTTTTTGGCTTCATATTCTGTTTTAAATTCACGATCAAGAGAAATCTGCGTAATATTGTTGTCGTAATCATCGCACACCATAAGCCATTCGCCAGTCGATGCAATTCGGTTTATTTTATAACCAGATGATGGTAGGGGCATCATGCCAGCTTCAAATGGTTCTTTTGTCATATTCACCACATATAAATAATGTTTGTATTTAATCTTCATAATCACGGCAAGTCTTCCTCTGTTAGCACGTATAGTGGATATTTTACGTTTATCGTCTATAAATTTGCTCACATTCTTATTATTGAGCTTGGCTTCTATCAGGTCCGAAACAGTATACTGTCGGAAGAAGGTAAAATCTGGTAGATTGTATTGGTCAACGTGGAATGGGTAGTTGTCGTTGACTGTACTTATAAAAAGTGTGTTACCCGTACATGTACAAGAGATGAATTTCTTCTCCTTCCGTCGCAGTTGGACGTTTTCAACGCAAGATAGCTTGCAAGTCTTTGGATCGAATATATAAGCATTTTTCTCTGTAACGGCAATGAATCGGCAAAGCAATGATGACCAAGCTATGTCCAAAATTTCGAGCGATGAAAGGATATTGTTCTTCAATGTACTGACAGTTTCGAGGTTGTTGTTTAGCAGAAAAAATTGTTTATCACCATAAAGGAGTAAAATTTCGTCATTAGTGCTTATAATTTTTAGCGGGTTATAACTGCGGAATTCGTGCAACGATCGAACTTTCCATGGTTCACTTCGAACTGATGACAAATCCAAAGAATGATGCAATGGAAAATCAGACTCTAGGAAATATTATTTTAGTGATTATGTTTGATGCATCTACATGTTCGAACTTACCCTTGTAGCTTAATGGCTGAGCCTCGTTCGAATTATCAGATCGAATCTGGTTACCAGCCGCAGCACTAAAAGAATAGCATGTTATATTTTCGCAAATATTGATGAGAGGTAATACCACGGATTCGATGCTTGTCCAGATTTGCCTGATTTTTCTTCCAAGTGAACAATAAAGAGACGCTCTTCAAAACTGAGTGGTTTGCTTTTGATGAGCAGAGCGCTTCCTGGCAAAAGAACGACTTCGTGTTCTTCTTTGAAAGTTGAATAGTTGGAAATATCTTTTCCGTTCACTACAGCAATGGCGAACACCGTACCAGTCTTGCCTAAATATAATTCAACAACGTTTAGATCTGTTGAACACGAATTAACACTCCACCAAGTCTCCGTCGAACCGTCGACAAAATCGGATCCGATGTCACCTGATACTCCACGCCAAACAACGGTGTTTACGTAGGGTAATTTCTCTAGAGCCGTTATGAACAGTTTCAAGTATCCAAACCATGGTTTCAATGCATCACGATTTTTCTTTCGAAGCGTAGCATTTAGCGTTGAAAAGAATGGTATTGGCATAGAATAGAGATAAATTGCTGCTGATTCATCGTGTGTCAGTAGTGATGAACTTCGATTGCAGTCTTCTTTCGCTTTTTTTACATAGGTCATCAAACCAGGAACCAATCGATCAAGTCCTTCGACAGCTTCCTCTAATCTTCGAACATGTAGATGCTGGTAGCCATAGATTGGATTCAGATTCATTTGTTTCAGATCCGATGACTTCGCACTTACGAAACGCTCGCTTCTTAGCTGCAACATTTCTTTGCTGTGATTGCGTCCCATTGTTGTTCAAAAAACCTAACAATGCATATATGGATGAAAGGAATTATAACAAAATATCGACACCCCCACAGTTATTTCTCCCATGCAATGGACCGCATCCTTAGCAACCGAAAGACATGCTACTATCGTCGTTAGTTCAGACTGATCAAAACCTCTCGAATTTCTGGTATAAAAAAGGTGTGCTTTTATTTACTTGTAATATGGTGATGCTGACAAGCGAAAGATTCCAAAAATACGTTTAGAGGGAATAAAGATGGTATTCCATGTACATAATTTATGTGGTATTTTTATTTTTACCAACTTACACACTTTTTCCAACTATCGTAGTAGACGGCAGAACAGAAAAACATATCCCAGGCGACGGTAGAAGTGAATTTTTCGTTTCTTTGAAAGAAAATAAAAACTTACTTCGCCGTAATGACTAAAATCGAAAAAACAAGTTCACAAGAAAAGACTATGTTTTTACACAATAAGTTTACTGGAAACTTTCCATCAAGAACAACATGCATGAATTTATACCCTCACTATCGACTGAGTCAGTGGTATACATTTTCCATTTACAGTGAAACTTTACAACCATATGATACTTCAGGTTTCCAATGTCACAACTTTTTAGAGGGACGTATGTGGGTGAGGGTGTGGGTGAGGGTGTATATCGTTCTAGTCGTAAGAAGAGATTGGCAACCGTGCTATTGGAGTCTAACGTGTATCTACGTTGGTGTTTATCATCAAATCTTCTTTTTGATTATGGCCGTAGACTGATCATCGCAAAAAAAACCTATAAATAGATGTACAAATATAGTTTCGCATTTCTCATTCTTTTTGTTGTCGATAAAATATCATATTGCGAATATCTCTACCGGTCGTCTACGAGTTTTCAAAGAATCATTTTTACAACCCTGTCAGCGACTCATTTATCATCTTTTGAGAATTTCATACCTCGAAGATTATCTTATTTATTATCGGTCTAGCGGTCTCGTTTTATTTTTATCAAGTCCAACGGCCGATTCTCGTTTCAGAATGAAATTAAAAGAGGCATACCAAGCAGCATTGATCATGTAATTAATATTCGTTCTTGTTTTTTTTAACAGATGTTTGTCATTACGTTTCGAATCACATATCTTGTTCATGAAAATAACAAATTATACGATGTATAGAGCACAAAGACACTTTGTTGCTTTCTGTTGCGACCGGTTACTTTTTCATCTTTTTCACATCTGAGCATGTTCCGACAAGACATAGGTACGAGTTTATTTGACGCAAAATTACAAAGAACGCTTTATATCAAAGAGACGTTATATAACTTTGTTCTGAAGTTCATTATTCTTTAGGACAGCTCTTCCACTTCTATGGTCTCATTCTCGAAACTTTGGGGTACAACACCATTGCTTTTCATGTGAAAACATTGTTTACATCCATGCCAACGTTTCTTGAATAACAAATATTTCACTTGACGACGAAACCGCGATGATGAAATTATGTACGCATAGAAGCTCACCTATAAATATACCTAACAACATCACACACACACAGTTGATCTCAGAATATCTTACTGTATAGTTTGCCATGGACATAGAAAATGTGATTGCCTGAATCAGTCGAACTATCACATACCTCATCATATCCGTTTTCGATATCGGGTATAGAGTTACATAGATGCGACAGATGTTATAGGGTAATGCCAAACTAATAAAGCAAACCACACGTATCAAGATCATTGCTGTCATCTGACGATCAAGTCGACGACGAATGATCGGCAACTGTTGACGAACAATTCGTCGAACATTTCGATATGCCAAACAACTAAACAATAATGTGATCACAATCGGTAAGAAACCAATCAGAATGGGATAATAAAACACTGTCGTGTAATGAACAAAAGTTGGATTCGATATCACACATCCTGTTGATTGTCGAATATCGAAGAATAATCCCAGTATGACACTGTGAACCATGGCGATCACAACAATTATAATTGACACATAATGTGTTGATTTCACGGTGCATATTTGTCGAAGATACGGACGATGATTTGTTGATAGATACTCATCAATAGTAACCGAACATATCATATAATATGTCACAACTGCAAACGTTGGTCCGAGAATGTAACGCAATTTACACCACACTGGAAAACGACCTGTTCCATCATCACCATAGATTGCCGTTAGTATCGTCAAAGTCATAAAGATGAAATGGAAAAGAAAACTGGAAATCGACTCCGATATGAGATAGAAAGCATTGCGATTAGTTCGAAAGAGTTTCAACTGACTAAACACTAAAATGTTCATTGCATTGCCCACTAATCCTGTTACGAATATCAAACATCCACTGTACAACGTATATTGTGTTACGAAATCAAGAACTTGTGTATAGAATATTATTGACATTCTTGTTGATCTGATGATAAAATGATGAAAGGAATAGACTTTGACCAGAAAGATAAAACAGTGTCTTGAATTCTGATTGGTTGTTGGTGAGACGGCGTTAGAGATAATCTACTATTAAATATCTCGCAGAGCGTATTTCAGTCATGTTCGCACGTTAAAGAGCGTCTCGAACATTAAGAAGAAACATGTCTAAGAGCATAACTCACCGATGCGCATTTTGATCTTCAAGCAATTTTACCTCGTTATTCTCAGAGATCGCTGAAAGAGAAAATTATCATTTTTGATACATTTTCCTTTGGCCTATAGAAAAAAACCTCGTCATAAAATTTTTATCAAACTGTAACAGTTATTCTGAGGATAAAACCTGTACATCTACTGTGAATGATTACGAATACTTACTGCAACGTGCATATCTTTAAACTCACTTGTCAACCACGACGAAAAGTGCATCCAATAAAAATGTAGATAAAATGTATAACTATAAGAGAACATAATCTAATAAGGTATATAGAACGTTGTAATGAGTGTTAATTATTGATCGTCTGAACATGTTTTGATAATGACAGAGCACTGAAAAATTAATAATGATATACCGTCTGTGGAAAGGAAATCTCTTGTGAATGCCACTAGTAAGGCACGACATTCCGAGTTATTATTAAGAAAAAGTTAGTATTATGTTTAAAATTTTATGTAAGAATATTGATTGCAGTATGAAGCCTATAGGTGGATGTTGATGTGCGTTAAGATTACTGGTTAATTTGGTACTCGTAATTAAGCCTACGCTCTCAAATCTAACGTAAACTCATGTATTAACTGATTAAAAGTACATTTCACGCTGTTTGCTCATTGTTTGTAAGTTACTTGGAAGGCAAAATGGATTTACATGATTTACTTTGTATGAAGCAATACAAGTTGCAAGCCTGGCCAATATATTTTAACAGTGCTATACTAGTGAAATTCTTTTATTGCGATAATTAATTCTGCGCTATTAAGTGCGTGATATTTCATAGATTACGAAAGTATTTTAGGAAATCATATATTCAGACAGCTTGCATTTGCCTATAAACGGATTACGTTTAATGAAGCAAGGATTATTTTTCTGATGATATTACAGTTCGTCTCGTGTACTAAATACATTTGCACCTAGATAAACAACCAATCACATAAAATATAATTATCATAATGGAGTGGAAAGGAAGTTTTGCCACGAAGCAATAGGTGTTGACAATTGAAATTCTGGTTTATTTATATTATTATTAGTATGGTTGCACTGGAAAATTTGAGCGAAAGGAATAGACTTCATGTTTATTACGATGTGATGATAACGTTGATACATTTTTGATGAACATTGTTTAACATTTGTTTCCACAGAGCCCAATCGATAATCCATCGGGACAAAGAACACCCTGCAGACATTGCTGAAGTATGGAAATATAGCATTGATCATTACAGACAGCATTAAAAACAAAACGTTTATAAACAACATCATCGATGCAAACTTGAAATGTTCAATTATACCATTGTCATGACATAGATCAGGTTTAACACCATTGCAAACTGTTCCGTTGATGTATTTTTACGAGAGATTATTGAAACACCTTCCGTCGCAAACTTCAATTTTGCCGCTTTCGCAGGTAATACCATTGACGCATGTGTATTTGTATCGGTCATAATATTGTCCATCACATTCTAGAGAATTCACTGAATTATTTACAAGATATCCGTTTGTTAAATGAAGTTGAAAACGAAGATAGATAGCACCAAATATCATCATCATTAAAGAGATTAGTTTAGGTGTATATGTGAGTATGAAGAGAAATGGGAATCCTTATAAGCGAAACTGTTTGTGTAGAGAATATGTCATGAAATCTGTAATTTTGAATTTGGTATCACATCATGCTTATAATATAATGATGCTGTGTCAGTATAAACGTCGTTTTTCTTGCTTACGACACCTGTTTGTGTAGTTCCATTTCTTTTGAAACTACCATTAGATATACTGCTTTTGTTACGATTGACTCGTTGTGAAGCACATTGAATGTCTCTTGATATTCTTTACAATACGCTAGCTTTTATATTGTAACTCGATTGAGTTGATTTCGTGTTGTAATTGAAAGAAATTATAAGGATTTATATGAACATGTTTTGTCGCTGGTGATTTCTGTTATTTCCACGTAAAAACAAGACGCAGGATAAATGCGTTGAGACTCTAAAAATATTCATGTGGATTTCGCTTGGATATTCAATACAAACATATCTGTTCGTTAATATGAAACATGCATCGCGATAGCAATGAAAATTCTACGATCAGCAACACTGCCTTTTTCTGACAATTTTTACTGACTCGATTTCTATTTTTTCATTAGTCCGTTCTGTTTGTAAATATTTTTATATTCTTGAGTGAGTCATAGTCGCAGTGACTAATACGAAACGTTGAATAAGCAATTTAAAAGCACCCTCAAGCACATACAACCTCAATAATACAGTTGATTTGTTTAGAGGACGAAAGAAGAAAAACGTCGTTCGTCATATACACGTTATTATCCAACACGAAACACATTGAATCGATGCAGACAGGAGCAACAACCGTTCTCAAATTTCTACCGTCTATTCTCAGGATCGCTAAAACGATTTATGAAATCACCAAACAAGTGACAGCTAACAAAAATCAATGTAAACGTAAGTAATTCCTTATCACAACGACGAAGTCATTCCTCTTGGTCTCTCTAGGCTTGAGCGAACGAGTTAAGTGTATCGTTGACATTCTCCAAGATGATTCGATTGATAAATCGGACTCACCATCGATGGAACGAGCATTGAAAAACTTAAAAGGAACATTGAAAGATAGCGCCAAGTTTATCGAAAAATTTGCTGATGCGTCGATCGTTAGTCGTTTTTTACATAATTCTGATCATCAACAAACGTTCGAAGAACTTACTACACGATTATCAAACAATGCAATTGATCTCAATTTAGCTTTGAATATCAGTGCCATCTTTGACCAACAACAAGATGTATACGATCGACGAGCCGATCTTGCAGAAATCTCGTCGAAACTGGACGAAATTGCCTCCGAAATGGCTCGCCAGCAGAATGAACTACTCAAACAGAATAAAAATATGAAAGACGAATTTAAACGACGATTTGATTCATTCAAGTATAGCCTTCGACAAGATATTCTGAAAGCTGAACGAGGTGTGGAAGCAAAAGAAATGGAAGAAGAATTCAAACTTTTCCTGCATATTCCGTATCATGATCTAATCTGTGAAAAGCTCATTGGTCAAGGAGGATTCGCCGATGTTTATAAAGGCATGTGGCTCAGCCAACACCATCAAGTCGCGATCAAGCAAATCCGTATGACAGATCTTACGGAAAACGTCAAGCAGACTGTTCTGCATGAAATAGCAACAATGTATAAAATTCGTTATAATCACGTCCTTGGTGTTCTCGGAGCATGTATAGAGCCAAACTGTTATGCTTTAGTTGTAGAATACATGTCTCTCGGATCGTTATTTGACGTTTTGAAGAACAATAAGCATATTCAATCGTGGCGAGATCGATGGTCGATTGCGTTACAAATGACGAAAGGAGTGAATTATCTGCATTCGATATCGATTGTACATTGTGACATCAAATCGTTGAATTTTCTTATGGATCAAGTAATTGATGGTTATCTTGTTAAGATCAGCGACTTCGGCCTGGCAAAAATACGACAAGAAACAAGTCGACAAACGAAAGAGCGGGCTGAACAAGTAGTCTCATCAGGTACACTTCAGTGGAAAGCACCGGAATTGTTAAAATTCGGGAAACCATCGAAGGCTAGTGATATCTATAGTTTGGGCATTACCTACTGGGAATTAGCGACGCGATCGGAACCCTACGAAGATTTAGATGAAGCAGTTATATGTCAAGGCGTGAAGTCCGGAGAACGACTTGACATACCTGAAGATATACCACCGGCTTTTACATCAATTATTACCAGTTCATGGAGTCAAGAACCAAAAAAACGACCCACCGCCGAAGAACTCATAAAAGAAATTACGAAAATGACATCGGATACAGTAGAGCAGTCAGCACCGTGAATATTCTAATCGAACACTTGAACATTGTTGTTATCCTCTCGTTTTAGATCAAACGTTTCAGCAGCAACAGCCAATGTAATCACTCCGGAATTGTCTCCGAACAATCCGGAATCGAAATTGGAAGACTTGATCAATCAGTTTAAACTCGGTTCAACAGTTAATCTAAATGATCAACAGATAACAGACTTAGATATGCCACTCGTTGCTCAACAAGCCATCGTGAAGAAGAAATGCACTAGTCTTTGGATAGAACGTAATCAGATCACATTGAACGGTGCTTCCGTTCTCGCTGACGCACTTTACAATAACTTGACTTTGTCCGAACTCTGGTTGTTCAGCAATCAGATTTCTGACACAGGTGTTAAATATCTTTCCAGGGCACTTGCAGCGAATCAAACTCTCAGAAAGCTCGGTCTCGCCGCAAATAACATCACAAATGCGGGCGCAGAATATCTCGCTACTCTACTACAAACAAATCACACGATAACTATGTTAGGATTGGCTAAGAATAAGATTGGCAATCAAGGTGTACAGTCTTTAGCAAAAGTGATTGCAAAACAGAAGAGCGGTCTGCAAACACTAACTCTTGATCGTAATGAGTTCATAAGTGATTCAAGTATCGAATCCCTTATCGACATGATCAAACGTAGTCAATCATTGCAAGTACTATGGATCAACGATTGTGGCCTGACAAACGATGGCAAACGAAAACTACGGGATAAAACGGCATCGAAAAAAGAGTTTAAATTAGTCACTACCTATGAATACTCTTCGTAGCTCGTACAAACAATTATCTTTTTATTTCAGGACAAACTGTATTGATAATAAAAAAAAACTAAAATTGAGAGAAGTCACAAAACAAAGATTAAATCACAGATTCATATGGGAACAGCACTTTGCTCGGGATAATCCTTCGCAGTGCCTCGAAGCGACTTGGTTCGCGATAAACTTATCGATTCAGCAGGATCTTGTGTATCACGTGAACCATACGTATCTCTTACTCTTTTTCTATACAGTATAAAAGAAATAAGTCCGGTGACAATAGTCGCCACAAGCAAACCAATCGCAATAGTCATAATCAGAAGTAACTTTCTCGTATATCGAACACCACGGGATTTTTTCGTAGTCAGAGCTAAAACAAATAACCCTAATTAACGATGTCGAAGAAAATCTTTCGCAAACGAACTATCTTTGTTGCATAGATGACTTTTGCAACATTGAATACGACCGTGAAAAGTCGCACCACCGTAAGAAACTTTGCCCAGTGAATGATCAACACACTTTGAAATAAACGTGCGGATAACAAAAGCTGGATACTTGATTTTCGTTACAGGATCTTGTCCTTCAACACCAACAATCGTCTACAAAGAAAATCTTTGAATTAAAGAAAAACCTTCCGACTTCTGAATTACTTACTGCGCATGATTCCGAAGGACTCGACGTTCCTGATTTGTACACATTTGGACTTGATGGATCCAAAATTTGACAACCAGCTAGGCCAGATATACGTGAATCGCATGTGTAACATTGAAGACTGGAACCTTTAACAGCATTGGTTAAAATCTCTCGATTACACTCCGGAGAATTGCAACACATAACAGACGATCTTGTACTCAATTCATGAACATGTCGAGTTAGATCTCTAACAGTTGGTTGACAATTGTGTGTAAAGGACTTCTGATAAACTCCTTTACTCGATGTAATCTATTGAAATCGATAGATTTCGAGAAACAAAATCGAGATTTCAGTCTCACCGAACACGATTCCGTCGCGCTACTCAGTACGGTGATTTGCTCATCTTCATCAACACATATCCCATCATCCATTACACATTTACCAAGAACACACTTGCGAGCAGTCAATGCGGGTAACGGCGGTGAAGGCAAAGAATTACAGAGATCATGATTACAACAAAACTGATGCGATGAACTTCGACATGCATGAGAAGGAATAGCATGCCGTGATGTTACACCTTCGGGTGTTACACTTATCTAAATAACAACAATCAAAATACATTCTCTTTGATCAGAATTATACGAACTGCACAAGAGAAATATTCTTCTCTATGTGGTGATGTTACTATTTTAACGTTTGATGAATCTGGTGAAAACAAACTACCACACGTATGTCCTCCACTGCATGAATAACATTTCAAACTTTGAATCACATCGATGACTAAAAAAATTGAAAATTTTTTTATAAAATTGAACGATAGCATCACTCACCATAGACGAATATCACATAAATTGTGAGAAAGAATCTCATTGTATGCCGATGAAACGATAGTTTGATTTAAGTTTTTTTCAAACTATTTTCAATGTAATTTTTTTCTTCTAACAGACGATTTTTTCTCCGTTACCTTTCAGCATGGATGCATTTTTTTCTTTCGTTCTTCATCCAATCCTATACTTCACCTTGTAAAAAAAGATTGTTCTGTCATTGATCAGGCCGATTCAATGCAAACAAAACGATAATGACTGAGTACTCAGTCAATGTCGCGTGTTATTCAACGAAAAACCGTCAATTATTTAAGTTTTATTATTCACTGCGAAAAAAAGAATCAACAATCGATTGAATTTTATCTTCAATGAATTTCTTTTCTTCTTCCACAGAACCAGTCTGTGCATATTGTTCACCAAATCGAATCAAGCATTGCATACCGACTATTTCTCGTGATAAAGAATAAAACCATCGTCGTTGTTCATACCCGTCGTCTAATTTCACGTACTTTGTATAACTCGATAAGAAATCATCTCGATAATCATTCCCTTCGAAATGGCCTTTTTCAATTCTCATAAGTTCGTATTCATTATGTCCAATTAATGCATCTTCAGCGTCTAGAATACCTGTTAGTTGCCCATTGGATACCAAAATATTTCCACAGTGTAGATCCATATGTAATAACCTTGGTGTGATTTCGTAATCAATGATATGGATATTTCTCGTCAGATATTGGTGAATTTTATTGCCAAGTTCTTCGAATATTGTACCTTTGAATTGAAGAATTTGTTTCTCAATTATATGACGAAACATCTCCTTCCAACTATGGAAATATCGATTATTCAGATAGCCACATTTGTCGAAAGTGTACTTCGCATGTAATTGCCCAACGAATGCGCCTAGTTGTCGATAAATGTCTACTCGTTGCTCGTGTGTCACAGAATCTAACACTTGTGAAAGAGAAACGCCTGATAATTTCGACGCAATATAATAATTTTCAGCTGATTTCAATATTTTTGGCACAGGAAATTGACTTTCGTTCGTCAATCGATAGAAAATGACTTCAGTTACCTCATCCGGCTTCGTAAATTTGACGACGAGTTCAACCTGAGAATTATTGGCAAACGTAATCAAGTGCACTGAATTCGAATAACCATCGTTCGGTCGTGAAATACTCTTTATTTCTAGTGAACAATCGTATTCCGAAATAACCTTCTTGATAAGATCACTTTTCTCAGTCATGTGTATTTCTTTTATTATTTCGTCAATCGAGCGCTGATTGGTATACACGCTTTATCATATCACACACATATATTGAAAGATGACGCTATAAGAAAATACAACGAATAATTACGGCCGTGATGAAGACCAGTCGATATACGACGCGTTTATCAGGAAAAATATTATCAAACATAAACTAAAATAAATGATGAGTAGAACAATTGCTATTTGTCGGCAAATCGTTTGATATGCATTTTTCCTCGGATACGGACAACCGAACATGCCGATACCGGCGAGAAAGCCTACTACCGCACCACCAAAATGAGCCGAGTGTCCGACAATATACTGAAGAATATTTGCTATCGATACTGTAATTGTCATCGGTAGTACAACTAATAGAAGCAGTTGTAAAAGAACGAGACGATAATTTTTGGTTATTCTGATCGCATTGAGACGTTCAACGATGAAAAGCAGAAGTATACCATAAACGGCACCGGAAGCGCCAACACCACCTAAACAACAACAAATCGATTCGTTTTGCTCTCACAATCAGATATTTACCTGCTCGATCTTTCAGCATAGCAAATAAACAAGCACTAGTATTCGAAAGCCAATACACAACAGCGATGCGAAGTGAACCATATTTCCGCTCGAGTAAAATGCCAAGTAATAATTGTCGAGATATATTGAAGATCAAATGTAACCAATTCATATGAATTAAGTTCACGGTGATCATTCGCCAGTATTGATGCGGATACATAAACGAAGTACATAGACTCTGTATTCGATCACCGTAGTAACATGTTTTGTTCTTGATTGGCAGTTCACAGTCGACAACGCGCATTTGAATATCGATCGGTGTTGGTCTCATGCACGGAAGAAAAAGCATCCACAGTGCATAGAGTGAAAACACGAAATATTTATTTCTCCAAGTAAGATTAATGTGTATAATTAAATAAATAATCACATGTACGAGAGACATAGTGAGAATGAATATGGGACGATGGTGCTTTTCATTCGGAACATGGTCGAGAGTGAAAAATCTTCGTAATCGTGAGCGAATATTGAGTTTTCCGACGGATATCGGTTCGACTACACATGTCGCTGGCGATTCTTTCATTTCCAAATGGATATTCTCGTTTGTATGTGCCATCTGATGTGGAAAACCGGCGTAATCTTTGTCTAAAGAAATAGGAATCCTTTATATATGTTTCAATATGTAATAAGACTAGAATAGCAAATTATATGGAAGAAAACAATGTATAGCCATGTTTCTTTTTCTTACAAGTTGCCGAACAAGAAAGAAAATTAATGAAACGTGATATTTGCTCTCCTCTTTATAACCATTAATACATGTTTACATGATAAGGAAGAAATCTTCTTTTTCTCATCGACAATCGATCTGAAGAGCAAACACTCTTGATGCTTGTTCTTTTTCCAGGTGTCTGGTACAATTTATCATTGGTACATCCGACAGAGTACGAAATCCTGGAGAAGATTATGTATTTATAGATGTCACATTACAAGATTTATTCACAGAGACTTGATTGATTCAGTTTACTCTATGACGATAGGTTCTAGTTGAAAAAAAAGTGTTATACCAATGAAAAAATACAGAGAAAGAGTCATTAATCCAATCAGTCGGACTGTCTTCAGATAGCAATTCTGTTCAGCAGAACATAGACAGCCAAACATAGTGATACCGATCAAGAAGCCAACGAAACCACCGCCAAAATGAGCAGCATGTCCAACACGTAATCGAAGAATAGCTGATATACATGCTGCGACGGTCATTGGAAGGACAAAAAAGATAATTAATTGAATAAATACACACGAACGTGGAGTATGTTGATGTCTCATTGCATTAAGACGTTCAATAATGAAGAACGATGCTAAACCATAAATAGCACCAGAAGCTCCAACACCACCTTAAAATAAATCGAAGTTACGACACAAGAATCAATGTCATTATAATTCTTACCACGTCTATCATGTAATAGAGCAAATAGACAAGCACCGAAATTTGACGTCCAATAGATGCCAGCTATTCGAACTGAACCGTATTTCCGTTCGAGTAGAGCACCGAGCAGAAGTTGCATGGTCAAATTGATCACGACATGTAACCAATCGATGTGAACGAGATTAACGGTAATGATCCGCCAGTATTGATGCGGATAGAAGAAAGAAAAGCAGAAGTTCTTCAGATCGTCATCGTAATTACATGTTTCATTTTTCGGCGAGGAATAACAATTGACCGTATGTTCACGAACGTATGCAGGTGCTGGTCGCATGCATGGAAGGAAGATGCAGAAAAGATTTCTCAACGTATCTAGAAAACGTTGATTTCTCCAAAGGATGTTGATGTAGGTCGTCAAATGAATAGCAACATGTACGATAGACATGAAAATAATAAATATCGGAAAATGACGTTTTTCGTTGGTTGAAGTATCGAGTGTGAAGACTTGCCGACATCGTAAATGAGAAGTTTTTCTCCTAGCAGGATCAGATACATCCACATGTATTGCTAATGGCTCTTCTAATTCCAAGTTAACGTCATTGCCGCGACGCATTCTCAGGAGAAAAATACTTGTTCTAATTCTTCGTCGTAAAGCTTTTAAAAAAAGAAAATATTGTTACATGTCTACCGTTAATTTTTTTTGCGCATGATGCGTATAGCATAGTCACCGATGTCTATCCATCTTTTCTTTTTCCATTAGACGCCGAGATAACAAAAAAGAAACAGGATGTTCTAGGTTTTTATTCTGTTCTTCAGAACATATTTACTAAGAAAATGTTTCCTTCTTTGGCATAACGAGAAGTAGGGAGAATCAGATTCATCGTCTTCCCTGACGTCTTCGCTTTATTTCATGTTTTCAACAACTAATCGCTTTTTCAATTAGACTGTAGAAGGAAAAAGAAAATTCCTAAATACGGAGCAGTCGTTCGGAAAAAAAGCACTAAGAAGATTGTAAAATACAAACAAAGCAAGATAAATGCTGTCATACGGCAGATCACTTGACAACCACCACGTCCTTGTTTATACGGAAAGCCGAATATTCCGATGCCAAATAGAGAACCTACTACTATACCACCCAAATGAGCGAGATGTGCGGGACGTATTTTCAAAATCATAGCTATAGTCACGCTCACAACCATAGGTAACACGACTAATACAAGCAATTGTATCACGACGAAAATACGATTGTTAGCATTGTTGGCCATTGCAGAAAAACGTTCGATAATGAAGAAGAACATAATGCCATATATCGCACCGGACGCACCAATGCTAGCTAAAAGAAAAATACAATATTTATTATTTCTCTCTTCAAATATTCCCTTGTTTTTTTTCCGATAAATACAATTATGAAGACTTGTGCTACTTAACAGACAAGTTAGACTTGCGCCGAGTTCCGAAAGCCAATAAACAACGAATAACCGCATTGTACCGTATTTCCTTTCGAGTAAGATGCCGTACATCAATTGTCTTGAGACATTCGCGATAACATGTATCCAATTCAAATGCACTATGTTTACCGATACCATTCGCCAATATTGATGTGGATATGCAAACGAAAGACAGTAGTTTTTCAGTTGATCATCGTAATTACACGTTCGATTTTCTATTAATGAAGGACAATAGACGATAGTTGCACGAGATTCACTCGATGCTGGTCGCATACATGGAACGAAAAACATCAGAAGGTCTTTTAAAGTATCAAGAAATTTTTGCTTTTTCCATCGAAGATCGAGAAATGTTGTTGAATGAATGGAAAGATGCAAAATAGACAGAAAAGTGATAAAGACAGGAAAATAATGTTTTTCACGTGCCACTACATCAAGTGTAAACAAACGTTGACACCAAACAGCTATTGGTGATTTTTTCGTAGAGTTGGATGCTTCTTCCACTTCTATCGTCAAAGCTTCTTTCATTTCCCACGTTTGATTATCTTCACCAGCCATAATTCAAACGTGAACACTTCGCAGTTGAATTTTTTATACTCGCGACTCCGAAGGAAAGAAATAGAAATACAATTTACACTTGGTTTCTTCCCGGAAAACGTCTTCTTTCTCTCTCTCTCTCGTAAACGCAATATAACGTGACGCCGCTTTCCGCCTACTAATCAAAACAATTTCAATATTGTCGTTCACACGTTTATAGAGCGACATGTCTATTAAGTTTTCGTAATACATCGATATGATTAATACGTTCAGATTCATTGGAACCAGAAGAACATGCGTTTTCATACACTTAAAATACTTCTCTTTCTGAAAAGTTCAATATTCAGTCGATTACAGAATTAAACGCTCGTCTGCGCTCATTTTGTGCATCATCATTATATCGTCGGGAATGTTAAGTGGAGAATGCGTAGGAAAAGCTTTTATTACAGTGGAAAATAATTAAAATAACATAGTTGCGACAAATTCCCAAGTTGGTCTGGATCTTCTCCCTTTCAGTGTATTACTATGAGCGGAAATTTCTTCGCCTATTTGTTGTAACATGACATTTCTTATTTATTTTATCTTTGACTATAAAAACTATCTTCATCAAATCCTTTTCAAAACCATGCCATATTCTTCCTCACTATCGTTTCTTTTTCATTACATACAACGAGCACTCACCATATCGACTACGACTATTTGATGGTATAGGCTTGATTTCACAGATACCTCAAGCAGTCTTTGCCTAACAACATGGTAGGCGTTCAACGACATATTCTAATTTCTCATCATCAGTAGCTAAATAACGCTCGAGCACGACTCAAGTTTCATTATGTTTCAACCGTTTTTCCCACGCTACTTTCATGTGTCTAGTACAATATTTAATCTACTTCTCTCCATACGAGCGAGATATATACTGATGATTTTAGTTCATATTGTAGTTGTATCACCGATTAGTGTAGTTGCTTGGGCAAATATTGTTGCATTTCGTCAAACGGTTTGAATAAAAAGATCAGCTATATCATTATCTTCAACTACATTCGTATGTACAGTCGGATAGATTCCAGAAACGGTGATTTCAATGATATGAATATTTCTCACGTTAAGTATATTTGATGACATACCATCCGAAACGGATGTGACCTGGTGGAAGAATGACACTTGCAGACAACATTCATGCGACTCGATGCTTTGAATGAAATATATGTTCATTTATCTGAATTTTAATTAATATCAACATAAAAAATCCAGTTCGATAAGTTCACGATAGACCGTGCATGTATCCTATATATTATTAGTATTCGTCATTTTCAACTTTGTACAAAATGACAAGGGAGTAGTTCATTGGAAGAACAAAATCATATATCTCTCTGCTGAGTTCAATAGAAATAGTGTTTCATTTCCTGTATTCTTACAATCTCGAGTTAATCTATGTCCACAAAGAAAAATCAAACGTTCAACAGTTGCTCCCGAGAATTAATCAATTTGGATTTACTTTCCAATTTCATATCCAAAACAGGAAGCGATGTAATTTAGTGGTTAGTTTTTGATTACAGCTCGATAAGACATATACCCACCCCTCGTCTGTCTGTAACGTTTAACTAAACATTTTCGTCGAATTATCTTTGTTTTACTCGACAGCACCATCTTTTTTGCAAAGAAAGTCGAGATGTCCTTCGCGAAACATTTCATTCTACAACAAATCAATTTGCTTATCAGATTTGATTAGTTGGGTGAGTCATCACGTGCACGTCATGGTATTTCCTTCCGTTCATCCGGTTCAATCAACGCTTTCCTTATCTGTCAATTTCCTCTAATAAATATCTTTCTATGTTTCGATAAACTTGCTTTGAAGCTAGGATAGTATTTATTATGTCAATTGAATGATGCCAAAAAAGAAAACAAGGTTTTGATGAAAGAAAATAGTCTTTTTGGTTTTTCAATGAAGCCCTAAAAAAATAATATTAAATGTCAACTACATGCACATTTATCCGTTCGTTTGCGATGTCGTGGTGGTTCATCTTCCTTTGCAGGTTCGAGATAATGTAAGAGAAAGAAGTCATTCTGGATACGAAACACTTTATTCAACGCCATTAACATTTCCTTCTTCGTTTTGCTATCTAAAGTCTCCGCATTCCATACCACTTCAATCAGAAGTGTTTCAATATAACTTAAAGTTGCATTGATATGAATGAAATCGACGTTGATTGACGCCGCACCCATTTTGTTTGTGTGCATCCGACCGACACGAGAGAGATATTGAAGGAAATCATCCGTCCATTCTTGTTGTAAGAACAAACGTTTCAAATAGCCACTTAACATATCCTTACGATAAGTCATTTGAGCCGATTCTAACGTTAATGATTGTTCGTCTTTCAACTTGCCATCGAATCCGTCATTACGCAAAACAAAGAAATTTTTCGTGACATCGAATTGAAATAATTTTCTATAAACAGCATCAACAATAACAGGCACACGCGGCAGAACCGTAGTGGCTAACGTATTCAAAGCAGCGATATCATTTTGACTGAAGTTGACAAATTTGGATAGATAATCAAAGCGATAACGAAGATCTCCATTTAATCGAATGTTATCGATATGTTCCGTCATTTTCCTACTTACGAACACTACGATCGTCTAAAACATAATACAATAAAAAAAAAAGAAAACTGATGAAGAGACGGAAAAGTCGGTACATAACTCGGCGTTTCTCTTTCCTCTCAGTTTTTTTTTCTTTCTCTTTCTCTGCCTCTCCTCTCTCGCTTTCTTCCATTGTGTCAATAAATAAGAATGCGTTCATTTAATGTCTATGAAAAAAAAACATCAATGAACTTCTCTTTTAATTGTGTTCGCTTACATAGTAAATCGAGAAATACTCGAGTTGATGAAGGAAGAGAAAACGTGCTTAATTAAAAATAAATACACCTAGAAAATCTTTGTGTGACAATTGCTTGCGTATGTATTTTGAACTGATAAAAATCTTCGGCGAGAAAAGATTCTATAGGGAGTAAAACGTGACAAGTAGATAAGTCACATCTAATCAATCAGATTATCCTCGAATGAATTTCACGTGTCATTGGTGAAGTTGGCACTTGAACTTAACCACAAGAATTCTAGATGATGCAAACATGCTATTTGTCCGGAGATAAAACATTGACGAAAGTTCGAGGCGTAGAAAAGAAAACAGAATTGATTTTTGATTCTTCATCGAAGAATTGAACAAATGAGATCAAGTTGTTATTTCCTGCTTTTAATCGGTTAGAAGCTTAGTAAGGAAACAGCAAATGTTATTACATAGAGGACAATCTAGCCTAAAGGTTTAATAAAAATACTCGCCTGAGAATAAGACAAAAAAGTAACAGCCGGAAGATGATTAACAAGAGAATGTTTTTTTTTCTTGTTTTCCAAAGGAACACAGTTTCGATGGTCTTGTCAGTCGATGACGTAATAACTTGAACTTTTTCCATTCGGATAGAGATGTCTGACACGTTTTCTAAAATATGCTATTCCTTTTCTTTTCTGTTCCTTTCATCTTCTTCTGTGGGTGTGAACATAACATTTTTGAGCGATGAAAGTCTTTTTATAAATATATGACAATGGAAAAAACTGATTTACTTTAATAGACTTTTTTTTTCTGTAGTTGTTCAAAAGCTCGATGTCGCTTTGTTCCGAACATGCTATATTATTCCTTTTGATTGCACCCGCTTCACATCAGAGAGTTTCCATCACGTGTCGTCATCACTTGACATTTGAGAACAAAATCAATTGCATTCGTTCAGGCATTTTTTTTACAGTATGTGCCGAGCAACGTTAATCATTACTTGTAGTCATCATTTTGAATCAGATCGTTTTGCAAATGTAGTGTATTAACTATCTAGGAAAGCATGGACTTTGACATCACGGTCGATTATACTTACGATGGTGTAAAAAACGATAATAACTTTATGTAAGGCTTCAAATATCTTTGTATTTAATTTACTTCCAGCAGAGCAGAAGTAACGACAAAAAAAACCCAACTAATTCTCTAATCGAATGCTCTATCAAACGTGAAGTAGACAGAGAGAAGTTTTATTTGAAATAAACTCATTTAGGAAACAAGAACTTCTCGTTCTTGCATGTATAATTGTTGAGTTTGTTTAATCGCATCCAGTTGTTCATTAATAACACTATCTTTACTGAGATTTTTTATCAGTTTGTAGACATCTGTGAGGTTCATTGGTTTCCGAGCTGAGATTGATAATGCCCAAAATTTTTCGTATTCCTTTCGAAACGTTTTCAATTCTTCGTAGAGAAAAAGATTTGGCGTAGTTTGTTGCTGTTGTTTTTGGCTAAGAATACTCTTTTCTTCTTCCATGATACGGTTTAAATTTGCAAGAAGTGGATCATTTTCCTTCGAAATTCGACTCAGATATCGAAAGAAATCGACCAGACCGATTGTCCATTGTTGTAACAAACTAACATTCGTTTTCATGTCGTTTATTGATTGTTTTCTCTTTTCCATCGTTGTTTCATACTTCAGTACATAATTGACTTTCAAATGTTGTGCTGCTGAGCATTGACATCTACTGCATTGATCTAGGACGACATGTGGATCGTCCGGTACGACCCAGAAGTCTTCACAAAGAACGGGAACCGATGGACAATTAAGACATAGATGGATATTTCTTTGCACAGCGGATGGATGTAATCGAATGAATGTCTTCGATTGAGCTTTGTCTATTAATAAGACATTTCGAATATTATTTCGGATGGTTTCTAATGTTGGACGAATGAGTTTATTGATTTGCCATTGAGCATTTTCGATCGATTGCCAGCTTTGTCGTTCACATGGTTTTAAATCTTTACAGATATATTGTAAGAGATGAGAGGTTTCTTTTACGGATGTTTCCCAACTTCGTAGATATTCTTCTTTTTGGTAAACATCGAATTGCAGACCGTTTTCTCGTGCAATGAGATATCGAAAGGCTTCATTGTCGAAACAGAATGTGTTCGACTTTTTGAAAACGATATTTTTTATGCCGTTCGAATGCAGCATTCGCTTCAACAACGGCGCAGTACTACCCGGAGCGAAAAATGTCGCTCGAGTATGAGTAAAACAGAAGATGACATTATTACGAATCTTTTCACCAAAGAAGCTCATCAACTGCGTAAAATACGATCGGTAAATCACATTCAATCGTGATTCATTCGGTTTCAAAACGATACAAATTGCATTGATATACTGATAATTATTAATACATGATAGAATATGTTGCATCATCAGATCATCTTGATTCAACCCGCGCGCATCACCCATTCCCGGCGTGTCGATCAATCGAATGTTAAGTTGTGCACTGATCGGTATGACGTACGATTTGCATTGTCGCGTGACTGACTGACCTGGATTACGATGATCTTCGTTGGCATCGATACCGCCTAGTTCCACGACGTGCTCGTCGAATTGGTCGCCAACGGCGAGAGGAAATGAAACGGGAATGGCGGTAACAGGTTTCTCTGCACATGCCTTCTCGAACGATTCGAATTTCAAATAGTTGATCAGTGCATTGACAAAAGTCGATTTTCCGACGCCTACTTCACCTAATAGAAGAATATTTACGTGTTTATTCGTCGATACATTCGTTGGATCGAGTCGGAATCGTTTTCGTGATGATGATTTTCCAGATGAATCCTCCCATAAACTTTTTCGTGGTCCAATCGTTTCGTTTAACGAGATGATTTTCAATTTCGATGGTTGAGTCGAACAAAATGAAAAATCAGCAAAGACTAGATTACTTGTTTTCTCTCCGTTGAATAAATTATCGAGATGTTTGTTCCATTCGCCGAGATATTCACGTTTTAAATCGTCATCGAAACAAAATATGCGTTTGCCTGGTCGTTTTCTCATCAATTCTTCTTCGATCAGATCGAGATTCTCACTCTCGCTTAGAGCCAGTTCTTTAACGTTCCAATATTCGATATTTCGTTGTTTTAATTCATTGACTAATTGAACTTTTTCAACGAAGTTTTCGCGTTGTTCGATGATATTCCGACATTCTCTTAACAAAGCTTTTGCTTCATGGTCAACTAATGAATCTTGCATTTGGTTCTGTTTGATAGTTCCACAACGAATGGCTAAAAGTGTCGCACGAAGTCGATTCATTTTCGTCGGGTATGATTGATTAATTTTCACTTGCCGTTGCTGAAGTTCTTCATACGCTTGTTTAAAATACGTCAAGACCGATTGTTCTTTTGCAGATGGTAATGACATATGTAACTCTTTTCGTACGGTTGATAATTCATAAAAATACAATTCAGTTTCGTTGATTAAACCTTTGTTTAAAGGAACAAATACGCCTTTTTCCGTCGAAAACCACGGACAGAGCGTTCGTATAGGTCGAAGTGTATATTTCATTGGAGGGTATTGATAAGCATTCGTTCGAATCTGAGGGATTTTCTGACAAATATCTTGTAGTTTTGTTAGATTGACGATCTCCGGAATGTTTGAAAAGACTTTCACATCGGTGAATTGTTCATATAAAGGTTTTTCGTTCGTCTTAACGGAAAACGTATTTCTTACTAATTGTGCTTGAATTCTTTCCAAAAGTTCATCAAGGGCAGTGACGTTGTCCGGTGCTAATTGCAGAAAAACGACCACATGAATGCCGTATTGAATTTCCGTTATTACGTGAGTAGCGTCCATGTTTGCACTGAGAATATTAGGATTATCTTTGGCTTTTTCGACGAATTGATTTGCGGCAAGATAACTATGTTTGGTTTTCTGATGGAAAAAGAAATATCGAGTGTATTCGTTGTTTGTAAACGGATAATTTTGTAATAACGACGTTCCTTTTGATTTTGTCAAATTCAAATACATACTCAAATACAGCTCCTTGTCGATTCCGATCATTTCCAGAAGATCTCGGGCTTTAAGTCGACCGCTTGTTACAACAACAGGATTCACTTCGTTTCGTAGTGAAATTAATCGACGAGAAATGTACAATGGCGAACCTGACAATAATTGATCTTTTGTTGCATCGTATAATGATCCAATGGCACCAGATGGATCGATAGCTAAACGCTGAATTCCTTGATCTAATGGAAATACTTGAGAATTACTCAAATATTTTCCGGATCGTTGCGATATGGGTTCAGTGCGAGAATTAGCACCACCCATTGTTGCAACTCTCTGATCGAATTCAAAAGCTTACTTGAGAACGAATGAATAAAGGATTAAAATTGCGTTTGGACGTGTCGATTTCTTTCTTTTTTTCTTTATTAAATAATCTGATTTTTTTTTTCTTTCTCGGCACTTTATTTTTTAAAACAAACAGAAGCCTGTAAATATATTTACACATCTTAATCTCATTTTATAGGCGAAGAAAGAGAATCGCGGCAACGAAGTTTCTTTTTCAACTTAACACCCACCAGGATGGTAAATAATACTTGCACAGTTTTACCTTCACCACACGAGCATTACGTTTACTTTTCTCTACTTTAATTTAATACAAAACGATTATTCTACACATGATATGGGTGGTCCAATGAAACGTTGTTTTCCCCAAACGATGTACCATACAATGCTGATACCAGCAAAGAAAACGAAGATTGCACTGACAAAGTTCATCGTTGAAACTGACACAGGTATTGCCGTTGGCATCGAAAATATCACCATAGCCAAGGGAATACAAACGATGGTGATCAAATTAATTACATAGCCGAGTTTGCCCAGGTGAAAAGGGGCATTGTGAACTAAATGATGCCCGCGAACGAGTAGTATGAGAATCGGTGGTCCATAGGATGTCGAAAGACATATGGTCGTAACACCTGTGAATGCGTTGAATGCAGCCGATGAATAGAAATAAATAAGACCAAGAAGACCTTGAAAAATTATAGAAAATAATAGAGGATTAAGGGAAATATTATATTATTTATTAAATTTAGACCAAAATTGGGCGACGGATACTGTATTATCTCGGCTAAATGCGTAGAGGCATCGAGATGTAGCCGTCAGAGAACTTACTGAAGCAAAAAATTGGACACCAAAGATTAAGCACATAAGATCGAACCAGTTGATTGAGTAAATATGTAAGCAATTGGTTGACCCGTTGGTATGGAAAGTAGTTTATTAACATTAGACATAACGAAGAGAAGAGGAATGAGATAAATAATACCAATCATTCCAGCAGCAATAACGGAATATACAATTGCTTTCGGCACTTCGGGCTCTGGATTTTGAACCTGTTCACACATCGATGGTATCATACCATAACCTGTGAGAGTGAATGCAGATGGTAGCAATCCTACGAAAAATGACCATACTGGAGGCCAACTAGATCTCTTGTAGACTCAAATTCGATAAAAACAAAGGACGCACTTCTTCTTCCTCCTTTTGTTGTTGCGAGTAGATGAGTAGAGTAACAGATATGATCACAACGGCTGCGCCTGCCAATAAATAGAGATGACATTGACATAATCTAAGTATTTTGCTACGAATATATTGACAACTAAAGCAATAAATAATAGAAGCCAGTGGGAACCGGCAAGTTAAGCACGGAATAATCAGCACGTGAAAGTTCATCACGTGGACTGATGAGCACAAGAACAGTTCAGCACTGGAAAGTTAAGCACATCATTCAATCAGCACGAATACTATGATGAAAAGACTGAATAATATTTTTTCTAATTATTAATAAAATAAGAAGATCAAATTGTATCACGTTAGATGATGACACAGTGAGAATGAGCCAATTAATTCTTGTACCTATAATTACACTGCAAGACAACTGTTCTGTTATTCTTTCATTTTCATAATATGGCAACAATTTCAAATAACGGTACAACGAAAAATAAGCCACGTCTTGATCTTGGTGGCTATTCTTACATTAAAGATCGCTCTTCGGATGAGAAAACCTATTGGCGTTGTATAAAGTACTCCTTGGACCGCTGTCGCTCTCGTCTTCATACCTGTATTTTAACCAATGCTATTAAGAAATCACCAACTAAACACACATGTAAAGTCGATGGCACAACACTTCAACTTCGAATTTTCAATGAGCACATTGCTCATCGCGCTGTTAGTACTCAAGAAACACCTGACACCATCATCTCGAATTGTTATAAAGCTACTGATGAATAATGTGTATTTTCTAGCAGATCATTTTGTTTATTATTACTATAGGTATGTCAGATCCATCGATTGCTCGTTTACCAGTACGTGACAATATTAAACGTCGAATAAGACTTTTGCGACAGAATAATCAAATGGTGAAAGAACCAAATGATCCAAACTTTGCTTCTGTTCCTATTCCATTGACCAAAACTATACGTAACGATCAGTTTCTTCGTTGTGATACAGGACCAGGTAAATTGATTACTAATTGATACTAGATCATTCCTTCATAAATCTATCATCTTTCAATCAAGGAGAGGACAGAATCCTAATCTTCGCAAGTGATGAACAAGTCGATATTTTACAAGATACCGAAGAATACCTTGTTGACGGAACATTCAACGTCGTGCCTGAAATATTCTATCAATTATTTATCATTCATGATTTATTTCGTGATCATGTCGTTCCATTAGTTTATGCTTTATTACGTCGAAAAAATGCGGAAACATATCGACGCCTTATCACTGAAATACTGAACATCGCTCCTCGTTGGTCTCCAGACACTATCATGCTCGACTTTGAACAAGCTTCAATGGGTGCTTTTCGAACAGCTTTTCCTAATGTCTTATTATCTGGATGTTATTTCCATCGGCGACAAAGCATACATCGAAAACTACAGGTAAAGAAGTTCGTGGTGACTTAGTATTCAAGAGTATTTATTTTTCATTTCTATCGATTTAGGAACTGGGATATCAGAATCAGTATCAAACAGATCCAATATTTTCACATAACATCCACAAGATAGCTGCCTTGACATTCTTAGAAACAAACTCTGTCATCAACGGATTTGAACGTTTATCAATAGATCTTGGTGACGGTTACGAAGATATATTGGATTATTTCGAAGGAATATATATCGGTAGGTAATACTTTTCTTCCACGATAATCGTCTTTAACATATTATATTTTAGGAAGGCTTCGACCAAATCGCGCTCGAAGAAAGCCCATGTTCGAAATCAGTTTCTGGAATATGAATAGAAGAACCACTCAGTCCTCGATGCGAACAAATAATTCTGCCGAAGCCTATCATCGAAGAATTGGTTCGGTATTTCAATGTGCTCATCCAACACTATGGGTTTTTCTCCAGAAGTTAATTGATGAAGAAAACGGTATCCATGCATATATTTTACACATTTGTGCTGGTCAAACACCAAAAAAGAAAAAAGGAAATAAACGACTCGAAAGACGATTATTGAATCTTGTAACCAATCCTCACGGAGATGTCTTAGTTCAACTTGACTCAGTCACGTACAATATATCATTGTAATACCCAACCAATTAGTTTTTTTCAAAATAAATTCGAAAAAAAAAATTATTGAATACACTTAATATTCGTGCTAATTGAATGATGTGCTTAACTTTCCAATGCTGAACTGTTCTTGTGCTCGTCAGTCCACGTGATGAACTTTCACGTGCTGATTATTCCGTGCTTAACTTTCATTTATCCATCACTTCTATAGACAATATCTTTTTTGAGAGTTATATAAGTTTTTCCAACGTAATATGTCATTTTTTTATTTATATAAGCTACATCATAAATATTTATGAGCAGCATATGACTCAATGGATAACAAAAAATATTATCATAAAACAAAATAACCGCTGGACACTTACGCCCTCTGTTGACAGAGATTAAAAGAAAACTGCCGAATAATTGTCCGAGAATTGAAAATTTTTTGAAAAATTCCAACTCAAATTTTCTAGTGTTGTGCTGAATTTTCATTAAAATCCCCCTTATGTATCTTTAAAATACCAAATATCTTTCATTATCATTAAGATCATTCATTCGATCAGTACATAAGCTTATATTGGCGATGCCACTTAACGAAGACGACGATGCCATTGAAAGAGAAATCGATGCATTACCACAAGTAAGTCTTATATACTTGTAATAGTTATAAAAATATTCTCTTTGTTGCATAGTTGTGGGACGATTGTACAAGTTTTTTCTAAAACAATCGGTCTGTTTCATTCGTTAACCGACGATGAAATAAAGGAAATTTCGATGAATTGTTCGGAAATAAGTTTCAAGGAAAACGAATTTGTTATAAATCAAGGTCAAAAAGAGAAAACAGTTTATTTTGTTAAAACTGGTAAGTGCTAGCTCACTATTCATTTCTTTCAAAAATTGAATCTTTTTCTTTCCATATTCACAGGTTCGGTGATATTTAAATCTACGAATAGTGAAATATCTAGTTCTTTCATTCAAGTATTACGTGCAGGTGAATATTTCGGTATCAAAGGTTTATTTTTAAATCAAAATCAACATGGTCTTTCGGTACAAGCATTGGAAAATACCAATTTGTATTGTATGAATGGTGACAAATTTGAAAAGTATCTTGTACCAGTTTTGGTTAGATTCAAGTTCATCCATGAACAATACGAATTATTGTTGAATTCGATGTAATTTCAACATGTTATTCAAAACAAAACAAATGTTTTTCTTTTGTTTTTCCAGATGAAAAGTTTTTTGTTGTTTCTCGAAATAAAAAAAACTCATTTTGACAAGAATAAATTTGCTTTTTCGTATTGTTGCAACGCATATTTACTTCATAAAGAAAAACAGATATTTAATTCAGATTGATCTTTATTTCTTTGTTGATGAACAGATTTCCAACCAAAAAATGGTTATCCTAATTCCCTTTTCTGGAAGAAAGGGTTATAGCGACATAATACAGTCGTGAAAATGCAAAAAGTTTGTTTGTTTGCATAATCCAATCAGATTGCAGCATATTACAAATCAATGAAATTTATCTATAATCATCAAAGATTGACCATTGATGAAATAACCGAGGTCGAGGATTACGAATCTGAGGTTACTTTTTCGAAATTCCAATTACCTAATTAGCTAATTATTAATTAAAGAATGAAAATCTTTTTGGTTGCCGAGTAAGGGTTGACCGAAGGGTAACCAAGGTCGAGGATCTCGAATCCGATGTCAGTTTTTAGAGACTTCAAACAGCCAATTAGTTAATTACTAATTAGGCAATGAAAAATTTTTTCGTTGTTGAGTAAGACTCGACCGAAGGGTAATCGGGGTCGAAGATGTCGAATCTGGTGTTAGTTTTTCTGTAGAAAAATTCTGTTCTGTTTTTTCAGAAAAACTACGATTTTTTGCAAGGAAGATTTTTTGTGGGCGATAGTGTTTGAAGCAGCAATATGTAGAATAAAACGAAATAGCTGATTAACGTCCGCCTGCTGGATACTCATACTCATCAGCATATTGATAACATTACTGAAGGGAATTTAAGCTAGATGAAAGAATGAAAGTTGGACATGTAACGGCTAGCCGCGAGTGGCCGACCGGAGGTAGACCGACAAGCGACCATGAGTTTGTTTGGGTGGCCTAGAAGAGATAAGATAAGTGTAAGTAAATTGATGTTTGATTGTAAATAGTGGGAAGAGAGTAGATTAGTAAATCTTTAGAAACAGTGTTCCTTTTGCTCACGTCTTTGGACAAATGAATGGAAAGCAGTTTGACATGAATAAAGTAGAAAAGGATTAAAAGAAAAGAATGTGCATAAAAATGGCTTTAATTCGAAGCGGATTAGAGTGAGATATACGTTAGAGTTTTTATCTGAGTCTTGTAATTCTTTCAGAACAGGGTCAGCGAATTCAACAGATGAGCGCTACTTGTTATTATTCTCTTTCAATACTCATTCTTATGTTTGACATAGTCAGCTAATGGAAAAGATTGTTGAATCGTACGTATAATTTCATAAGAAGGTTCTGATGTTCGCAGTTTTCCAATTCGTAAGCAATTATCTCTTGCTTGTGGATGATTTTGTTGCACTATTGTTAATAAAATATGTTTGTCAATAGCAAGTTCCACTAGAGACGAAAGATGAATTTGACAAAGAAATTGTTCAGCATAATCCATATGAATATCATACAAAATAAGTGTAGTTAAATGATGAAAACCAATGAGATTGATGTTCAATGTGGTTTCTTTCGCTTTCTGTTCTTGTTCGAGTTCGTTTCTTATTTCCAGTGTTCTCAATCGAGGTAAAGCCTGAGCAAGGCGTTGAAAGAAAATATTTTCGAATGGTAACACATCATCAAAAAGTAGCAAAGTTGTAACATTTGAGAATGAACCATTAAACAATGGAAATCGATTAGAAACAAAATCGAGGCGAGTACCAATAAATGGCAATGAATAGATTTGACATTGTCCATAATTATTCTTGAAACTATCATATGAACAAATAAATGGTTGTTGTCTTAGAAAACTTTGATGAGTTTCATTGATTATTTCATGAGAAACATTTTTTAAAATTGAACGAATATGAAATTTGAATTGATGTAGACAATACATGTACGAAAGTAAATCTTTTTCCAAAACACATTCATCAATAAAATAATTGGGTTTTATACCATCATCTCCTATAGCTAACAATAATGTTAAATCTTCAATATTTGATAAACATCGTAGAAGAGAAAAACACGCTTGATAACCTATTAAGTTTTTATAAATGGTTACTTTCATTTGTTTCAAATTAGGACATGAAATCTAAATGAATAACTCTGTTAAGATACTAAATCAACTTGATTATCACTTACCAATTGTAGATCAGATGTTAAAATAGGTTCGTATGAAAAACAACTTCCGATAGTTACCGTAAATGATCGAAGTTGTGAACCGAGCTCCAGTAAAAGATGAATGCATTGCTCAAGATCCAATAAAGACATTCGAATGTCCGTTAGTCGAGGTACTTCCCTGAAGCGTCTTTCACCTTTACGAAAACACATGCTCAAACAACAATTATCATCAAGTTGAAATGATTGAATCGAACGCATCATTGTCGAGTAACATAATTCATTTATCTGCTCACTAACAAGAGATGAAGGAAATAGAAACCATTGAAGAACAATTGTATAAAGAGGTCGTTTCCGCCATTCAAGATCAGACATTAGATGGTTTCCTAAAAAGTTCATTAATATAAAATATTGTTGCAATTATACTTATTCAAAACAGAAATACGAACGCCATAAATTACCTATCGTATATTGTGCACCGGTTTTAGGACACTTAGCACAAAGTCTAACTTTCAAATGTGTCAAATTTGGAAGAACTCCATTGTAATTATTTTGAAGAAATTTATGAAGAGACTTAATATGATGAACATGAATTGTTAATGATTGAATTTGATCATATATACGAAGTATAATATGGGAATAGAATCGATTCACAAATAACGACGAATTTTTCCCTTCAAGATAATCAATCACGAAATCAATTGAATGACATTTGTTGAAGGTAAGTTGTTCCAATCGACGATTACCAATATCGATCATAGAGCACAGAAAGGATATTTGAGATTTACCTTTCTCCACAATAGCTAATATTAATTCATCAGGTAAATCAAGTAATTTAACATTATCTATCATGAAAAAGAAAAGCATTAACTATAACTCTAAGTAGATATGCATACGTTTGCTTGACAAACAATTCATTGTTGCTATGTTGCATACGCCGAATATGAACTGACGTCGATTATGATATATGTAAGGATGGATGAAAAGTTTCTTTCAATAAATACAATGCAGATGACAACTGATCGTTAATGAATAGTGGTCGTAGGAAAGGAAAAGATGTTTTATCATATATAGAGGTCAATCAGACAGAAAAATTTAGCTTGAACTGTTCCGTCTGATTGATCTGAAAGAAAAAAGAAAAGAATATTGTCAATCAACCAATTGTATAAGCGTATTTTGATCGCGAACTATGGAAAGGAATATCAAAATTGATATGAAATACCTAACTTTTGAATAGCTATTCATCTACTTGTTCAAGTCGAAATTGTATTTGCTCGTCATCGTTTCAAATTCTTCATTTTTCGTTAAAATAATTTGGATAGATTTATAGGAAAGAGAAGTTCATGGTTTGTATGTAATAGGAATACTCGAGTTTTTATATTAAATATTCAACTGATAAAGATAGGATTTTGAAACATAGTATTCTACCACTGAGTAGTTCAATGTTACTGACTTTTCAAACAAGAAACCTTCTCATTTAAAATCTAATCAGTGATTAAGAAAATAAACTTCAAATATCATTATATGTTTAGAAATCTGATGAAACAATTATTTTTTCAAAACAATTGACATTTTTGAGAAATTCAAGCACTCTAAGATTCAAATAGTTAACGAAATTGTTTCTTGTATTGGTATACATTGACCACCGTTAGCACATGAATGGGAATTACATGAGGGTGTACCTTTAGCAAGTGGCTGAATATTTGAATAAGGAATTATGAGAATTGTGGATAATCGATGAACTGGGAGAAATATAAACTGAAGTGGAAAAACCCAACTTGCTCGATACGTTCATTCTGTTTTAAGAAATGCATCAATACGTAACAAATAGATTTTCGACGAATGTTTTGGTCGAGTTGAATAGAGTAGATAAATATTGAATTTTGTATCACAATCTCGTATAGGGAAAAATTCAATAAAATCATGTGATTCAATGTTTCCTTCATTATCTATAAGAATTAGGATAAAAGTGAATAACTGTTTCCAATCTGATGTTGCTCGTATTTGAATTGTTAGACTATAACATGTTGATTTTGTTATTGACATTGATCTCCGAAGTAACTTGATGGACAATGTATACCATCTGATGGATTCTTCTGCACAACACTCTGTCTCGAACTTATTAATCGTCTTTAATTCGCTAATATTACTTTCATAAGCTGCTCGACAAAATACAACCATATCACTTATGTCCATATCTATAATTTGAAAAATAATATTCTTCATTATTTGAGTGTACATAAAAGTTGATTCTTGTTTATTTTTTGACTCTATCATAGTATTTGTTTGATATTCAGCAAATTGAAAACCAATCATATTTTTCTCTGTTCGAAAAACACTCTGTTTTAATGGTTCGTACATTGACTCAATATCTGTGAAGATACCTCTTACTTTTCCATGATAAGATACCTCCTGGTATTGTTCTTCTTTCTTAGGATTCAAAATAAATATAGATTTGACTTGAATATATGAATGAAGTTGCACAATACTCTGCTCATTAAATGGTTCCGATATAGTAATATAGATTTTTTCATGTTGTTTGATTGTGGTAATGAATTCGATGCAATTATCTATGTTGGAAAATGTATTGATATCATTTACAATTTGTTGTAATTCTTTTTCTTGAGGATCTTCTGCAGGTTTGCCGAGCCATATAAGAATAATACTTTCCACCTTGAATCGATATCGTTTAGGAATTATTGAATGAGTAGATTTTGCTATCTGATCATTTTATTGTTGAAAATTGTTTTTCAGTGATTTTAACTATACAATACGCATAAGACACAGTTGTATTATTTACTTTATCGTCTCACATTCGGTATATGCGAAACAAAGAATGAGCAAGCAAAATAAAAAAAGAAAAAAAACATAATGAAATCGTAAAAACAATTGTACAATAACAAAACTCTCGTTACAATGTAAATTGCTGAGTGGTCTCACACATCCCGCGGGGGACGAGCTTGTCTCCACGGAATGAAACTACTAGTTTTAATATGATTAATCAACAAGACATTCAAATTACAAGAAAAAATGAAGGTTCTTATTGTATTAATGAAAAAAAGGTCCATCATTCTGACGTGAGCACAATGACAACGTACATCAAATTAGATGAGGGATGCAACGGTGACGATAACGATTCTACCGGTTTCCAATGTGAGGTATATACACATGAAAATGAAGACAATAGTGTTGATGAAGATTCTTGAAGATCAAATCTATCATTCGCCATAAGAGTCCTCTTTTTAGAAGTCGACAAGAGTACACTTTTTTTATGCTTATACAGAAAATAAACTTAGTTTGTTTACAGTTTTTACGCAGCTGCATTACTATGCATCGATACTGTAGCAGAAACTGTTAGTAGGTAGATGAGAATCAAGAAGCTTCGAATCGAGAGTCACAGATTAATTCTGCAAAAATGCTACTTCCAAATTTTTCTCTTTAACTATAAGAGGCTTTCTCTCTGGACTTTCCCCCTCTATAACGGTTATGAAATGAAAGCCCTGATGTTGATGATATTGTCGAAGTGATTCGTGATGTCCAATACTTATCATCGTCAAATTTTGATCTATCAGATAACTGTACATACTCATTTCCGTTCGAACATCAACGGATGATGTAATTTCATCTAGAAATATCAGATTAACACGTGGAAGTTCATTTGAAGTGAGGCGAAGAAGTAATCGTATAAATGATAGACGTTGTATTTCACCAGATGACAATAAATCTTGCCAAGGCTGCTTTGGACATTGATGAACATCTCCTTGAACACAATTCAAAGCATGTGAAAGTTTCTATTCATTGAGTAGTTGTTCGATTTGCGTTTGAGCGATATACCTATCAACATGAGGATAACGAAGTTCATCATACAAAGAACAATTAGTAAAATAGGGACGTTGTGGAAGTAAGTAAGCTTGATCAGGTTTGTACGAAAACAAACCATTCGACTTCATTGGCCATAAAGAATGTAGAACACGAAACAAAGATGTTTTACCAACACCACTACCTCCTAAAATACACCTCCTGTGTCACTAAATCAAGTTGTTAATGAGAGAATAGCACAAACCTGCAATTAATAAACGCTGTTGCGGATATAATATTAAATTCAAATTGTTCATCAGCATCATTTGCTCATCATTCGGAAGAGTGTAGGAAAGATTTCGAATGAGAAGAACTTCATCATGATGCATCATATCTTCTTCGATTTGTGTTTCGAAACGATCTACACTGATATTTTTCATACATTCAATAAATGATTGTACACGATGAGTATTCGATGCGATAATTGCTACGTCACTCGCAGTATCATTTAATTGGTTAAAACAAAAGATTAAATAACCAATAACAAATATAGTTTCGCCTATTTTCTGAACAAGTTCAAGTGTTATTAAATGATCATACAAATGAAAAACTAGAATAGCCTATGCAATCAACAAATAACTGATTATACTACCCATATAAACGTACAAGTTTGTCGAGAGACTCCGAACATATTCGAATAAACCACCACCACGATAGAACGCAATCGACTCGCTGTACGTTCAAATTTGCGTATGAAGAAAACGAAAATTACCTTCGAAAATATTCTGTCGAAATATCGTTCGTGAAACAGCAGAAATACAAATGCGATTAATTTCCGTCCAAAGAAAGAAATAAACGACAATTCCTAATGGACCATAATACCCAGTTACTTTCCACACACGGTAAATATAAAACGCAATTGTAAATGGCGAAACAAGTAGAAGAGGTGTTATGGTTGAAAGCGATCGACATAACGAATCAACATCTTGTGTTATACGTTCATCGGAAGAAGTTGAATGATGTAGCACATGGTAAAAACGTTGTTGTTTGAAGTAGAATGAATGTAGATAGATGATGAGTCTCGTCCGTCATTGAATGGATAGTATGGACGATAAAAATGTTGAAAGAGATTTTAAAAGTGCATTTATTGCAACGTAGAGAAACGAACGAATGATTAACCAATGAAATTCAGATAGATTACGTTCACTTGGTGATTTGCCTAATTGAAAATTATACTCCGATGGGAGTAAACCAACTAAATAAATAACAAATTGTAAACTAATTTGATTTACTGTTATTAACAGTATCAGGGTCAACGGATGCGAATAGAAATGTCCATTGAAATCTGAAGGATTCGACAAAATCGCACGAAAAAGTTGGATGAATCGTTTGATGAATAGATAATTAAAGTTGTTTTCTGAAGGCATACTTCTCCCGCTGTATATTGTTATCTATCACACACGTGTTTTTTGTCTGTCTACACTGATTGTTTGACTTACTCATATGCTACAATGACTCACAGATAAAAACTGCTGACAAAATCGAATTGAAGTGTTCGAAAAACAAAAAGCTGAACATGTAATGAAAAATAGAAACAATTATAGCGTAGCTGTTTAATGTACGTTGCCTTTCCAGACCCGCAAATATGTTCGATGCGACACTATTCCATTTCCCCAAGCTGTCACATTGTGTTCAATCCGAAACAACGCATTCATTTCGCGTAACTCATTTTCCAATGTTATTGAATCTATTCGATTTTCATATATTTCAAATTCAATCACCAAAAAAGATAGACTTGGTAACTGTCTTAATAAGACTAATGAATGATTTGTTTCCTTGACACCACATGACAAATATTCGAGACCGGAAAATATTCGACAAAATTTTTTCATTACAGCTACATTAGTAAAACACGTGGGATACGAAGCGATCCACAATCTTCGAAGAGTTTTCAAATGTTTATACAACGGACTGCTTTCTAATAAAACTGAAATATGATGCGAGTTAATGCATAATCGAGATAATTGTCGTGCTTCTTGAAATATGTTGGTCAATAGATATACGATATCTATTTCTGGATTGTGTATGACTTCTAAATAGGTTACATGCGATAGATTCACAATCGATTTCAACGATTGAACGTATTGAGACCCGGTTAAAATAGGAACATTCTGATTTTGTTCAACATCGCAAAAGTTCAATTTCAACTCCTTCACATTTGGAAAATAATACTTCGATTTGTTTGGCACGTCCGGGTGATAAATTGTTAAGATGTTGATATTGTCAAATTTGTTGGATATTTTCGGCAGAGTATTTGAATAATCACCAGTAGTCAGCTGGGTTGATAAAATGAAAGGAAATGCTCCGAGAGGTACAGTATAGATTTTCGCTCGATCTTCTTCATATGAATATTCGGTATACCAACGATGTTCTTTGAGCCAAAAGTCATTTTGAAAGTGATCGTACTTGTCGATAATGTTCGAAACATCATTATCGTAGAAGAGGAATTCGAAACTGAATTTGAAAACTTTCAAATGAGGAAGTGAAGATGTGATTAGGCTTTGCCAACGATCTGCATCAACAATATCTGTATTGACAATCGAGGATATCGTTAGATTCGTTAGATTCGGTGTTTGTTTGGTCAGTATTTCGATATATTCAAATGGCGCAAAGAAACCTGTTAAACTCATTTTTTTCAGATAAACAGCCTTGTGATTGTTAAAATTTGAGAACCAATATGACCAACGAGAATGAAATGATAACTGATGGCAATTGACATAGTTCAACATTGGAGCATATTCGAGTAAATGACTTAAATCGAAACATGAACAGTTCGAAAGGGTCAAATGCGTCAGAGAATGAAAGTGAAATAGAGCTGGTAATAAGGATTCGACTGAGTTGGATATCGGGAGAAATGTTGATCCCCATTTAACATCATTGGTCGGTTCGATTAAGTGTAGATATCGTAAATTGGGCAAGTTGGGTAAGATAGATATAAATTTACTGGCATCGCTTTTTTCTAGTCGAGTTAGTGTTATTGATCGAAGAGACGGAAGTTCATCGAGTGAGACAAATGAAAGAAACGATCGGATTTGATAACATGTTGGATCACCTGAGAGGTTTATCGAAGAAATCTGGCGTTTAATAGTCGGATCTAATAGCATTCGAAGACAGAATTGATCGAATATCGATTTGGAAGCAAATTCACCATTGATATATAATGGAATCGTTCGAATGAGTTGATCGAAACGATTATTCAATTGATTGAATGAATAAAAGATGTTCAATGCACTGAGATATTCCAAACACTCAAGAACAATCTCATTTGGTAACCGTTCAAACGTCATCATTCCGATCTTTTCGTTTGCCATTTGAGGAATAGACACACTTGTGACAAAGTAAAACGCGCATGTATTGGTTACATCACGAATGCGTAACGAAAAACATTACATCATAACGCAGTAATGCGCGGCTTTTTCCCTGTTCTTCCTCTATGACTCATTTGTTTATTCAAGAGAACGAAAAAGGTTAAATTTCTTTCCAAGAACTTAGTTTTTTATTGAAAAGATTATTTGTTGCTCATTGGTCTTTTTCTTGCTAGGGTGGCAACAATCACGACCATTTCGAAAAGTGTGCATAATCAGTACGAAAATATCATGTAACGAACTGAGATATAAACTGGTCGGCACCTAAATATAAAAAGATACGTGTGATCTAATAAAAAAAACATACTTCTCGACTAAACGTTGTTATACTTAGATTGGTTTTATATTTTTATTTACGATCATAAGTCGATCTGCGTGTGTATATAAGAGCGTGGAACTTTATTAGAAGCAATGTAATGAAATGTAGGGTGTCACTCGTTTCGAATGTTATAGATTTCAGAAAAATCACGATGAAAATCATTAGCAATCCATTGACTTTGTTTTATTGCTAATTCAAATGATCGAAATCGAAGCTGGCGGTCGAAAAGCACAATGCCAAGCTGGTGTTACTGATACTATTGTCTGGGCATTTGGTGCGTTTTTTTGCGCAATTGTGATTCCAATTGCTACGAGTTTTGCAACACAAGATTGTGATCGCTATGAACATAAACGAAGAACGTGAGGACAAACAAATTGAAATCTAGAGCAACGGAGAGTTAATTGATTGATGTTTAATTGACTTTGTCTAGTGGAAATCCGAGATGTTTCTCTTCGAAAACACTAGGACGATCAGTATGTATCGCTCTTCAACTAATGTATAAACTTGGACAAGCGTCTTCTGAACCTTGTAATAACCAAAATCATGGGAAACAAAAGTGTGTTGGAAATGAAGGTTTTATAACCTGTGTTTACAGCAATTCCATAGAGGTCGATACATGAATTTGTTTGCTCATTTTTGCTTGGTTACGTAGATAAATGGACTGTGTAACAATTGTGTGGAGCAGGAACATGGTGTCAAGGCCATCCGATATTTAACCGACGTGTTATCTGTGGCTGGTAGAATCTCAAAGGAACACTGCAGCGAACAGTTTCAATTCTCTTTTATGATAGTTTCTTTCTTTCCTATTATTCAATAAAACTATCTGACTTTTTACTTCCATTTCTAGATTTGTATTTCGAAGTTCTCTCTAAAGGTTACGATGATATTGGAGAAAGTTTTCTTCTATATAAAAACGTGCTTCGTGGGGTTTGAAATATCTAAAGATTTGGACGGTTTTATTCCTAACATTTATTATGTATTCAATCAAGTTTGGTTTATTCAAATAATTATCTGCATCGACTCTTGTATTAAGGTCAACAAACTGTTTCCAGATACACAATACTCAATGCATTTTTTCATTATTCAATTTAATTTTATTCTACTAATGAATAACACATTATATATTGTAGAAATGATGTACATAAACAAAATTATGCTATGTTTCAATACTTTTTTACACCATATATTTGCATCTTTTATTGTCATTTTCACTTTCTTCCAACAGCATATGATCTGTGTTTTGTATTTGATTCCTTATCATTCATCCATTCATTGAACGGGTATTTGGAAACGTCGTACAAGTCTCTTCTGTTCGCTAACAGTTTATCTATACCACTAGCAACGACGCTTATCATATGGTTTCAATGTTCACCCTACAAATTGAGTCTAAAAATACCATTCGTGATTATTTGCGTATTTCAATCGAACACATTCACATACTTCTATGACGATGCACTAAATCTAAACGAAATCAATGACTTCAAATTAATAAAAGCATCGATATTCTCGTTGATATTTCCAGCATCGTTTCATATGTACTTATTCTATATTCGAAGAAAAAAAATGTCCACCTAGCCTTTATGAATTCACAGAGTAACCTATATCGTTGCCCTTATTTACTTGCACTCACTCTCTCCATGCGTAGAAACTTTTTCTGTATACTAAAGCAACGTACGAAAGAAAAAACGTAATAAAACATGCGCTTACACACGCTTCATGTATTTTTTCTCCCACAGCCAATATACGCGCAGTCAAAATTTTCTCACTATACTGTTAATCCGCTTCATATTCACTCGATTAAACTCGACATGCATATGACATTAGATAAAGCCTTTTTCTATTTGGAAATATTCTTCTTTTGGATTGAAATATCTAAAGATTTGGATGGTTTTATTCCTGAAATCTATTACCTGTTCAATCAATTGTGGTTCTTTCAAATCATAGTCTGTATTTGCTATTGCACCAAAACCAAGAAAATCTTTCCACGCCTTGACCGTGTGAACCATATTGCTATTACTCAATTCAATATTCTTCTATTGACAAATGGCACAATTTATATAGCAGATGCGATCTATACCAACAAAATGATGCTCAGTTTCAATACATTTTTGCATCATGTACTTGCATTTCTTATTTTTCTTCTCACTTTCTTCCAACAGCATATGATTTGTGTTTTGTATTTAATTCCTTACTTCATCCATTCATTGTACTGGTATTTAGAAACGTCGTACGAGTCTCTGTTATTCGTTTACAACTTCTCCTTACCGCTGACAACAATGCTTATCGTATCCTATCAATGTTCAACACGCAATTTGAATCTCAAGATACCATTCGTGACTATTTGTTTATTCCAACTGAATACGTTTACATATTTCTATGACGATGCATTGAACCTCGAAGAAATCGAGAGATTTGACTTGATAAAAGCATTGGTATCGTCACTGATCTTTGCTACACCTTTCCATTGGTATTTATTACATATTAGAAGACGAATACTTCGTTTAAATCAATCCACTATCGTCTAACTTTTTGTCCGCATCTGATTTCTTCACATGTTTGAATTGTATATAAAGAAAAACAATGACTAAAAGCAGAACAAAAAAAAATACAAGTCTTCCACACTTCACTCCACGAAGTAAAAATACATAGTCACATTAACGCGGTTGCATTTTTTCTCGTAACAACAAATGTTTAACACTGGATTGACAAATCGGTAAGAACTCTTCTTGTAGAAAGCCGAATTCATTCTGGTAATTTTAATTCTAGCAAAATCAAATGTTTCATCTTCGTTATTCTATTCTTTGGAATATCGATGATTGCATTTATCAATATTCAAACTTCGAAGGACATCGTTTGCAACTTCTTTCTCCGAACAATTTCAAACACAAATCAAAGTCAATGGAGAAAGAATAGACTTGTCATCGTTCCCGCAGTTCATAATGAGATTGATTGGCATAAACCAACAACTTGGCCGCAATGGCTTCGCGATGGTCTTGATTTATTCAATAATAGTCTTTCACGACCTTATGATGTTTATTTGTACCAACGTCTCGATCCTTATTCGAAGTCACCGTTCAATTGGCCCTATTGTAAGAATGTGCATGAAGAAGCAGGTGTTTATCTCAAATTTATCTACGATTTTTATTATGATTTACCTGATAAAATGTTGTTTGTGCATGCAAAACCACAGCAACACTCTCTTTATCCCATTGAAGCAGCACAATGTATCCGCGATGATGTTTATTATGCAAGCGTCAATAATATTTGGTTTGGTAAACGACCTTGGATTGCAGCGAATCCCGATCCGATTGATAACATCACGTTAATGTACAAATGTGCGAAACGTATCTTGAGTTTCTTTGGTATCGATGGCGAAGCTCAATTAAATCCCACAGATTTGAAACAAAAAGACATGAGTATCTATTCCACGATGTGTTGTGCACAATTTTATGTACGGAAAGAGCGTATTCATCATTATACCTACGAACAATGGTCGGCAGCATATAATGCCAGTCTCGAACCTTATTGTACGTCACCACTTGACCGCGAACGTCCTGGTCTACCAGGAGTGAAATCATTCGGAAGCAGTTTTGAATTTCTTTGGCATATTATTCTTGGACTTGAAGCGCCAGATATGCCCGAGCCGAGAGCAAAAACAACATCTGATCTATGTCATCTATTCCGCTCATCTTGTTTCGGATCACTATGCAATGCGATGGTTAACGGAATTCGACGTTCATCTGCATAAGTGTTCTCGTGTGAGATCATGCACGTTGGACACTTTTATGTTAAAAATAAATAAATGTGGAATCTTCGAATATCATCCGTAAGTTAGATATAATGCAAAAAAGTGTATGACATGCGTGACAGAGAGATATCGATAGTTTTTCAATAACTAAAAACTCAGTCTCAATTTCGAATTCCGGCGAGATCATAATGTAACAATATAACTTTGAAAATTCCATCATAATCAAATTAGTCTTTTAAGAGTTATCGTTTAGATCATCAGCAGAGAGCACGCTGATCGGTTCTAGTAATGCGCTCACATTCTCAGTATACCATAGCACTCAGTTATCTGTAACCTGTTCGTAGTAACGTATTGTTAATACGTTGATTCTTCTCAAGCGAAGCACAGAGTTTTAACAAAAAAATCGTGTGTTTTGAGTGGGCTACCAGATGGATGGTCTCAGTGAAATACATCTATACAACCTCACTCTCATCTTTTCACCCTTCACTATCAATAAATATATCTATATATAAACGATCTATTGTACTAAGAAGAAATGTTGGAAAAAGAGCACATTTTGTACAAAATTTTTCAACAGTTATTGTATTTATTCTTGAATTCATGTTTGATCTTTGAGTAATATTGTAATTGAATTATTAGTAAATAAACTAAATATTTTTTATTGTTTTACTGTTTAAAGCAAGTGAAAATTGATCGAATATTAATAATTTATATTATCAACACAATCATCTACGTTCATCTTCAATATCTTTTGAATTGTCTACGAAGTCTTCTTTATTTTTGAAATAAAGTATAAATAAAAGATGTATAAGCATCAAAAGTATTGTAAGTATTCATAAGATAAATCTGCAATATATTATTTTATTCTTTGAATAGTTCATTTAGCGACTTTGTACTTGAGTTTGTATTTAGTGATTGCTGCGCCACCCAGTAGTTCGAACAGATTCATTTTTTCGAGCATTTTGAATGATCTGATGCTGGTCATACAAGTCAGACACAATTTACTCATGCAGCAAGTTCATTAACAATTGGAAAATCTTGTTCACAGGTGGAGATGGTTATGATGTTTATGCGACGACAAAATATTATTATCCATCAAGACAAAAATGGACAGCTGGTGCGAATATGAACGATTGTCGAGCGTTTCATACATTATCTCTATTAAAGTACGGGAAGGTATTGATTGCTGGAGGCATCGCTGACGATTCAGATCCAGAATATGCCAAGTATCAATCGACGACTACAATGCGAATAGTGATGCACTATATATTGCTGAATTGTACGATCCATCGATAGGAAATTGGTCGATAGTATGCATTGGAAGCGAGCGTTCCATATTGGCGGACAAGATGATGATGGTTTTTCTCTCAGCACTGCTGAGTTATTTGATCCATCCGCAGAAATATGGATATTTAGTGGCACTATGAATAATAGGCGATCGAAATATACAGCGTCTGTATTAGAAAACGAAAATGTACTAATTGTTGGTAGTAATAACGATAAAATTGGATCCTATACTGCTGAGTTGTATAGCCCACCAATAAACACTTGTGTTCGTATCGATGAGTTTCAAAATATATAATATGTACAGAAACATTTTTTTGTCAAGCGACGAATAGAAATCGTTTGAACTATAAATAGATACGTCATTTCTTTTTGGCGGGACACACTTGATGGTACATTTATGATCGTTACATCGGCATTATCCACGCCACTGTCAAAAGTGTGAGAAGCTTTGGCACGATTGTTGACCAATTAGTACTTTCATTATTTAGCCCTAGAGACTTATTTTTCTAAGAAAAATACAAGCACTGAACACCGCAAGACAATTAATTACAGCGTAGATGAAAGTACTCAGATATTTGAAGAAGATCTCAGTTTCTTTCTTGTTAATGATGATGTTGAGAAGGAAAATGACGAAAAGGATTCGTTCTAGCACTTCTTTGTATATTAATTAATAATTCACTTGCACGTGTTGTAAAGTGCTACCCAAGTTAAAAGATCCGGAGTCTTCTAAAATGTCTTTGCGTATAATATAGGTAAAGGAGTCTTATATAACGTCATTTGAGAGAAAATTAATAAATATTAAATAATGCAAAATATCATCAGTTTATGAAATTTCATCAAACGATTATAAAACTATAAAAAGTATATAAACATAAGACAAACTAGTTTTTCTTCCACATATTTATGAGTTGTGTAATTCGAATATAAATAGAAATTGAAAAAATATAACTTAGCATAAAATCAATGCTGAAGAAAGACGTAGTTGTATTTATTCATACCTATAATTTATCTTTAAAATTAAATAAGTCTATTTATGTAAGTGTTAGTTAAGAAAGACATGAACAAATCTGTTCCTACCTATTACCGACGATTCGTATGTTGACGGGAGAAGATATAAATTGACTATAAATTTTTCAAATCAAAAATACATTTAGTCCTAATACGTACGAAAGTATTAATTTTCATTTCGGTCATTTTTTTCTGAGGTTGCAACAGACAGCTGAATCTTCATTTATATTCGAACTCGAATCAGGCAACTCATGAATACGTCGGAGGGTTTAGTTATAAACATCAGAAAAATTGTTGCTGAGTAAAATAAGAAGTACTAACGATTGAGGAGAGTGAAGAAATATTACATAAATAGAACAAAATTGATAGAGTATTAGTCGTGATATCCGGTATCAAGTCATGGTTTTCACTTAAGTTTAATTCATTTTTGCAGCTTCCGGACTCTCCTTATCACTTTCCCTTCATAATATAAGATAATGAAAGTTTAATAATCTTTTCAAAGCATGAATAATCATATGAAAATAAAATGTTCAGAGCACCGTTAATTATCTTTTTCAGCGATCTCTGAGAATAACGAGGTTAAATTGCTTGAAGATCAAAATGCGCATCGATGAGTTATGCTCTTAGACATGTTTCTTCTTAACGCTCTTTAACGTGCAAACATGACTGAAATGCGCTGTGCGAGATATTTAATAGTAGATTATCTCTAACGCCGTCTCATCAACAACCAATCAGAATTCAAGACACACTGTTTTATCTTCCTGGTCAAAGTCTATTCCTTTCATCATTTTATCATCAGATCAACAAGAATGTCAATGATATTTTATACACAAGTTCTTGATTTCGTAACACAATATACGTTGTACAGTGGATGTTTGATATTCGTAACAGGATTGGTGGGCAATGCAATGAACATTTTAGTGTTTAGTCAGTTGAAACTCTTTCGAACTAATCGCAATGCTTTCTATCTCATATCGGAGTCGATTTCCAGTTTTCTTTTCCATTTCATCTTTATGACTTTGACTCTACTAACGGCAATCTATGGTGATGATGGAACAGGTCGTTTTCCAGTGTGGTGTAAATTACGTTACATTCTCGGACCAACGTTTGCAGTTGTNATGATGAAATGATGAAAGGAATAGACTTTGACAAGGAAGATAAAATAGCGTGTTTTAAATTCTGATTGGTTGTTTGCTGAGACGACATTAGAGATAATCTACTATTAAATATCTCGCAGAGTGTATTTCAGTCATGTTTGCACGTTAAAGAGCGTCTAGAACGTTAAGAAGAAACATGTCTAAGAGCATAACTCATCGATGCGCATTTTGATCTTCAAGCAATTTAACCTCGGTATTCTGAAAGATCGTGAAAGAGAAAATTATTATTTTTCGTACATTTTCTTTTGGTCTATAGAAAAAATCTCTGCATAAACGTTTTGTCAAATTGTAATGCCTACTCTGAGGATAAAACCTATAGATCTACTGTGGGCGGTCACGAATACTTCCGTCAGCGTGCATATCCCTAAACTCACTTTTCAGTCACTAAAAGTACATTCAATAAAAATGTAGATGAATGTATAACTATGAGAGCATAATCTAATAATGTATATAGAACGTTGTAATGAGTGTTAATTGTTGATCTTCTAAACATGTTTTGATAATGACAGAGCACTGAAAAATTAATAATGATATACCGTCTGTGGAAAGGGAATCTCCTGTGAATGCAACTAGTAAGGTATGACATTCCGAGTTATTATTAAGAAAAAGTTAGTATTATGTTTAAAATTTTATATAAGAATATTGATTTCAGTGTGAAACCTGTTGGTGGATGTTGATATGCGTTAAGATTACTGGCTAATTTGGTACTCGTAATTAAGCCTACGCTCTTAAATCTAACGTAAACTCATGTATTACCTGATTAAAAGTACATTTCACGCTTTTCGCTTATTTGTTTGTACTTGGAAGGCAAAACAGCTTTATATGATTTATACTTTGTATAAAGCAATAGAAGTTGTAAGCCAGGAAAATATTTTTTAAGAGTGCTATACTAGTGAAATTCTTTTACTGCGACAGTTAATTTTGCGCTATTAGTGTGTGATATTTCATTGATTATGAAAGTATTTTAGAAAATCGTATATTCAGACAGCTTGCATTTGCATATAATATAAACAGATTACGTGTAATGAAGCAAGGATTCTTTTTCTGATGATATTATAGTTCGTTGCGTGTACTAAATACATTTGCATCTAGATAAGCAACCAGTCACATCAAATATAATTATCACAATGAAGTGGAAAGGAAGTATTGCCGTGAAGCAAAAGGCGTTGCCAATTGAAATTCTGGTTTATTTATATCATTATTAGTATGTTTGCACTGAAAAATTCGAGCGAAAGAAAACGACTTCATGTTTATTACGATGTGATAATACCGTTGATACATTTTTGATGAACATTGTAGTAAAATTTGTTTCCACAGAGGCCAGTCGATAATCCAACGAGACAAAGAACACTCTGAAGACATTGTTGAAATATGGAAATATAACATTGACAATTACAGACAGCATTAAAAACAGAACGTTTACAAACAACACCATCGATGCAAACTTGCAATGGTCAATTTTAGCGTGTGCCATGACATAGATCAGGCTTAACACCATTGCAAACTGTTCGGTTGATGCACTTTTGTGAGAGATTATTGAAACACGTTCCGTTGCAAACTTCAGTTTTGCCCATTGACGCATGTGTATTTGTATCGGTCATAATATTGTCCACCACATTCCAGAGAATTCACCGAGTTATTTACAAGATATCCGTTTGTTAAATGAAGTTGAAAAAGAAGGTAGATAGCGCTAAATATGATCATCATTAACGAGATTGGTTTAAGTGTATATATGTGACTACGAACAGAAATCAGAATCCTTATATATGAAACTGTTTGTGTACAGAATGCGCCATGAAATCTGTAATTTCGAATTTGATATCACGTCATGTTTATAATATAATGATGCTGTGTCAGTACAATACAATATGCTAGCTTCTATATTGTAACTCGATTGAGCTGATTTTGTGTTGTAATTGAAAGAAATCATGAGGATTTATATGAACATGTTTTGTCGCTAGTGATTTCTGCTATTTCCTCCATCTTAAAACGAGACGTAGGAAAAATGCGCTGAGACTCTAAAAATATTCACGTGGATATCGGCTGGATATTTAATGCAGATATATCTGTTCGTTAATATGAAACATGCATCGCGATAACGATGGAAATTCTACGATCAGCAACATTGCCTTTTTACCGACTCGATTTCTATTTTTTTTCATTAGTCCATTCTGTGCGTAAATATTTTTACATTCTTGAGTGAGTCATAGTCGCAATGACTAATACAAAACGTTGAATAAGCAATTTAAAAGCACCCTCAAGCACATACAACCTCAATAATACAGTTGATTTGTTTAGAGGACGAAAGGAGAAAAACGTCGTTTGTCATATGCACGTTATTATCGAACAAGAAACACATTGAATCGATGCAGACAGGAGCAACAACCGTTCTCAAATTTCTACCGTCTATTCTTAGGATCGCTAAAACGATTTATGAAATCACCAAGCGAGTGACAGCTAACAAAAATCAATGTAAACGTAAGTAATTCCTTATCACAACGACAAAGCCATTTCTCTTGGTCTCTCTAGGCTTGAGCGAACGAGTTAAGTGTATCGTTGACATTCTCCAAGATGATTCGATTGATAAATCGGACTCACCATCGATGGAACGAGCGTTGAAAAACTTAAAAGGAACATTGAAAGATAGCGCCAAGTTCATCGAAAAATTTGCTGATGCGTCGATCGTTAGTCGATTTTTACATAATTCGGATCATCAAGAAACATTCGAAGAACTTACTACACGATTATCAAACAATGCAATCGATCTCAATTTAGCTTTGAATATCAGTGCCATATTTGACCAACAACAAGATGTATACGATCGACGAGCCGATCTTGCAGAAATCTCGTCAAAACTGGACGAGATTGCTTCCGAAATGGCTCGCCAGCAGAACGAACTACTCAAACAGAATAAGAATATGAAAGACGAATTTAAACGACGATTTGATTCATTCAAATATAGCATCCGACAAGATATTCTGAAAGCTGAACGAGGTGTGGAAGCAAAAGAAACGGAAGAAGAATTCAAACTTTTCCTGCATATTCCGTATCATGATTTAATCTGCGAAAAGCTCATTGGCCAAGGAGGATTCGCCGATGTTTATAAAGGCATGTGGCTCAGCCAGCACCACCAAGTCGCGATCAAGCAAATCCGTATGACAGACCTGACGGAAAACGTCAAACAGACTGTTCTGCATGAAATAGCAACGATGTATAAAATTCGTTATAATCACGTCCTTGGTGTTCTCGGAGCATGTATAGAACCGAACTGTTATGCTTTAGTTGTAGAATACATGTCTCTCGGATCGTTATTTGATGTTTTAAAGAACAATAAGCATATTCAATCGTGGCAAGATCGATGGTCGATTGCGTTACAAATGACGAAAGGAGTGAATTACCTGCATTCGAGATCGATTGTGCATTGTGACATCAAATCGTTGAATTTTCTTATGGATCAAGCAGTTGATGGTTATCTTGTTAAGATCAGCGACTTCGGTCTGGCAAAAATACGACAAGAAACAAGTCGACAAACGAAAGAGCGGGCTGAACAAGTAGTCTCATCAGGTACACTTCAGTGGAAAGCACCGGAATTATTAAAATTCGGGAAACCATCGAAGGCAAGTGATATCTATAGTTTGGGCATTACCTTCTGGGAATTAGCGACGCGATCGGAGCCCTACGAAGATTTAGATGAAGCAGTTATATGCCAAGGTATTAAGTCTGGAGAACGACTTGATATACCTGAAGATATACCAGCGGCTTTTACATCAATTATTACCAGTTCATGGAGTCAAGAACCAAAAAAACGACCAACCGCCGAAGAACTCATAAAAGAAATTACGAAAATGACATCGGATACAGTAGAGCATTCAGCGCCGTAAGTATTCTAATCGAATATTTGAACATTGTTGTTATCCTCTCGTTTTAGATCAAACGTTTTAGCAGCAACAGCCAATGTAATCACTCCGGAATTGTCTCCGAACGATCCGAAATCGAAATTGGAAGACTTAATCAGTCAGTTTAAACTTGGTTCAACAGTAAATCTAAATGATCAACAGATAACAGACTTAGATATGCCACTCATTGCCGAACAAGCCATCGTGAAGAAGAAATGTACTAGTCTTTGGATTGAACGTAATCAGATCACATTGAACGGCGCTTCCGTTCTGGCTGATGCACTTTACAATAACTTGACTTTGTCCGAGCTCTGGCTGTTCAGCAATCAAATCTCTGATACAGGCGTTAAATATCTTTCCAGAGCACTTGCAGCGAATCAAACTCTCAGAAAACTCGGCCTCGCCGCAAATAACATCACAAATGCAGGCGCAGAATATCTCGCTACTCTACTACAAACAAATTACACGATAACTATGTTAGGATTGGCTAAGAATAAGATTGGCAATCAAGGTGTACAGTCTTTAGCAAAAGTCATTGCAAAACAGAAGAGTGGTCTGCAAACACTAACTCTTGACCGTAATGAATTCATAAGTGATTCAAGTATCGAATCCCTTATCGACATGATCAAACGTAGTCAATCGTTGCAAGTGCTATGGATCAACGATTGTGGCATGACAAACGATGGCAAACGAAAACTACGAGATAAAACTGCATCGAAAAAAGAGTTTAAATTAGTCACTACCTATGAACACTCTTCGTAGTTCGTACAAGCAATTGTCTTTTTATTTCAGGACCAACTGTATCGATAATAAAAAACTAAAACTGAGAAAAGTCACGAAACAAAGATTAAATCGCAGATTCATGTGGGAACGGCACTTTGCTCTGGATAATCCTTCGCGGTGCCTCGGAGTGACTTCGTTCGCGATAAACTTATCGATTCAGCAGGATCTTTTGTATCACGTGAACCATACGTATCTCTTACTCTTTTTCTATATAGTATAAAAGAAATAAGTCCGGTGACAATAGTCGCCACAAGTAAACCAATCGCAACAGTCATAATCAAAAGTAACTTTTTCGTAAATCGAGCACCACGGAGTTTTTTTGTCGTCAGAGCTAAAACACATAACCTTAATTAACGATGTCGAAGGAAATTTTTCGGAAACGAACTATCTTTGTTGCATAGATGACTTTTACAACATTGAATACGACCGTGAAAAGTCGCACCACCGTAAGAAACTTTGCCCAGTGAGTGATCAACACACTTTGAAATAAACGTGCGGATAACAAAAGCTGGATACTTGACTTTCGTTACAGGATCTTGTCCCTCGACACCAACAATCGTCTATAAAGAAAATCTTTGAATTAAAGAAAAACATTTCGATTTCTGAAGTACTTACTGCACATGATTCCGAAGGACTCGACGTTCCTGATTTGTATACATTTGGACTCGATGGATCTAAAACTTGGCAACCAGCTAAGCCAGATATACGTGAATCGCATGTGTAACATTGAAGACTGGAACCTTTAACAGCATTGGTTAAAATCTCTCGATTACACTCCGGAGAATTGCAACACATAACAGACGATCTTGTACTCAATTCCTGAACGTGTCGAGTTAGATCTCTAACAGTTGGTTGACAATTGTGTGTAAAGGACTTTTGATAAACTCCTTTACTCGATGTGATCTATTGAAATCAATAGATTTCGAGAAACCAAATCAATTTCAGTCTCACCGAACACGATTCCGTCGCACTACTCAGTACGGTGATTTGTTCATCGTCATCGACACATATCCCATCGTCCATAACACATTTACCAAGAATACACTTGCGAGCAGTCAATGCGGGTAACGGTGGTGAAGGCAAAGAATTACAAAGATCACGATTACAACAAAACTGATGCGATGAACTGCGACATGCATGAGAAGGAATAACATGCCGTGATGTCACACCTTCCGGCGTTACGCTTATCTAAATAACAACACTCAAAATACATTCTATTTGATCAGAATTATACGAACTGCGCAGGAGAAATATTCTTCTCTATGCGGTGCTGTTACTGTTTTAACGTTTGGTGAATCTGGTGAAAACAAACTACCACACGTATGTCCTCCACTGCATGAGTAACACTTCAAACTTTGAATCACATCGATCGCTAGAAAAATTCGAGTTTTTTTTTGTAAAATTGAACGATAGCATCACTCACCATAGACGAATATCACATAAATTGTGAGACAGAATCTCATTGTATGCTTATGAAGCGATAGTTTGATTCTGTTTTTTTTAAACTATTTTCAATGTAATTTTTTTCTTCTAACGGACGTTTTTTTGCCCGTTACCTTTCAGCATGGATGCATTTTTTTCTTTCGTTCTTTACCCAATCCTATACTTACTTCGCCTTGGAAAAAAAAGATTGTTCTGTCATTGATCAGCCCGATTCAATGCAAACAAAACGATAATGACTGAGTACTCAGTCAATGTCGCGTGTTATTCAACGAAAAACCGTCAATTATTCAAGTTTTATTATTCACTGCGAAAAAGAATCACCAATCGATTGAATTTTATCTTCAATGATTTTCTTTTCCTCTTCCAAAGATCCAGTCTGTGCATATTGTTCACCAAATCGAATCAAACATTGCATACCGACTATTTCTCGTGATAAAGAATAAAACCATCGCCGTTGTTCATACCCTTCGTCTAATTTCACGTACTTTGTATAACTCGATAAGAAATCATCTCGATGCTCATTCCCTTCGAAATGGCCTTTTTCAATTCTCATAAGTTCGTATTCGTTATGTCCAATTAATGCATCCTCAGCGTCTAGAATACCTGTTAGCTGCCCATTGGATACCAAAATATTTCCGCAGTGTAAATCCATATGTAATAACCTCGGTGTGATTTCGTAATCGATCATATGGATATTTCTCGTCAGATGTTGGTGAATTTTATTGCCAAGTTCTTCGAATATTGTACCTTTGAATTGAAGAATTTGTTTCTCGATGGTATGACGAAACATCTCCTTCCAACTAGAGAAATATTGATTATTCAGATAAGCACATTTGTCGAAAGTGTACTTCGCATGTAATTGGCCAACGAATGCACCTAGTTGTCGATAAATGTCTACTCGTTGCTCGTGTGTCAGAGAGTCTAACACTTGTGAAAGAGAAACGCCTGGCAATTTCGACGCAATATAATAATTCTCAACTGATTTGAATATTTTTGGCACAGGAAAGTGACTTTCACTTGTCAATCGATAGAAAATGACTTCAGTGACTTCATCCGGCTTAGTAAATTTGACGACGAGTTCAACCTGAGAATTATTGGCAAATGTAATCAAGTACACTGAATTCGAATAACCATCTTTCGGTCGTGAAATACTCTTTATTTCCAGTGAACAATCATATTCCGAAATAATCTGCTTGATAAGATCACTTTTCTCAGTCATGTGTATTTCTTTTATTATATTTCGTCAGTCGAGCGCTGATTGGTATACACACTTAATCATATCACACACAGATATTGAAAGATGACGCTATAAGAAAATACAACGAATAATTACGGTCGTGGTGAAAACCAGTCGATATACGACGCGTTTATCAGGAAAAATACTGTCAAGCATATACTAAAATAAATGATGAGTAGAACAAATGCTGTTTGTCGGCAAATTGTTTGATATGCATCCTTCCATGGATACGGACAACCGAACATGCCGATACCAGCGAGAAAGCCTACTATCGCACCACCAAAATGAGCCGAGTGTCCGACAATATACTGAAGAATATTTGCTATCGATACTGTAATTGTCATCGGTAGTACAACTAATAAAAGCAGTTGCAACAGAACGAGACGATAATTTTTGGTTATTCTGATCGCATTGAGACGTTCAACGATGAAAAGCAGAAGTATACCATAAACGGCACCGGAAGCTCCAACACCACCTAAACAACACCAAATCGATTCATTTTACTCTCACAATCAGATATCTACCCGCTCGATCTTTCAGCATAGCAAACAAACAAGCACTAGTATTCGAAAGCCAATACACAACAGCGATGCGAAGTGAACCATATTTCCGCTCGAGTAAAATGCCAAGTAATAGTTGTCGAGATACATTGAAGATCAAATGTATCCAATTCATATGAATTAAGTTCACGGTGATCATTCGCCAGTATTGATGCGGATACATAAACGAAGTACATAAATTCTGTATTCGATCACCATAATAACATGTCTTGTTCTTCACTGACACTTCACAGTCGACAACACGCATTTGAATATCGATTGGTGTTGGTCTCATGCACGGAAGAAAAAGCATCCATAGTGCATAGAGTGAAAACACGAAATATTTATTTCTCCAAGTAAGATTGATGTGTATAAGTGAATAAATAATCACGTGTACGAGAGACATAGTGAGAATAAATATGGGACGATGGCATTTTTCATTTGGAACATGATTGAGAGTGAAAAATCTTCGTAATCGCGAGCGAATATTGAGTCCTTCGACGGAAATCGGTTCGATTACACGTGTCGCTGCCGGTTCTTTCATTTCCAAATGAATATTCTCATTTGTATGTGTCATCTGACGTGGAAAACCAGCGTAATCTTTGTCGGAAGAAATAAGAATACTTTATGTATGTTTCAATATGTAATAGGACTAGAACAGCAAATTATGTGGAAGAAAACAATGTATAGCCATGTTTCTTCTTCTTATAAGTTGCCGAACAAGAAAGAAAATTAATGAAACGTGATATTTGCTCTCTTCTTTATAACCATTAATACATGTTTACATGATAAGGAAGAAATCTTCTTTTTCTCATCGACAATCGATCTGAAAAGCAAACACTCTCGATGCTTGTTCTTCTCCCAGGTATCTGGTACAATTCATCATTGGTACATCCAACAGAGTACGAAATCCTGGAGAAGATTATGTATTTATAGATGTCACATTACAAGATTTATTCACAGAGACTTGATTGATTCAGTTTACTCTATGACGATAGGTTCTAGTTGAAAAAAAAGTGTTATACCGATGAGAAAATACAAAGAAAGAGTCATTAATCCAATCAGTCGGACTGTCTTCAGATAGCAATTCTGTTCAGCAGAACATAGACAACCAAACATAGTGATACCGATCAAGAAGCCCACGAAACCACCGCCAAAATGAGCGGCATGTCCAACACGTAATTGAAGAATAGTTGATATACATGCTGCGACGGCCATTGGAAGGACAAAAAAGATAATTAATTGAATAAATACACACGAACGTGGCGTATGTTGATGTCTCATTGCATTAAGACGTTCAATAATGAAGAACGATGCTAAACCATAAATAGCACCAGAAGCTCCAACACCGCCTTAAATTAAATCAAAGTTGCGACACAAGAATCAATGTTATTATAACTCTTACCACGTCTATCATGCAATAGAGCAAATAGACAAGCACCGAAATTTGACGTCCAATAGATGCCAGCTATTCGAATTGAGCCGTATTTCCGTTCGAGTAGAGCACCGAGCAGAAGTTGCATGGTCAAATTGATCACGACATGTAACCAATCGATGTGAACGAGATTAACGGTAATGATTCGCCAGTATTGATGTGGATAGAAGAAAGAAAAACAGAAGTTCTTCAGATCGTCATCGTAATTACATGTTTCATTTTTCGGCGAGGTATAACAATTAACTGTATGTTCACGAACGTGCGCTGGTGCTGGTCGCATGCACGGAAGGAAGATGCAGAAAAGGTTCCTCAACGTATCTAGAAAACGTTGATTTCTCCAAAGTATGTTGATGTAGGTCGTCAAATGAATAGCAACATGTACGATAGACATGAAAATAATAAATATCGGAAAATGACGTTTTTCGTTGGTTGAAGTATCGAGTGTGAAGACTTGCCGACATCGTAAGCGAGAAATTTTTCCCCTAGCAGGATCAGATACTTCCACATGTATTGCTAATGGTTCTTCTAATTCCAAGTTAACGCCATTGTCGCGACGCATTCTCAGGAGAAGAATACTTGTTCTAATTCTTCGTCGTAAAGCTTTTAAAAAGAAAATATTGTTATATGTCTACCGTTCATTTTTTTGCGCATGATGCGTATAGCATAGTCACCGATGTCTACCCATTCTTTCTTTTTCCATTAGACGCCGAGATAACAAAAAAGAAACAGGATGTTCTAGTTTTCTATTCTGTTCTTCAGCACATATTTACTGAGAAAATGTTTCCTTCTTTGGCATAACGAGAAGTAGGGAGAATCAGATTCATCGTCTTTGCTGACGTCTTCGCTTTATTTCATGTTTTCAACAACTAATCGCTTTTTCAATTAGAATGTAGAAGGAAAAAGAAAATTCCTAAAGACGGAGCAGTCGTTCGAAAAAAAAGTACTAAGAAGATTATAAAGTACAAACAAAGCAAGATAAATGCTGTCATACGACAAATCACTTGACAACTACCACGTCCTTGTTTATACGGACAGCCGAATATTCCGATGCCAAAGAGAGAACCTACTGCTATACCACCCAAATGAGCGAGATGTGCTGGACGTATTTTCAAAATCATAGCTATAGACACGCTCACAGTCATAGGTAACACGACTAATACAAGCAATTGTATCACGATGAAAATACGATTGTTAGCATTGTTGGCCATTGTGGAAAAACGTTCGATAACGAAAAAGAACATAATGCCATATATCGCACCGGACGCACCAATGCTAGCTAAAAGAAAAATACAATATTCATTATTTCTCTCTTCAAATATTCACTCGTTTTTTCCGATACATACAATTATGAAGACTCGTGCTACTTAACAGACAAGTTAGACTTGCGCCGAGTTCCGAAAGCCAATAAACAACGAGTAACCGCATTGTACCATATTTTCTTTCGAGTAAGATACCGTACATCAATTGTCTTGAGACATTCGCGATAACATGTATCCAATTCAAATGCACTATGTTTACCGATACCATTCGCCAATATTGATGTGGATATGCGAACGAAAGACAGTAATTTTTCAGTTGATCATCGTAATTACACGTTCGGTTTTCTATTAATGAAGGACAATAGACGATAGTTGTACGAGATTCACTGGATGCTGGTCGCATACATGGAACGAAAAACATCAGAAGGTCTTTTAAAGTATCAAGAAACTTTTGCTTTTTCCATTTAACGTCGAGAAATGTTGTTGAATGAATGGAAAGATGCAAAATAGACAGAGAAGTGATAAAGACAGGAAAATAATGTTTTTCACGTGCCACTACATCAAGGGTAAACAAACGTTGACACCAAACAGATATTGGTGATTTTTTCGTAGAACTGGATGCTTCTTCCACTTCTGTCGTCAAAGCTTCTTTCATTTCCCACGTTTGATTATCTTCACCATCCATAATTCAAACGTGAACACTTCGCAGTTGACTTTTTTCTACTCGCGACTCCGAAGGAAAGAAATAGAAATACAATTTACACTTTGTTTCTTTCCGGAAAACGTCTTCTCTCTCTTTCTTAAACGCAATATAACGTGACGCTACTTTCCGCCTACTAATCAAAACAATTTCAATATTGTCGTTCACACATTTGTAGAGAGCCTTGTTTATTAAGCTTTCATAATACATCGATATGATTAATACGTCCAGGTTCATCGGAACCAGAAGTACATGCGTTTTCATACACTTAAAATACTTCTTTTACTGAAAAGTTCAATATTCAGTAGATTACAGAACTAAATACTTGTCTGCGCTCATTCTGTGCATCATTATTATATCGCCTCGAATGTAAAGTGGAGAATGCATAGGAAAAACTTTTATTATAGTGGAAAATAATTAAAATGACATAGTTGCGACAAATTCCCAAGTTGGTCTGGATCTTCTCTCTTTCAGTGTATTCCTATGAGCGGAAATTTCTTCGCCCATTTATAACATGACAGCTTTCATTTATTTTATTTTTAACTGGAAAAAAACTATTTTCAGCAAATCCTTTTCAAAACCACGCCATAGTCTTCCTCACTATCGTTTCTGTTTCATTACATACAACGAGCACTCAACGTATCGACTACGATTATTTGATGTTATAGGCTTGAGTTCACAGGTGCCTCAAGCAGTCTTTATCTAACAACATAGTAGGTGTTCAACGACGTATTCTAATTTCTCATCGTCAGCGGCTAAATAATGCTCGAGCACGACTCAAGTTTCATTATATCTCAACCGTTTGTCCTACGCTACTCCCATGTGTCTAGTACAATATTTAATCAACTTCTCTTCATGTGAGATATGTACTAACGATTTCAATAGATATTGTGGTTGTATCGCCGATCAGTGTAGTTGTTTGCGCAAATACTGTTACAGTTCGTCAAACTGTTTGAGAAAAAAAGATCAGCGATATAATTATCTTTGATTACATTCATAGGTACAGTCGGATAGATTCCGGAAAAGATGATTTCAATGATACAAATATT